CTTAATTAAAAACTTATTAAGTTTAAAACAAATGTTATACTTTGTCGTTTTCTGTTTCTGTTTAAAATAGTATACAATTATTTGAAAAATAATTATTAAAAAGGTTACCTCCCTTGAAAATGGACCGAATGACGTATTTTTTTGTTTACTTTTTTAAAAAACTGTTACTATGCTTATATTAAAAAATTGATATATGAACATATTTAACGACTACAATGGATTTTTCCGACGTGAATAACGTTTTTTTTTGTTACCCTCCAGGGTCGGTCTACGACCTCAAATAATATTAATTAAGGGGATCGTTCGTCAATTTATTTATATATATCTCATATAAGGAGAATTTCACTCGCGGTCATCTTTTAGCCCTGCTCGAGGGCTTTGAGTCTGACCTACAGTTTTTCCATACGGCCTAGTCAGCTATAGAAGTGTATGCAAAACATTAGCTTGATGTACAGAGGTTAAGTAACCGAAAACTTGTGTTGGAAATTCCCTGTTTTTCCCATAAAATACAAAGATTATATAGGGAAATACGACTGGTCAGTTTTGACCCATTTAACGAATTTTCCCGGACATGGCGAGTTTTTTGGGACACCCCAAGGCGTTCTCCTACCACCTCACAAAATTTCAAGGGGGGTCGTCGGAGGAATTTTTTTTTCGTAATAGAGCTCATATAAAGAGAATTTCACTCTCGGTCACTTTTTAGCCCTCCTCGAGGGCTTTGAGTGAAACCGACAGTTTTCCCTAAAGGTCAAGCCATTTACCTAAGAGCATGCAAAAAATTAGCCAGATGTAAAGACGGTAAATGCCCTAAAATCCGTTTTGAAATCACCCTCTGTTTTTCCCATAAAATACAAAGATTATATAGGAAAATACGACTGGTCAGTTTTGACCCATTTAACGAATTTTCCCGGACATGGCGAGTTTTTTGGGACACCCCAAGGCGTTCTCCTACCACCTCACAAAATTTCAAGGGGGGTCGTCGGAGGAAATTTTTTTTCGTAATAGAGCTCATATAAAGAGAATTTCACTCGCGGTCACTTTTTAGCCCTCGTCGAGGGCTTTGAGTGAAACCGACAGTTTTCCCTAAAGTTCAAGCCATTTACCTTAGAGCATGCAAAAAATTAGCCAGATGTAAAGAGGGTAAGTGACCTAAAATCCGTTTTGAAATCACCCTCTGTTTTTCCCATAAAATACAAAGATTATATAGGGAAATACGACTGGTCAGTTTTGACCCATTTAACGAATTTTCCCGGACATGGCGAGTTTTTTGGGACACCCCAAGGCGTTCTCCTACCACCTCACAAAATTTCAAGGGGGGTCGTCGGAGGAAATTTTTATTCGTAATAGATCTCATATAAAGAGAATTTCTCTCGCGGTCACTTTTTAGCCCTCGTCGAGGGCTTTGAGTGAAACCGACAGTTTTCCCAAAAGGTCAAGCCATTTACCTTAGAGCATGCAAAAAATTAGCCAGATGTAAAGACGGTAAGTGCCCTAAAATCCGTTTTGAAATCACCCTCTGTTTTTCCCATAAAATACAAAGATTATATAGTGAAATACGACTGGTCAGTTTTGACCCATTTAACGAATTTTCCCGGACATGGCGGGTTTTTTGGGACACCCCAAGGCGTTCTCCTACCACCTCACAAAATTTCAAGGGGGGTCGTCGGAGGAAATTTTTTTTCGTAATAGAGCTCATATAAAGAGAATTTCACTCTCGGTCACTTTTTAGCCCTCGTCGAGGGCTTTGAGTGAAACCGACAGTTTTCCCTACAGGTCAAGCCATTTACCTTAGAGCATGCAAAAAAATAGCCAGATGTAAAGACAGTAAGTGCCCTCAAATCCGTTTTGAAATCACCCTCTGTTTTTCCCATAAAATACAAAGATTATATAGGGAAATACGACTGGTCAGTTTTGACCCATTTAACGAATTTTCCCGGACATGGCGAGTTTTTTGGGACACCCCAAGGCGTTCTCCTACCACCTCACAAAATTTCAAGGGGGGTCGTCGGAGGAAAATTTTTTTCGTAATAGAGCTCATATAAAGAGAATTTCATTCTCGGTCACTTTTTAGCCCTCGTCGAGGGCTTTGAGTGAAACCGACAGTTTTCCCTGAAGGTCAAGCCATTTACCTAAGAGCATGCAAAAAATTAGCCAGATGTAAAGACGGTAAGTGCCCTAAAATCCGTTTTGAAATCACCCTCTGTTTTTCCCATAAAATACAAAGATTATATAGGGAAATACGACTGGTCAGTTTTGACCCATTTAACGAATTTTCCCGGACATGGCGAGTTTTTTGGGACACCCCAAGGCGTTCTCCTACCACCACACAAAATTTCAAGGGGGGTCGTCGGAGGAAAATTTTTTTCGTAATATAGCCCATATAAGGCGCCGGTCAGTCGAGGTCAGTTTTGACCCCCTCTCCGTAGACTTTTCGGCAAACCGTCACCGGCCCTCGTGTTCTATCGCCCCAAGGCACCATCGTGCCAAATTTGACGCGCCTGCGGCGCCGGGAAGTGCCCTATCGGGCACCTGACCACTTTGCTTTATATATATAGATCATGCTATTTCAAAGATTACACTGCAATCGGTGATGATATATTGAGATTTTTCCTGCCCAGTGCTTTTGGATACAATGAGAAATCAGCCTTTCGATATCGATTTTTAATTTGTTCACATAAAAGTGTGACTAAGTGTGAGCCTATAACAGTCCCACACACAGCAGTTGAAGAACGCCTCCCCGTCCTTGTGTAATGTTCAATACTGTCTTGATTACTTTTTGTTTCGGTGCTTTTATTGATTACATTTTTGTCAGAAATTGCACACGACAAGCGGTCAATAGAGTAAGTTAACCGCTGGTATCGGTGGGGATTGGTGGAATGTCGAGGCTACCGTCAGCCACGGAGCGTTGAGACACGGAGCGTTGAGACACGGAGCGTTGAGACACGGAGCGTTGAGACTACTCTCAGCCACAGAGCGTTGAGGCTACTGTCTTCCTGCGACCAGCATGTTTAACTTTTAAGTTATGTAGTAGCTCACATTGTCCCAACGGTCAGCGGGTCGTTCTTGAACTCCTACAGGGGGGAGAGGGGGGGGGGTCGTAATTTGATGGCGATGAGGGGCAGGGGACGGGCGCCCACGCCCCTGTGGAAAACATCGGCTCACGTCACAACTCGTAAAACCTTATCCCTCCTACATTCGGAACAGGAAATAATAAATCGACTGCGCATGTCAAGTATTATCTTGAAACATTGAAACGCTGATTATCTTTCTAATCTATACAAGCAGAAAACCTTTCAAAAACTGGTCAAAAAGTTTACATACATAATTGACAACTACGTGCGGAGACAATGGTACTTGTAATTATGCAAGCCAAAAGAAACTCGGCTGAAATTGTGTGGCTACCTGTCTGAATTTTTATCGAAGGTGTGAACTTCGCACCGCCTAGGCACCGGTGATTTGAAACTGGGCTAGATGTAGGTCGCGAGGTCCTCCAGATGGTACACTAACACTTCCTCTGTGTGTGTATGTGTGTGTGTGTGTGTGCTGTTTGTACCAAGTGTGTAGTATTTCGTGTGTTGTATTCAATAAGTGATGATTGGAGTGTATGTTGTACGGGGACCGTATGTTAAATGTACCGTGTATGTTGTGTGTAGTTAGGGAAATGAAATGAGTGGGATCGAAAGCGGGTTGTAGACGAAGCTCCATAGATTTATGGATACAGGTACAGAAGACCTAGGCTTATGTGACCTTATGTCCGATAATGTCGCTGGTTTCAAGACTGTTCTGACCTGCTGCGACACCATTACTTCAGTGATATGTGTGTTTGTACAGGAACAACTTTAATACAACTTTCTCAGTATCTTGGAACAAAAGCTATGGATATTCATGGTTGCAATAATTGTGTAGGAACAAAAGTTCTGGATATCTGTGGTTACAAATGGTGTATTGGAACAAAAGTTCTGGATATCTGTGGTTACAAATGGTGTATGGGAACAAAAGTTCTGGATATCTGTGGTTACAAATGGTGTATTGGAACAAAAGTTCTGGATATCTGTGGTTACAAATGGTGTATGGGAACAAAAGTTCTGGATATCTGTGGTTACAAATGGTGTATTGGAACAAAAGTTCTGGATATCTGTGGTTACAAATGGTGTATTGGAACAAAAGTTCTGGATATCTGTGGTTACAAATGGTGTATGGGAACAAAAGTTCTGGATATCTGTGGTTACAAATGGTGTATTGGAACAAAAGTTCTGGATATCTGTGGTTACAAATGGTGTGTTGGAACAAAAGTTCTGGATATCTGTGGTTACAAATGGTGTATGGGAACAAAAGTTCTGGATATCTGTGGTTACAAATGGTGTGTTGGAACAAAAGTTCTGGATATCTGTGGTTACAAAATTTGTGTGGGAACAAAAGTTCTGGATATCTGTGGTTACAAAAGTTGTGTGGGAATAAATGCTGTTTGCAACCTAGAAATGTGTTGATAAAGTGGGGGGGGGGGGGGGGGGGGAGGGTGAGCTGTATTTTGTTTACTGTCATGTTGTATTTTAACTGCCTGCCCTGGATAATTTTATTAAAAGTCTCCCATGATAATTTGCCAATTATTTACTTGCACCTATAACAGGGACACAAACCAAATGTGAAACGTCCAAATGAGAAGAGAAGCCTCTGGGTGAGGAAGTTGAGTGATATGGGTGTGGGGGGGGGGTATACAGTGTAGCATTTGTCTTAATTTTTTCTTAATATGTTAATTGTCATTAGAACTAAGGGCTGTTTAGAAATAGCAGAATTGTATGATTTCATTTGAGGGAGGGTGGATGGCTTTTTGAGACAATGTGGTGTGTGTTGGGGGAGGGGGTGGGTGGCTAAATTTGTTTGAACTGATTTATGGATGACACAGAAATTTAAACTATTTTGTGATGCTGACAACTATTTATAAAAGGACCAAAAGTAGCGCACGTTCTGAACCTCTCCCACCAGCGGAGATCAGTACTCACCTTCTTGTAGACCAGGTAATTGGGGTTGTCCTCGTGCGTGTGCTGCCCATTGCCCAGCGGACTGGCCACAGACGAAGGCAGCGAGTCTGTCCTCCTACCGCTGCTGTGTCTGTGTGCCATCCTCCGTTTTAAATCCTCTAGCCTCAACTTGCTGTTTGAGTTTTCCAACACTAGAACATGCTCTGTACTAAGCCAGCTAGCTGTTTGAGTTTATCCAGTGAAGAAGATCTATGACACACCGTGTTTAAAATTTGCTGAAGTTCACGTTTTAAAGCGCCAACTCATGAGCAGACAAAATGCCCGTCTGCTCAGTCACTGAGTATTTGACATGTTGTTTCATACAAGATCCAGTTCTGTGGGTGCCACACGGCTGACTGTGATGTCATCATGTCCACAGCTTGTGAGGGTGCCTTGGAATAGGTCAGCTGTTAGCATGGATTTGATGAGTTGGGCGGTGACAAGTTTCCACTACTGAAATATTCAAGTCAAATCAACAATGGATATCATCACACCACTGGTGTTTGCTCATTTATTATTCATCACTGCAATAAGGGTAGTAGGGAAAAAAAAACACCGTCCATTTCTCAGCCCTGATGGAATTAGAACAGACCACAAACTAGTCACTATCTAGTTTTTTATCTCAAACACTTTGCTCCAACTTATTATCCATATGAAAAGTAGTCAGACATTTCCTCAGTAAATTGTGCTGTATGGTAACATAAAGCAAACATTCCAGGGCCATTATCAAACCCCCCATCTCCACAGCCAGCTTCCACAACTATAAAATGGCAGTATCATATCTTATGGATAGAGTCTCAGCAGAACATCAGCCTTCAAACTCTGAACATTTATCATTCTCTCCTGCACTTCTGGCCAGTCTGGAGAAGAAAGACAACTGATTAAAAACTGGCACTGAACTCTGTTCAAGGAACAAAACCCAATGGTTTTCTAGTGAACTGCAAAACTGTGTTTGTTACTGCTGAATCTATGCCTGAATACATTAACATTCCATTTAATTCCTCTTGTATTTGTGTTATTAAAATTTACTTTTGCCATAGTTAAAACAAACAAGATATATATAGAATTACTATTGTCTGTTCAAATGTTTTCCCCATTGCATTACAGCTTTTAAGCAAATAAGCCTTTTTTTTGTAAATAATAAGATTAGTTTAAAATAATATATTTAAATATCTAAGCCTTTTTATCTTAGCTTTTCAAAAAGAAAATAGAATCTTCGTAATTTTTCAAAATAAATCTTTATTTGTCTATAAATTACTTTAGGCTATTTAAAAAAATATCTAAGTGATTTGTTTAATAAAGAATGGTTAACTTATTTTAAGAAAAAAAATTGTTCAAATTATTGTTGCCCATTTACTTTTTTGATTTTAAATAGCACTAAAACAATTCACCACTAAAATTCAAAACAGATTTGTATAAAGTTTTCCAGCAGAGCTGTTTCTTAGTCTGCTTTTAACAATAATCACAGTAAAATATGTGCTCAACTATTCTCAAATCATTAATTAGAATCATGTTTTAAAAAGGAAAGCTTGAATTAAATGTCAACAAAATTTGATAATATTTAAAAAGAAATTGATTTAAGCAACAAAATAACTTATTAATAGTCATTTTTTATTCAAATAGAGCAAAAAGAAAAACTTTTTTCAGACAAGTTTTTTTTTTCTTTAAATTAACTATAAAATGATTATAGCAATAGAAATGAGCTTTATAAATATCTTAACAAAGAATAGATTGATACTTTCATGTTATTCAGAAAAAAAAAATTATAAAGTTTTTTTTTCCTTTATTTATTTATTTTGTGGGAAGGCCATAGATTTTTTAATGAGGTCATCAGATGGAACAACTGATATGTGAGTGTAAACAAGCTCGCTTAACCTTGCAAATATATCATAGATATGCTTTTCAATCTGTTTAAACCTTGAACAACGTTGTTCTAAACATATTTCTTCAGTCTGTTGCAATAGTAATACATAACTTTAGTTATATTTAATTTAAGGGCACTCTTTGGCTAATGCAGATATTCTATTTTATTCTGAGGGTTTGGATCAGAATTTCTGAAAAACTTTTTCACAACCATATGAGATTGACAGGAACCATAGATGAAAAGCATCAATAATATTGATAGATATATCTAGTAGGTAGTGATATAGGTAGATTTATCAAAAGTTAACACATCTCTTGCTTAATTGTAATTTTCTAGTTATTTTAAATCAAATGTTTTCTTAATGTATACTTTAATAAATGTGAATATGGATCTTGGAAGGGAAATTGAGGCTTAGCTCCACCTCCCAATATATATATATATATATATATATATATATATATATATATATATATATATATATATATATATATATATATATATATATATATATATATATATATATTGTCCACATTCAACTCTTGCACCCCTCCACCACCCACCCACCCACCCCCCACCATCAAGATGAAAGATTATATCTGTAATTCCAAACAGTGTATCTTGAAATGTATCACAAGCTTTAAAAAGGTCAATCTCATCTCTTACCATACAAGTAAATACAAGCCAACCAATAGAGCTGTATCTGTACAGCTGACCATTCAAGGGTTCTATACAACCAAGCTTAATAGAATATTCCAGAACTCAAGTCTTTTGAACCACTAAAATGTCATCTCATTCAAATTTAACGCCATGCATAAATAATCCCTTAATGATTCCCTGTATGTGGCTCTCATGTCTGCCCTCTCACCAAGTCTTACGCTTTGGTCAAATTGACAGTTTTTGGTCATATTGACAGTTGCACAGATGAAAATCTTTAATTATTTGATGCTTTCTAATTAAACAAAGTAAAGGTTGTCACACCTCACTAAAGAGAGTAACTGGGCATTACATCAATGGGTTGTCAGATTGGTGTATAACAGAAAGGGTTGTCAAGTTAAACTAAAGAAGGGGAATGGTTGTCAAGTTATAATGACGTTCACTGTTTATCGGGTAGGCTTACACTAAAAAGTTGTTCTATATTGATACTTGATGATCAATCTTTTTTTTTATCGCTAACATAAGATTCAACCTATCCATGCTAAAAATCTATTTTTGGCTGTGTTTGATGGGGATTTTCCCTTCAGATGTAGGTTGTGTCACACATCAAACACAGCTATTGATTTTTGCTGTGCAGGTATCAAACACCTGACTGCAGGTTTTATACCTGCTCTGTCAGGCTCCCATCAGTAGGGATCAGTCAGCTGTCCTGAGATAAACATTTAACTGATCATAGTTCGATCTAGTATTCCATGGAAACATGACATAACCCCACCCCCTTCATTTCCCCCTATCACCCTCACTACCCATCATCAAGTATTTATGTGTACACAACATTGATTGGTTGAGGAATCATCTGACACTACCACTTAGCTGCTAAATTACTAGATCTAGCAAGAATTGTTTTTCTTCTGTAATCTAAACAACACTAGGCCCACCTACTACAAATGTAGAATGTAATCTACACTAGGCCCACCTACAAATGTACAATCTAATCAACATTAGGCCCACCTACAACAAATATGGAATCAAATCAAAATTAGGCCCACCTACAAATGTACAACTCAATCAACATTAGGCCCACCTACATATGTTGAATCTAATCAACACTTTAAGCCCATAAAGTGATGGAATCTAAAGGTGTGAAAACCACAGTAAATCAAACGACCATACAACACACCAATCTGAAAGGTGACTGGTTATATTTCAACAAAATGACTATTTTAATGAGCACCTGACCGTAGCAGGTATACCAATAAATTCCGTCATATTAAAGCTACACTTTGGATTATGTAACGGTAATGTCATAAAGTCAACTTTATCAGACCAGTAAGAAAAAAATTCGTGCAGCAGCAATCTACTAATGCTCAATCAACACATGCAACAGAAACTTCATAATTGCATCGTGAGCATGGTCGGTTTTGTTCGTACCTGTCAAAGTAAATAGGGGATGTCTTCTGGTACGACTAACTGCAAGTAGATCTGTCAATGTAAGTAGGTTCTGTCTTCTAGTACAACTAACTGCAAGTAGATCTGTCAATGTAAGTAGGTTCTGTCTTCTAGTACAACTAACTGCAAGTAGATCTGTCAATGTAAGTAGGTTCTGTCTTCTAGTACAACTAACTGCAAGTAGATCTGTCAAAGTAAGTAGGTTCTGTCTTCTAGTACAACTAACTGCAAGTAGATCTGTCAAAGTAAGTAGGTTCTGTCTTCTGGTACGACTAACTGCAAGTAGATCTGTCAAAGTAAGTAGGTGATGTCTTCTGGTACGACTAACTGCAAGTAGATCTGTCAAAGTAAGTAGGTGATGTCTTCTGGTACGACTAACTGCAAGTAGATCTGTCAAAGTAAGTAGGTTCTGTCTTCTAGTACAACTAACTGCAAGTAGATCTGTCAAAGTAAGTAGGTTCTGTCTTCTGGTACGACTAACTGCAAGTAGATCTGTCAAAGTAAGTAGGTGATGTCTTCTGGTACGACTAACTGCAAGTAGATCTGTCAAAGTAAGTAGGTGATGTCTTCTGGTACGACTAACTGCAAGTAGATCCGTCAAAGTAAGTAGGTGATGTCCTCTGGTACGACTAACTGCAAGTAGATTTGTCAAAGTAAGTAGGTGATGTCTTCTGGTACGACTAACTGCAAGTAGATCTGTCAAAGTAAGTAGGTGATGTCTTCTGGTACGACTAACTGCAAGTAGATCTGTCAAAGTAAGTAGGTGATGTCTTCTGGTACGACTAACTGCAAGTAGATCTGTCAAAGTAAGTAGGTTCTGTCTTCTGGTACGACTAACTGCAAGTAGATCTGTCAAAGTAAGTAGGTGATGTCTTCTGGTACGACTAACTGCAAGTAGATCTGTCAAAGTAAGTAGGTTCTGTCTTTTGGTACGACTAACTGCAAGTAGATCTGTCAAAGTAAGTAGGTTCTGTCTTTTGGTACGACTAACTGCAAGTAGATCTGTCAAAGTAAGTAGGTGATGTCTTCTGGTACGACTAACTGCAAGTAGATCTGTCAAAGTAAGTAGGTCCTGTCTTCTGGTACGACTAACTGCAAGTAGATCTGTCAAAGTAAGTAGGTTCTGTCTTTTGGTACGACTAACTGCAAGTAGATCTGTCAAAGTAAGTAGGTGATGTCTTCTGGTACGACTAACTGCAAGTAGATCTGTCAAAGTAAGTAGGTTCTGTCTTTTGGTACGACTAACTGCAAGTAGATCTGTCAAAGTAAGTAGGTGATGTCTTCTGGTACGACTAACTGCAAGTAGATCTGTCAAAGTAAGTAGGTGATGTCTTCTGGTACGACTAACTGCAAGTAGATCTGTCAAAGTAAGTAGGTCCTGTCTTCTGGTACGACTAACTGCAAGTAGATCTGTCAAAGTAAGTAGGTTTTGTCTTCTGGTACGACTAACTGCAAGTAGATCTGTCAAAGTAAGTAGGTGATGTCTTCTGGTACGACTAACTGCAAGTAGATCTGTCAAAGTAAGTAGGTGATGTCTTCTGGTACGACTAACTGCAAGTAGATCCGTCAAAGTAAGTAGGTGATGTCTTCTAGTACAACTAACTGCAAGTAGATCTGTCAAAGTAAGTAGGTTCTGTCTTCTGGTACGACTAACTGCAAGTAGATCTGTCAAAGTAAGTAGGTGATGTCTTCTGGTACGACTAACTGCAAGTAGATCCGTCAAAGTAAGTAGGTGATGTCTTCTAGTACAACTAACTGCAAGTAGATCTGTCAAAGTAAGTAGGTTCTGTCTTCTGGTACGACTAACTGCAAGTAGATCTGTCAGGTCTTACCCAGTTAGTTCCACATCTCAGCACCCAAGGGATTCTCCATTGAAATGGCCAGATGATAACAGTGTCTACTCCAACTTGCTCTCATCTGTGTCTGCTACATGTAATCCCAGCGCGACACGGCTGCCTAGACACAGAGAAATCACCGAGAAGAATGAAAAGGCCTTCCCCCACTGAAGCTAGGCCTAGCCTAAAACACTAATGTCAATCTCAGACTTGCATTTCTCATGCAAATTCCATCGGTGAATCAGTAATACTTTCTGACCAGTGCTGTAAGCACTCAGGCAGCGCGCGCCTGCTTGCCTGCCTGCCCACCACTGTTTTGTTAGGCTACGGTCAGCGAGACGGTGTCGCCTCGCAAAGAAACACGCGCACCGTTAAGACACAACACACTCAATCTTGATGTGTAACGGGCACCTGGTGTGCAACGAACAACAGATCCGGCTAGGCTACACTTACAATGTGCAGTTTCAAAAACAATAGCAGTTGCTAATTTTGCTTCCGAAAGGGAAAAGAGAGTCCAGGCTCCATGTTGAATAGATTAACGGAAAAATCAATACTTGAAGAGCTCATTGGTTAGGCTGTGGCTGGGTAACGGGGGAGAAGAGGAGAGGCGAATCACCTGCACGCGCAAGCAAGGGAATCTATCGAGTAAATGAGGTTCGTTTTAGGTTTTTGTAATATCGTCCCCTTCATTGATAATGGTTAGACAGGACAAGAAACATTTAGAAATACCTCCCCCCTCCCCTCCATTACACATCGTCACAAATAAGCCAGAACCCCCCCCCCTAAAATGACGTCAGCCTACAACCCCCCCCCCCCCAAAATTGCAGTTGAATTTTTCTTAAAACATCGATATTTTACCAAAATCTTGTCTGAACTCTGTCAAAATAGAGAATTTTAATCAATTCGTATTCAAATTTATTAAAACAGTTTTCTAAAACGCGAAATAACGACTAAAATTCGTTGTCTAACATAGCTTTTTTTATAATGCAAAAGTGTGACGTTGCACCATCTGAACCCCCCCCCCCCCCCCCACTCGTCACACACCGTCACAAAATTACGGACCTCCCCCCTGTGAGCAGGGCCGGCGCTACCTATAAGGCGAACTAGGCGGTCGCCTAGGGCGCTGTCCGTAGGGGGGCGCCAAAATGGGTTGGAAAAACAAATTGAAAGTTTGAAGGGGGGGGGTGCCAATCGAAAGTTTGAGGGGGGTGCAAGTCGAAAGTTTGTCCCCGGGCGCCGGGAAGGGTCGCTACGCCTCTGATAATACGGGGGCACGAAACAAAATTGCGGGGGGGGGGGCGCTTTTAATAAGTTTTGCCTAGGGCTCTAAATAACCTGGCGCCGGCACTGCCTATGAGTGTCACGTCATTTATGGGCGACCCCTAAATAGTTGTAGCCCACTCATCATTTACATTTCCCTAAACTTGAGCAATTTAGTTTTCATTGATCGGAACATGCAACCAATTGAAAATAATTGTTAGATGGTCACAAAAGAATTCGGTTTTATTCGATACGGAGACTGTTGGAGCATGAGCAGTTACTGCAGGAAAAGGGATGGGACGGCTGACCAGTGGCGTAGCGAGGTCGGGTGTCACCCGGTGCGGCACTTAATGGTGTCACCCCCAGAGGCGTAGCGACCCTTCCCGGGGACAAACTTTCAAGCTTTCGATTTGCAACTCCCCTCAAACTTTCGATTTGCACCTCCCCTCAAACTTTCGATTTGCACCCCCCTCAAGTTTTTCTCTATATATTTTGCTCTTTTTTGCCTTGGTGTCACCGCCCCCCCCCCCCAAATGGTGTCACCCGGTGCGGTCCGCATCCCCCGCACCCCCCCCCCCCCCTCGCTACGCCCCTGCGGCTGACCCAAAATCTTTGATGACTTTTCCTGATTGTCTCAACTTCCACGTAAGGCATTATCTGATCACAGGTGTCATCTGATCACAGGTGTCATCTGACCATAGGTGTCATCTGATCACAGGTGTCATCTGTGTAGTAATTATCCTCTGATTTTTAGCGGTTTTGTCTCATGAGTTTTGATTTGTTTGGGGCAGTAAGTGATGGAACTTTGAATCAGATTAGACACAGGCGGTGATGAAAAGCGTGGACAAATATTCACGGTGGTGAGGAACAGAGTTTCTTCCAGGTATCTCTTCGGGGGGGGGGGGAAGGGCCTGCCTGCCCCCCCCCCCCCCCCCCCCGAAGAAAGTCTACCGCCCCCCGAACGAAATGGAATTTATATTGAAAACATATACTTTTACAGTGTCCGCCCCCCGGAAAATGTTGACCGCCCTCCGAAAATATCAATATTAGCCAGCTGTCAGCCTTACATGGCGAACTGGCGTGAGCCTAAAACAAAATCTTGAGCACATGTTACCACTCTAATCCTGGCCGGAGCCGGCTTATACCACGGTTTTATCTTAATCGATGCCTGCTGGCTTCGATTTTCTACACAATGAGTCGTGGTTTGCCTCGAGAAGTAAACACGCTGTGTCCGCGGGTCACCATGTTTGACACGTGCCACGGCGTGCTAGAAGCTTTGAGTCAACTCTCTAGTTGTGTTTGGTCCCATCGCACACAATGTCCTGGCTCCACGCGCTCTCCTGTCTGCTCTGTCTGAGCCCCTGTCTGTCCTACATCAGCCGCGAGGCCTACGTCATCATTGTTCCTGCTCAAGAGAAAACATGTTTCTCCAAGACCTTCTCGCAAAGCATCAAAGTCGTCTTCGAGTACAGCGTGACGGCGGGCGGCAACAAAGACATTGACGCAAGAATTATCTCCCCCAATGGCCTCGTCTTGTACAAGCAGCTCAAAAGCCGGGGGGACGAGGTGTCATTCAACGCTCAAAATGGCGACTTTAAATTCTGTTTCGGGTAAGTTTAACCAACTTTTTGTTATGGGGATTGATAGATTATTAAGGAGCTGATATGCGTAAAGATAATGTAGTCTATTAAAGCTCAGGGAATACCACTTAATGTCCTTTAGTATGGTGTTTCACGCTTTTATGCCTACTTTTAAGCTAAACCGTATCAGTTGGTTCTAAGGGTTACACAGGGTCGAATGAATGGTTATCATTTTCTTTGTATCGTTTGTTATTCTATTAAACAGAATGGTTCAAGTTATTGTTTCACAAAGCAGGCCTATAGGACCCTACTTTACAAGTCACTAAAAATGTGTAATTTGCCAATAGCTAACACTCCCTGCTTTGTTTTGTTTTGCTACTTCTATAAGTCACTAAAAATGTGTAATTTGCCAATAGCTAACACTCTGTGCTTTGTTTTGTTTCGCTACTTCTATAAGCCACTAAAATGTAGTATTTTGCTAGTAGCTAACACTCAGTGCTTTGTTTTGTTTCGCTACTTCTAGAAATGAGTTCTCCCAAGTGACGGGCAAGCGCATAGCTTTCAACATCCGGCCGTTTGACGAGGCGTCTCTGTCGCAGGAGGCAGGAGACGGGGACAAGAAAATCCCGAGGGTCAGGGGCCCGCTGGAGGCGTTCTGTGACAACATCCACTTCCTGATGACAACCGTGGTGGACTTCCAGATGAAGTACATGGTCCGCGAGTCCATGGGCCGCTACGTGGCGGAGAGCCTGAACAAGAGGGTCATGTGGTGGTCGCTTGGTCAGTCCATCGTCATTGTCATCACCGGCTTCGGTCAGGTGTTCGTCTTCAAGAAATTCTTCACGGAGAAACGTGCTTCAACTAAACCGTCCGTCAGCTGATTGATGCAAGGGGTGTGTTCGTCACGTGCTGTGTACCAATCTTCATTGATCCATTGTGTAAACAGTTTCTTTGTTCCCTCCCTATTCACATTTTTGTACATGCTATGTGTGTGTATATCTGTGTGTGTATGTGTGTGTAACACTTTACCGTTTATGTTCCTACTCAGTAGCGTAAAACTAAATTATTTTTATCATTAAATGTATTTTTTAATCAACATATGTATTCAATTCATCTTCATTCATCTTTCACATGGTGGTTGTTGATTGGAAAACTTTTATTTTTTAGCAGAGTACCTGTGTTGTGCTTTTATAAGCAGTGTTTTCTTAAGACTGATATATCATGTGGGATATTGTAAAATACTTCTGTTACACGGTCCCAACAAATGTGAGATATCTCTGTTACTTGGTCCCAAAAATTGTGAGATATCTCTGTAACATGGACCCAACAAATGTGAGATATCTCTGTTACTTGGACCCAACAAATGTGAGATATCTCTGTTACTTGGACCCAACAAATGTGAGATATCTCTGTAACATGGACCCAAATTATGTGAGATATCTCTGTAACTTGGTCCCAACAAATGTGAGATATCTCTGTAACATGAACCCAACAAATGTGAGCAGAGTTTCTTCCAGGCATCTCTTCGGGGGGGCAAAGCCCCCCCGAAAAATTTTTACCGCCCCCCCCCCCCGAACGAAAGGAAATTTATATAATTTATATAGAAAATATATACTTTTAACAGTGTCCGCCCCCCCGAAGAAAGTTTACCGCCCCCCCGAAGATTTCAAGTGCCCCCCCGGAGAAAAAAGTCTGGAAGAAACACTGAATGTGAGATATCTCTGTAACATGGACCCAACAAATGTGAGATATCTCTGTAACATGGACCCAACAAATGTGAGATATCTCTGTTACACAGTCCCAACAAATGTGAGATATCTCTGTAACCTGGACCCAAAAAATGTGAGATATCTCTGTAACTTGGTCCCAACAAATGTGAGATATCTCTGTTACTTGGTCCCAAAAATTGTGAGATATCTCTGTATGGACCCAACAAATGTGAGATATCTCTGTTACATGGACCCAACAAATGTGAGATATCTATGTAACATGAACCCAACAATTGTGAGATATCTCTGTTACATGGACCCAACAAATGTGAGATATCTCTGTAACATGGACCCAACAAATGTGAGATATCTCTGTTACTTGGACCCAACAAATGTGAGATATCTCTGTAACATGAACCCAAAAATTGTGAGATTCTCTGTAATTTGGACCCTAAATATTTATGCTCTGTTGCATGTAAATGTTCAAAAAATTAATAATACAACTAAATAAACAAATGAACTTTTTTATTGAATGTAAAATGTAGAGGTTACATAACAATATAAACTCCAGGTAACCAAATACAAAAGTTGAATTAACATTTTACAGCTTAAAATATTATTTCAGTTATAAAAAAGGAATAATATTCAAAATACTGAATAAAAGGTGTTTTAATGTTGTAATACTGAATAGATAGGTTTTTTTAATACTGATCATGAAAAATAAATATTCAAAATATAAAGCTTTATTTCAAGATAATTCAGTTAATATAATATCATAATGTGTAGTAAATGTTGGCAAATTAATTTCATAAGGCTAGAGATACAAATGGGGTGATTTATATCATAAGGATACTGTTGGGGAGATTTATATCATAAGGATACTAAAAAACTGTTGGGTGAGACTTATATCATAAATCTAGAGCTATAGACTGGGAGATTTACATTATAAGGAGAGATTTGTAAGGCAAGAAATACTATTGGGGACATTTAGACAAGAGACAGATGGGGAGATTTATATCATAAGGATACTGTTGGGGGAGATTTATAATATTTATATTATAAGGCAAGAAATACTGTTGGGGGAGATTTATATCATAAGGATACTGTTGGGGGAGATTTATAATATTTATATTATAAGGCAAGAAATACTGTTGGGGGAGATTTATATCATAAGGATACTGTTGGGGGAGATTTATAATATTTATATTATAAGGCAAGAAATACTGTTGGGGGAGATTTATATCATAAGGATACTGTTGGGGGAGATTTATAATATTTATATTATAAGGCAAGAAATACAGTTGGGGAGATTTATAATATTTATATTATAAGGCAAAAAATATTGTTGGGGGAGATTTGTATCATAAGGCAAGATACAGACAGGGGAGATTTATATCATAAGCTAGATATACAGATGTGGGGATTTATATCATTAAGCTAGGGATACAGATGAAGAGATTAGATGAAAAAATTGAAAACTGGACATTTATCCAGTAAACACACTAAAAGCTAACGTGAACAAATTCGAACAGAATTTTTCAAATGTATGATTAACACTAATGACAATTCAGGTTCACTTTGTTTGCTTTTAATGGGAAAAGACATTCTTGACAATGTTATTCTATAAATAATGTCATAATTTGAACTTATTCTGAGAAAAATAAAACACAAAAATAGTTTCTTTCTTTCATCTACTAAATGTTAAAAGATTTTAATTTCATTTTCTTGCCTTATAAAAACTATTAAATGTATCATTTCATTATTCATGAGAAAAATAATAGAATAATTTTTAATTTTAATATTGATATTATAAAATATTAAAACCAATCAGAAGCTTTACATGGATTGCAGGGGCACCTTTTATTCTTCAATGAAGCTTAAACCCTCTATTTGTTCGGTGAATTTCATCAAGGTACCTAAGAAAATATAAATGGAATGATTAAAAAATGGGGAAAAATTCTTATAAGCAAATTAGGGAGTTTTGTGATGAAACAAAAGTTAACTTTGTGATGCAGCTGTTGACATGAGGGTGTAATAAAACAAAAGTTTACTTTGTGATGCAGCTGTTGACATGATGGTGTAATAAAACAAAAGTTTACTTTGTGATGCAGCTGTTGACATGAGGGTGTCTGGCTGACATCCTGCTGGTTGCAACTCCAGGACGGGACATAGCAATGCCCCAGTGCGGCTGTTCCGGTACCAGAATGTTTCCATAGGTGGGGAGCATCTGGCGCAGAGTTGACCAGTCTTCACTTCTTGTTGCTGCATGACAACATTAGAAAGTCATTCAAAATAGTACCTGGACACTATACATCTGTAGGTTATAAAGGTTTACACTATACAATTGTAGGTCATTAAGATGGACACTACATCTGTAGGTCAATATAACCCTTAGATGGATAGTGTAAGTTATTCTGGTTGATCCAACAGTGCTTGAAAATTTGGGAGAAGAATTAGAGAGTATCCATGTATATTTTATAGTATTATCAAGCTTCTGCTAACCAAAAATGGACGGCATTTTCAATCTATTCACCATTTTTGTGTAAATATCAGTTGTCTTTTTGTTGTACAACTTCATTTACTCAAAGCAGCAGAAATGCTTCTCCAATTCTATAAACCATAGCTTGATAATTGATAGTTTTTTCTACCTGGGTGAGATATGTAAACTTGGCAATGAGATCTGTTTACATGACGTTCAAATGCTGCTAGAGGTGGGTCACTGACAGGTATCCAATGCTTGTCCGCTTCAGACAACTGGACTTTGTTTGGGTACATCAGCTTATGACGAGGCACTGGTACTGTGAATCTTTCATCTGGATCAAAATTCATCAGCAAATAAGACTCATTTATTTTTTAACACTTGACAATTTTCTATATATATAATTCTCTTCTTGGATACCCTAGAAAATACCAAGCTGTAAGCGTGGCTTGCAGCCCCCTCTCTTCCTATCTAAGCATATCCCTACCACACCCACATGGTCTGGTGAGCTGTGGTTCATGCTAAATGTTTACAATCGTAGAGCCGGGTTTAGTGACAGCTATTAGGGGCAGATAATTTAGTTTCAAACTATTTTAAACTTAGGGGAGGTAACTAAGAGGAGGCTGCTTTCACGGGGGGGGGGGGGAGGGGGGGTAGGGGTTGGGGAAAGGAGGGGGGGGGGTATCGTCCTTAACGACCTACTGATAGTGTTTTAAAGCAAATATTTTCAGTGGCAGCATTGGTACTGTCGAATTCACAAATTATGAATTATTGAAAAGTAGAAAATAAAACAACTAAATAGCGGTGTATGATACGCCGCAGTTCGGCTCGTATGTTTATAATAGACATAACTAACACTTATAATAATCTATAATAATAGTTTCACTATTCTGTCTGTCTGTCTTTCTGTATGTTGGTAAAGCTCTAGAGAAAACACAAGGAAAGTAAAAACTTTCACCGCCAATCGAAAAACAAAACTTCCCACCACCGTGACATCACATATAGAAAATTTTCAAAATGAAAAGAAATATGTATATCTAAATCTAATACCTCAAAAAAATGAAGTCATCAATACTTGATAATAAGTACACTAACATTACTGTCTAATTTATTTGTTTAATCTTAAAAGTGGTCTGCACTATGAGTTTGTTTAAGGCATCTCTTTGTGTTGAGGGGCAGAGTCACCCCCCCCCGACCCCCACTGAAGAACATCTACCATCTTTCCCTCCCCCCCCCCCCTCAATGACATACAATTTATATAGAAAATATTTACTTTTACCAGTGTCACCCCCCCCCCCCCTCCCTGAGAAAAAAGTCTGAAAGAAACACTATCTGCACAATTGAGGTTTAGCTGCCAAAAAGTAGGAAACTGATCTAGATAATAGAAGTAGAGTATACTTTTAGTCTTTTTAGTCTGTATAATCTACAAATGTGACCAGTGTTTCTTTCAGACATGGGGGGGGGGGCACTTACAATTTTTTGGGGAAGGGGATTAACCAAATTATCCGGGAGGGGTGCGGACACCGGTAATAGTATATTTTCTATGTAAATTCTATTTCGTTATGGGGGGGGGGGGGGGGTAGATACTCTTTGACGGGCTCAGTAAAGCAACTATTGAGACAGAACTACAAACTTAGATGAATACTCTCCTTCTTGCACAGAACTGACTGTTTTAAATGTACCAGGATCAAGTGAAGGGAAATCTCAGTTTAGAGTGCTTCCATACCATTAAGAATCCAGTATTTAATGATTTTGTATATAGAGTTAAATTGTTGAATTCAGTTAAATATATATATTATTATATATAGAGTATTTACAAATAGAAGGACCTAACACTAGCAAATCCACAAAACTATTTAACACACACAATAAAACACAACAAAATATTAGCTAATCCAAAATAAAAATAAAATAAACATAGGCCTATAAGATAAAGATCTAAATTCGATACAGGTTAATGAAATGGGGTTATAAAATTAAAATATTGAATTGTAGGCCAACAATGTGAATGTAGGGCTCCTAGAGTCCTAAGCCTGCTTATAAAATATAAGGCCTAAGGTCACTTAGTAAGTTAGTAAGACTATGTACTAGATCTATTGTTTGAGCCATACGTTCACTACTTTTAAAAAAAATGAGACCTAATGGATCGTATCTTTTAGTAATCCATGTTGTCTCTAGGTTTGCGATATTTTTTTGGCAGTCTTTCCTCAAAATATTGGATTTTTTGTTATTTAACGAAAGAGTGTCGAAATATGGTGCCGCCATTTTGACGCTTTTTATTTGCTTCTGGTTGATAGGGAGTAAATATAATTTGAGTGGTTTCCCTTTGATAGTAATTCATTATTCAGCCTTGTCTGGCTTCTGAAAAAAAAATAAGAAGAATCATTGTAAAAATAAGCACCTTTCTTAAAACAAAGAATGAAGAGTCCATAATAACAAAAGATTAGGCCTAACTGCCAACTTAATACTTCTAAATAAGGGATCGTCCATAAATAACGTATCGCTTATTTGACAGTTTTACTCTCTCCCACAATATACAAAGCATCATGAATTGTCAAGAAAAGCCCCCCCCCCCCCCCCCCCAAAAAAAATATTTTAAAATGACGTCAACTTTCAGTCTATCAGAGTCCTCTTTTGGAATTATTTTTAAACAACTCGATCAATTTCTAAATTCAATGTTAGTTTTTATTTATATTAACTGAACTACGTTTATCCGGCTACATTCTTCATTAGTTACACTATACTATAGTATAAGTATAATAGTGACTATAATATGCCTAGCTAGATCTAGATAATAATTATTGCTCATACTGACACAATATTTTGGATCATATAATATTATGAATGATCAAAAACATATAGATCTATCTAGATTTATTTATAATTTTTAAAAATGTAGATCTAGATGGCATAAAAAAAAACGAGCTCAATTAATATGATAATATGATTCATTGTAAGTTTTAGTCTTAGTCACTACAAAGCGAGTTAAAAAAAGAGTGGGGTTTTTGCATTAGTCAAGCTATAGCAAAATTAGAAGCGGAAAATATTCTGAAGCTCGTCCGTAAACAAGGAAGTGCAACCCTCTGCTACGAGGAAAACTACCTAATATTGTTTTGAATACTCCATCGCTATGGCCGATGTAAAGTATGATGAGCATAAGCAAAGCAAGTGGGTGCTAGTAGGATGGATTGCCTGCTTTGGCATGTTAATTATTTTGTCATTTTTCATCTTTGTTCCTGTAGCTGTTACCATGGTAAGTTATTAGTAAACTTATTTTTATTAGTTAAGGTAATCTATCGTTTTAGGTACGTAAATCGCCCGCGGCTAGAAATGTACAAAGAAGTTAACTCATTGTCAAGGTTAATAATTAATAGAAGTATATTGTGATATATTTGTGTCAAATATTAGATCTATATATAAATGAATAATAAACCTAAATTAAATATTAAATAAATGGCTAAATAATTATAATGAGGGCGTTAAGACGAGCCGTGTGGTATTAAGCCCCAATCAACACCCCACCCCCACAAAACCCCCAATAACACTGCTAATCTACTTCTGAGGTAACCACAACTGCTGTTCTTTGATAACAGAGAAACAGAGGATTCATTTTATGTAATTTATGACCCACTTGGTCCAATAGGGAGAGGATGAGACAGGATTTAATCCCACTGCCTTTTCCCTGAAATTTCTCATCTCCATAAAACCATTTTGTGAACTTTTTTTCCAAATAGACATAACTTGGGAAACTTTACTTTGTAATAAACCAAATGAGTTTTTCAAGCCCATTCTTTGTTCCTGTATTAGAGCATTGGTTGTTGTACATTTTAACACTATTTTTATTGCTATGGCTAGATTAGTTTTATTTTGGTGAATTTTTTTTTGCACAGTGATTATTGGTGCCTAAACAAAATGGCCGACATTTGTCCCATTTTACCATGCTATAAAGTTTTTATTATTATCAGAGTAAAACTTGACTGGTCATTACCATAATGGTTTTATTTGTTAGATAATAACTAAATCTACATGAATACATTAATTTTGTCCACTAGCTTGCCTGTTCAGAAAAGTTATAACAGTTACTGTTATGTGGCTCTTGATACCCTATGTGCACGTTTCTCATTTATTAGACCACTGAATATGACACTGGTTTAGGAATAGTTAACACAAAATGTATTAATTGTTTAACAGACTTGTGTCTAAATGATAGAAATACAATTCTAACCTGCTAAAAAGTTAAAATTCAGCCATCTGATGTTAGCCAGGTAATTTTTAAAATGGTACACATACTTATTACCCCTAAGGGGCAATTCAGCCAACTCAGCCCCCACCTGTTTCTAACCAACCATAAAACTTCTAATCTCTTTGTAGGTAACAGGAATAAATGTTCTTAGGTCTCAGCCAATCTGGGGTGGTATGTTATGTAATTTATGACCCTCAAGGTCCAGCAGGGAGGTAAACAGGCACATTAATACCACTGCTCCCCCCCTTACAATTACTTACCCCACATGATACCCTGCCCCCACCAGTTTCTGGCCCACCATAAAACTTCATCTCTTTGTAGGTAACATGGATTACAGTTACAGATCTCAGACAATCTGGGGTGGCATGTTATGTAATATATGACCTTCATGGTCTAGCAGGGTGGAGACCAAAGAGGAATCAGTACCACTGCTCTCTCCTCACAATTTCTCACCTCCATGATAGCCAGACCCCACCTGTATCTAACCCCCCATAAAACTTCATCTCTTTGTAGGTAACATGGACTTAGTTCTTAGATCTCAGCCAACCAGAGATAGCATCTCCTATGTAATTTATGGCCCTCAGGGTCCAGCAAGGAGAACAAAGGGGAAACCAGTACCACTGCTCTCCCCTCAACATTTCTCACCTCCATGTCATGTTATGTAATGTATAGCACACATGGCTTATCAGGGGAAAGCATTAAGGCAGATATATTAGTACCACCCCTTTTTACATACAAGAATGTTAACTCTGGACAACTACACACTAGTATACTAGCTACACACTAGGCATACTAATGTTCCTACTGTAAACTACTAGACTGTAGGCCCTATGTACACCTGCAATTGTATCAATTGTAGACTGGGCCCATTGGGGCCTAGTGATAGCTAGTATCAGTTAAAGTGTGTGTTCACAGCTTTAACTATTTTGGGGTTAGAAATTAATTATTTTTATTACGGAGTTAGTCTAAACTAGGAGATAATACTTATTGCCCCATTGCCCGGCTCCTTATACCCCAAATGCTGCTTTTGGGGGTATGACAATAAATGTTCAATTAAACCCATTTAAAGTATATTTATTAGATTTTGTTATTATTTTTATATTGTGTAAGATATGTTAGAATAATTTTGCCGTATTTTCAATACTAAAAAATTCTTAGATTAGTAGAAATCTTTAAAAATGTACAGGTGCTAAAAAGTGTGGCTCTTAACGTCCTCCTTTACCCTATAGGCAAGAAATTATCTTTAAACAGCAGTGTTTGCGAGCAGGATTATATAAAAAGCGGCCATCTGTAAGTTATTACTAAGTTAGAGTGGCTTCCCCTGAATCTAGCGCTATAAGTTTACTATAAAAAAAAAATAAACAAGATGGCTGCTATAGTAAAGGAGCATGGTTGCATCTGTTGGAAACATCGCTAGTCTTCATTTATTACTGATTAGTTTTAATTCAATTGTTTAAAAACAGGTACATTAATGAAACAAGGGAACATTTTTGTATTTTTCAAAACATAAATCCTCCTCAAAATGTGAAATAATTAATAAAATTTAAGGAGTCATCTGTTTTTCACATTACTAGTCGCTGGCGATTTTATGATTGTAGGAAAAAAAGTTACAGGAAAAAAAAACACAGGAAAAAAAAACACAGAAAAAAAGTCACAGGAAAAAAGTCACAGGAAAAAAAGTCACAGGAAAAAAAAATCACAAATATATATTTGCATGATATTTGTTAATACTTTTGTGAATTACATATTTAGAGAGTGCAAATTAACTTAGGATTAATTAAATGTAATGTGTGTATGCTGTATACGAATAGTAATTTTTATAATTCATCTAAAAATATTTAGTCTGAAGTATGTAGATTGTAATTATGTTAAACTTAAGATTAGTAGCATTTAATAGAATGCTCCAAAGTCCACTGTTTTCATCGTGTTTTTTTAAAATACCAACTTTAAATTACCGTGAAATGGTAATTTCATCTGACTTGCTGCCCTCAACTCATGGCAACAATAGTTATGTTTAGTTCAACCACCTTTACTGTCCACATTTATCACGCTCATTACATAACAAAACTTAGGATCAAAACAGAAAGCCGACAAGGTCCAAAGGCTGTCGATGACGCATAACGTCAACAACACAAAGTATGTTCTTACAATGCCTACTGAGGAGAGGCCGACCATAGAATAGCCTACAGCAAAATTTGCCTAAATTTCTTTTATAATTAACTTTTCTACCGTGCATTTAACTAAATACGTAACAAAAGTTGAGATTGTTGTGTAACTTATCTTATATTCACTTACAATTGTTATACACCTTACTGATTTTAACGTCTATAAATAATGTATTCTATAAAAAAATACAACCCACAACAATAAACATACAAAATTTGACAATTCTTAACAAATAAATCAAAATATTTCTAAAAACATTTTTGTGACTTTTTTCCTGTGACTTTATTTCTGTGACTTTTTTCCGATAGAATTTTTCCACTGTGACTTTTTTTCTGTGACTTTTTTTCCTAGCAAAAACTGACTTTTTTTCTGTGTTTTTTTTTTCCTGTGACTTTTTTTCCGTTTACCGATTTTACGTACCTAAAACGATAGATTACCTAAGTGAAGTATAAGTAAGTACTCTAGTAGTACTAAGTAAAGGAGTTGAGTAGTTGAGTAGTCCTAAAGTTAAAGTAACTCTACCTACCTACTAACTAGAAAATTATAAAATTATATAGTAATAGGGCAATATAAATACTAAATAGGCCTTATATAATTATAATATTCTATAATATTAATAGTGAATATATATAGGGCCTATAGGCCCAATATTTTAATATGTATAATTAATAATAAGGATGGTATTGAGAATTGACCTTTTGAATCCCTGACACTACTGACAGATTGTACCCAGGCGTGGCCTCAACCAAGGCGTGCTTGTTGCAGTGAGTTCATTGAGTTAAATATAAACTCAAAACAATAGGCCTAATATAAAGAATTTTTTTTTAAATTTTATAAAATTTCCCAGCGTGATTGCTGGGAAAAATCCAAAAACAGTCGGCGGGGTCACAGCGAGTTCAGCAGACCTATAGTCAGGCCCACATTCATTTATATATATATATATATAGGCCTATATATACACATATATATGTATGTAGTATGTGTGTGGGTGTAATATATGTATGTATATAGGCATATATGTATTTACATGTATATAAATGTTAAAAGTAAAACCTATCATTTTTTTTTCTGCTCACAGGAAAATGCAGGGAATAGTTGTTTTCTGTATGCTGATGAAAATGGATTTGGTGCCCTATCTGTGTGCTCCTACTGTGTAGCTTCTGCCATAATTTTTCTTTGCATTTGTGGTATTAGATTGGTGGTCCTTGTCATTAAAGTAACACAGTATACTTGCAAACTTACAGATCAAGTTTACAGGTAAAATCCTATTTTTTACTTTATTCCTCTAGTCATTATCAACTTTCTAATGCTAAGAAGAACAAAATAAAACATTTTATCGTAACTTCAACAGCTGGATCAATGTCTGGGGCATTCATCTGTTCATTTTTATTTTGGATGTGCTCCTTGTGGTGCTATTGTTAGTGACTGCTTGTTTGATTTCGGTGGGATTGTCAGAGATCTGCACAGACTTGTTTGGGAACAGAGAAAAGTAAGTTAAATACACCTTACTGACTAAATTCTATATGCTCTACTTCTCATCACTATTACCACAGAATAATTTTGTCAATAGTGGCATACCATTTGGAATTATCTGTTGCATATTCAAATCTCTATTAATATTTTTTATATAACTACTTGTTTCTGTAACTTTACATACTGGTTTTTGTTTTGTTTTAATTAGAATTTAAAAGTTTCTATTGTCATAGTCTAAGATTTTGGTAAAACAGAAAGCTTTTAACATGCCATTTAAAAGTGTTTGAATAGCTTTAAACTGATGTGGTTACAGATGTTCATCAGATGGGGTTGATCTTCCAAATGGAAAAACAGATACTACATTCTACAAGGCTCTATCTTTCTCTGAGGTAATTCAGTAATAGCTTTACATTAGTGTATTTGCATTTGAGATAAGTAAATTTTATAAACTGTGTGGGTGTTGGTAGCAAAAAAAATAAACTGCTGGTTTATTTTCAGGGCTCTGCCTGGTTCACTTTTTGTTTCTGGTTGTTGGTTGTCTGGGGGGAAGTTTTTATGATGTGGAGAAACGGTTTCCTTTCAAAGTTAACCCAGCAAATGAGAAATATTTTCCGTGGAAACAAGGGACAAACTAACCAGGGAGGAGCAGCAACACAAGTTTCTCTGGACAAGTATTAGACTTTAAAGGGAAATTTTCAATGTCTTCTGTGAATCAATTCTAATTAAAACTCACTGCTTCTCACTCCACCTACAAGAGGGGACTGTGATGCCAGAAAATGTTTTGAACTTCAAACTGTATTCAGAACTTTATATGAAGTTAATATTTCTTCTCATTCGGGTGCTTAAGCAATAGCTGCTTGTTCCTATTTAGTTAGGATTAAATTTGCTTTAGTGGCTCATTTATATTTAAATAATATTAAAACTGCTGTCTAGTTATACTTTAGAAACATTTTTTAGAAGGGATAAATATATAGTGGTCAAACAAGCTTGTAGTATCTGAAGATCTCATACTACATTTTTCTGCTAACGAAGTTACCTTTAGTAGTCACTAGGAGAAGATAAATATCTTGGCCATAGTATTTTTAATCAATTTAACAGGGAAATTATGTATTAATTTGAAACAATATTGAGTTTTTGTTCTTTATTGTTTCAGTATTTATTAGTAGAGTTTTTGGAGATTTTAACCATCGAAAAGTTATAGGACTAAGTTATGTCTTTGTGGTCGTAAATGATCAGATCTATTTTAAAAACACATTCCCATATCGAGGGTTAACCCTCTTTTCTTGACACCGTTTAATGAACAACTAAAAGAAGCTGGCACAAACAAGTGATGACTTGGGTGCTAAACATTTGCTCACCCACGCAATTTTATTACTGCTGTGCAGTCCAAATACAGATTTTATTGAAGTAGGATTGTTTAATGTAATAGATTATCTATTTTTGGTACTTATCCAGGAAAGTGTTTTAATGTTAAAGAAAATATTTTACAATGTCTGTAGTTAAAGCTGTGAAATGGAACCACCCACAATGGTCTGGTACAGTCCATTGTTTCATGTTCAAATGGCAGATGTAAATCAGATGTACTCAACATTTAGCTTTTTAATAATCAATCAATATACTTATTATTTACAATGGTTTTGTTTTTTAAAGTGTACAACTGCATGCTGTTTTGTATTTGTGTTGATTCCATCACAAAAACAATTTTTCACTATCTCACATTTGTGTTGATTACTTTTACAGCACAAAAACAACAATTTTTTCTCCACCGTCTCATATTTAACTGTTGGGACCATCTACCTTTGATGTCATTTATAGAGGGAGGAAATTACTGACGTTTTTTTTTTTTTACAAACTTTTCTTTAACTTTATTCCTCGTCCTCTGGTAATGCACTATTTTTATGTAACCTAAAAAAAAATATTTTTTTTATTTTCTAATTGCAACTTTTAGCAAAATGTGTGTACCTTTCTGTGTATTTAAAAATATAATTGTTTGTAGGCATGTTTATTATTTAGAATTTCTTAATTTTTTAAAAATATCAATTATCATGCTTCTATTTAGTTTTTTTTTTAGTTTTATTAACATGGTGCATTTTACCCAAAGTCATTGTACAAAAGCCTGTTTACTGGTATTATAAACATTTATTACAAGTATTGTTTAACATTTAAATATCTAAATTTGATGGGTTTTTTTAATATTTAAAATCACTGTTACGGATTTTTGCATTTGTTTTAATTCTTTGTAGTTATCACCTGTTTTATACTTGAAGATACAAACTTTAACAGCACCTGTTTTATACTTCTAGTTGAAAATATCAGATCAGTAGACTGTCTAGCACAATTCCTGCTTATGATTTCAGTGAGCAGATTATGTTGTACCAGAAAGTCAATATATCACTACCAATATGAGCCCCTTGAGGCATAAGATCCATTTCCCTATGTCCTTTACCATCCAACCCATTAACTTCTGATATCTTTCCGTTTCCCCACAACAGGTGATGTGATTTTTGGCTGATGCAGATGTTGGTATGATGTTTGTGTGAAGTTGTGGAGTTGAGTGATACATTTGGTCAAACTTCTCACACTCTGAGACTTAGTGAGGCTCTTAATAGAGGGTTTTTCTGAAGGTCTGTTAGTTTTTTTGAAACATTGCCACGGTCTGACTTCCTTTACCACTATTGTCAGACTGGGCACCTGGTTAAAGAACATTGTCAGAGTGCTCCCCGTTCATGCTAAAGTGTTTCTGCCACTGTGTTCTCATGTAACTGGACAGGTGGAACTTGTTCTTAAGATGTTCATGCCATAGTTTAACATGCCCACTCTGTCTGGCTCAGTATATGGTATATTATTTGACTCACAAGTAAATAAATACTTGCTCTCTATACATTGACGTATACCTATCTTAATAAAACAGTATGTGCAGTTTGTTTCATAAATTAGTACATACATATCTCGGTAAGAAATCATAGCTAAAATATTTGCTGCACTATACATTGTATTTTTCAATTGTAAAATGTATTTCAATTTTTTTTTTCAAAAATAAGACTATGAAACTTTTAATTCTGTACTCATTTGTTGGATTGGATCATTTTAAATCCATTTTATTTATCATGTCAATAATGATAATTATTCCATTTTACTAAGTTAATAATTTATTTTGGTATAATTTGAATAGATCAAGTCATAATTAGCATAATTGTAAACATTTTACAACTACTTTTTCTTTTTTAAAAGATAATGTTATCTGTGTTTGTAATGTTTAAATAATTGTATATTTAAAGGTTTAGTTTTTTTGTAACTTATTGTTTTGTTTACTGTTTATGGGTAGCCCTAAATAAACAAGTGGCTCCCTAGTCTGATAGAAGATTGTATAATTGCACCTTGGAAATCAAGGTGCAAAGCCTGGGCAGTAAGTTCAGAGGAGCCAGATGTTGCCCAGGTATCAGCCGCCCCTCCCTCCTCACACAGAGCTGATGAGCTCAAGGGAGAGGTCTTACCTATACAACTTAGCATCAGCTGGCTCACATAAGCCGCCAAAAGGAAACCTGAGAGCTAATCCTGTCTTGAAGGTTAGCCTAGTATTCTGACAATATTATGTCCAAGTGGTAGAGTGCTTAGCTGCTAACCCAAAAGTCTCAAGTTCGAGTCATTAGAACATCCTGAGTCCACCCAGCTCTGATGGGTACCTAACTCATTTTAGGGAAAGTAAAGGCAGCTGGGCAAAGTGCTAACCACACTTTCCCTTCATATGCTGAGGTGAAGAAACATATGATCTCTACTTCATCTGCCTAATGGATTGCTAGGTCTAAAGAGGATTCTGTACCTTTCTTAATATATAGATTGGCCAAGTATTCTGACAATATTGTCTTGCGTTATATTTATGGCTAGGCCTAGTATTCTGACAATATTATGTCTTGCATTATATATATGGCTAGGCCTAGTATTCTGACAATATTATGTCTTGCGTTATATATATGGGTAGGCCTAGTATTCTGACAATATTATGTCTTGCATTATATATATGGATAGGCCTAGTATTCTGACAATATTATGTCTTGCGTTATATATATGGGTAGGCCTAGTACTCTGACATTATTTGTTGTATTCTCCAACTGTCAACCTAGTCAATTTCATTGTACATGAAATATGTAAACAGTGCAATAAGCTTTTTTAAGGTGTCGAGCAAGTTTGACTTCTATAATGTTGTACCAAAGATAAAAATATGTTTAGTTTGTGTCTGAAAATAGAATTTCTTTTTCTTCAGGATATATATAACTAAATTGCTATTTAAATTTTAAGTTAGTTTTTTTTAATAAAGCTGGCTGTTGATTTATTTTTTTTAACTCAAGGAAATTGATTACATGTATCATTTTACAATTATTTAAAACTATTTACTTCACTTTTCATTCCATGTAGCTATTAAAATAACCATAATTTACACTATACTGTAGATATAATAAAGGAATTTAGCATGTTAAAATTTTTTAATTTATTGGTAGCTTTAATTTGTTTGTGGGATTGTCTGTCAACCTAAAAGTCTCAAGCTTGAATCCCGGTTCGAGTCAGTAGAACATCCCTGTACACCCAGGTCTGATGGGTTGCTGACCCATTAGTGGAAGTACAGGAAGCTGGGCATAGTGCTGACCACACTATCTCTTTAGGTGCTGAGGTCACAGAAACAGGTGAACTGTATGTTAGCTGAACCAGGTGAACTGTATGTTACCAGGTGAACTGTATGTTACCTGAACCAGGTGAGCTGTATGTTACCTGAACCAGGTGAACTGTATGTTACCTGAACCAGGCGAACTGTATGTTACCTGAACCAGGCGAACTGAATGTTAGCTGAACCAGGTGACCTGCATGTTAGCTGAACCAGGTGAACTGTATGTTACCTGAACCAGGTGAACTGTATGTTACCTGAACCAGGCGAACTGCATGTTAGCTGAACCAGGCGAACTGCATGTTAGCTGAACCAGACGAACTGCATGTTACCTGAACCAGGCGAACTGTATGTTACCTGAACCAGGCGAACTGTATGTTACCTGAACCAGGCGAACTGCATGTTAGCTGAACCAGGCGAACTGTATGTTACCTGAACCAGGCGAACTGTATGTTACCTGAACCAGGCGAACTGCATGTTAGCTGAACCAGGCGAACTGCATGTTAGCTGAACCAGGTGAACTGTATGTTACCTGAACCAGGTGAACTGCATGTTACCTGAACCAGGCGAACTGCATGTTAGCTGAACCAGGCGAACTGCATGTTAGCTGAACCAGGTGAACTTCCCACATTAGCAGCTTTGTGTACAAGGTAAAACATGTGTCTACCTCCCCATATTAGATTTTTGCACATGGTAAAACAGGTATTGTCACACTTTATTTATCTCCAATTCCTCCTTCCCTTGTCACATAATTCTGACCTCCCCCCCCCCTCCCCCTCATCTCATTCCAGGACCTGTTTAGGGACCCCTAATAGTTATAGTCTCGTTTCAACTTGTTTTTTTTTTACCATTAAATGCTAGTTCTGAGTGTAATTGAATCTAATTCTAAATCAGTAGCGTAGCTACCATAAAGCTATAAAAAAAGGCCCCCAATAATTTCTTACTGTACATGCATTGGCATTCAGTGTGCATGTGTGTGGGGGGGGGGGGGGGGAAGAGGTCGAACTGGGCCCATATGGCGCTACTAACACTATAAGCTTTTGGTTTTCATACAATCACCAAGAAAAATTGTGAAGTCATTGAGAGTACTCCAGGCAGTGTTTTTTTCCCAGACATTTTTCTGAAAGAAACTCTGGCATTTGGGAAGGTTTCTAGTATTACAATTTATTATTTTTTTATTTTATTATTTTATATTTTGGATGGCGGCGCCCCGGCCGGTAGGGCGGTGCTGTTTGCCACTAAGAATTTCCCAGCGGCTATCTTGGCACCTGGGGTCTGTTGATTGAATGTCCGGCGCAGCGGTCTAATTGCACAGGCACATCAGACTGTGCCCTGGCGGTCGCGTAATCCGGTTCGCCCTGGGCTCCCCTGTGAGCTCTATGGCGCCTATATTCGTTTTGATGAGCGCCATTCACCAAGGATACGGAGGGCTACTAAATTCAATAACTAAATCGAATAAAGGGTGTTCTCCAGCGCAACAACAGTAGTAAAGGTTGGGCGCCCCGAGATAGCCAGCGGCAAAGGATCCGTTGATTGAGCGTCCTGCAGGCGTACTACTTATTCAACGATCAAACTGCAACACGGGCGGCCTTATGGATAACACCAAGCACAGGAGCATCCTACGGTGGGCAACTACGTTCGATGATTAAACTGAACCAGTGGTAGCATCCGGCTACCTACGGTAGTGTAACTCTTAGGCAGTTGCTGAAAGGCCCACTATTACGGAGAATTATTAACATACACTCAACAAAGATCCGAGAAAAAACACTGACGTTGTTTACCTTTGAATTATCTCAGTTTTAGAAAACAAGGTCACACGACTAAAAATACACAATTATTAACGCATTGATGAAACCTTACAAATTGTTTCATTACACTGGTATGTACTGTGACTAGATCGCAGGAACACGGTGGGGTACGCTTAGTAACAAATAAACATTCTTTAACATTCCAATTCCACTGTGATCAGGAAGGAGATTTTGATGTCTATGATGGAATTTTTAAAGCTCGTTATTTGTTCATTATGATGCTGTTAATTTGTTATGAAACAAATTGTATATATGCCCATTGTGTCAGCCATCCTAAATATCTAACATAACAATTAAAAGCATGAGAAAAAAAACAGATCTAAATAAACCATGAGCAGCTGTTTTTTAATTGTTTTTTTTTTAATGCTAGTGGCGTCAAAAGGTTGGGTGTTCCCCCTATGCGTTTACCAAATATGTCACCCCCCTAGGGCGCTGGCCATAGGGGGGCGCCAAAATGGGTTGGAAAAACAAATTGAAGTTTAAGGGGGGGCGCAAATAGAAAGTTTGAGGGGGGGGGGGTGCAAATCAAAAGTTTGTCCCCAGGGGCACAAAAAAATTGTGGGGGGGGGGGCGCTTTTAATAAGTTTTGCCTAGGGCATTAAGTAACCTGGCGCCGGCACTGATCGTAGATCTAGACCAGATTCTAATTCTCTAGGTCTGTCTCTAAAATTAAGGCTCTACTATGACAGTCTAACAAGCAGTCAAAGTCTAGTCAGATGTAAATCTAGCACAATTCAACAGACTAACTATAAGTCTTAAGTCCTATTTTTTTTTACTATGAGTAGTATGAGTTTCATTACTTCATTACTCTTACTACTAGGGTTCATCCATAAATCACATCACACTTTTTGTTGATTTCTACCTCCCCATCATCACAAAAAGCAGACAACCCCTAAAATTCCTTTCACAACTAAGCCTACCCCCCCCCCCCCCCCACTCGAAATTGCAGTTTAATTTAAAATATTAACTGGGCTATGTCAACATAAAGTATACCATAGGGCCTACTAAGTAATTTATATTACAATTTACAAAAACAGCTGTCTAAAACGCGAAATAACGGTTAGAATTCAGTTTCTAATAAAGTAATATTACTTAGGGGGGGGGGGGGCCTATGTAAAATGCAAAAAAGTATGACGTCACACTATTTATTATTTAAACACCCCTCACCCTGCCCTCACATTCTACATTGACACAAAATTACGAACCCTTCTTTTAAAATCCAAAACTCTCACACTATCAGAACCTCCTCCGTACCCATCATCACAAAATTACTACCGCCCTCCTTCCCCTGCTATAATTGTGACGTCATTTGTAATTTATGGACGACCCCTTTATTAAAAATAGGCTAAATGGTGATTTTATATAATTCGATAATAAAAGTTAAATTGTAGGCATAATTAGTGGTACTTTGTCATTAATATTAGAGCTATAAATATAGACTAGATCTAGATTCTAGCAATCATTTCTTATTTTTATTCATATCGCATCAGTAAGCTAGTTAGGCTAAGTATAATAATAACTATAATAAGAAGCTCTGACCCTTCAACCTTAACCCGGATATATAGAATTTATTTAGCCTCGTTTTAAATGTAACCAGCTGTGAGCGATTGCCAATTTGCATGACATCTCGATAGACTTTTTCCACAGTACCATTATAATAGTTACAAATAATTACGCTTCTTTTTTTTAAACTTAAATTTATATATTATTTTAGTAATACCAAACTATAATAGAGATATTCGGTAGACACACATTTTTATAACATTAATTAGGAATACTTCAAAGTAGATCTATATAGATGAAATAACAGTTATTCAAGGATACATTAACTACTTACATTATTGTACATAAACTAATTTCTCAATATTATATTCAAATGCGTTGTGACTTTATTGTTAAGTTTACACGAACGAAATAACTGCAGTGAAAGCCTTGCATTACATAGATTGTGATATTTAAAATATATTTATAATAAAATGTAAAGTTACGATGTAGACCTATGTTTGCCTTTTACAAAACGAGCTATAAATCAAGCTACATTTCAATGTGTCAGTCTGTTATTATTTTACCAGTGCTAATTTGTTTAGGCCTAGATACGTAGCCTATATTGATGTATATCCCATAATAGCCCACATTACTTAAACCCATTAGCTGATAACATATTTCTAGATATTCATCTTTTGTATGTGTATTTACATAAAAGGGGAACACATTTTAAAATCAACCAATTAGTTGGTAATATTTGAAAAAAAAAATGTAATTAGATGAAACGATAATAGATCTATACTACTTTTCTCTCTTTTTTTTTTTTTTTTTTTTTTTTGTTGCCATTGCATAATACATTTTGGCCTTTCGAGTTTCCGCTTTCTGGTCTATATAGTTGCTGTCGCTGGTCATCTTCCTTCATCATTCCACAAAAATTGTTTAATACATTCATTATTTGAGACTTGGATCTTACTTGTTGAAAATATGATTGAATGTTGTAATCCAAAGATTTATGGAAGAGTCAGGTAGCGAAACACAACTACGTTGTCCTTGTGGATTCTGGGGGTAAGTTCCTTATTTAAACCATACAGTTAGTTGCGAGTAGAGATCCTAACAAAACGCAAAGTTCTCAAAGAAAAAGCGACTCCCCAGATTCTGTGTTGTAGCGAAAATGGCGACAAGTCCACTCATTCTTAATGCAAAAACTGTATTGTTGTAGTTTTCTCTTTAAAGGTCTAAACAATAATAACTGTGCGATACAAAACCAGTACAAGGTGCAATAGTTAAGTTGAACTGATATGGAATAAAATATTTTTAAAAAAAACTAGCCTGCAATAGTTTACTTCTTTCCTTACCTTTGCTTGTTTTCAATTTTTTTTTGTTTAGGTTCTAAAAATTAGATCTAGATCTAGAGGAGCTTACACTTTTCGGACACACATAGCGAAAAAACGCAACGTAAAAATTCCATGCGGTCTCATTCAGTAACCGCTTAACATAGAAAACAAAAAAAAGTATCATATCTATCCGCAACCATTCTACTTTAATAATGTGTGTGTCATTTTGTATTCATACGCATAGAACTTAAGCTATTCTTGTTATAGTGACTGGGGGGTCTTAACGTGTGTTCGAACACATGTAATACAGTTTTACATGTGTTCGGACACCTTTACCCGTCATCGGACATAGCACTTTTTGTTCATTTAGAATAATTTAAAGTCAATTTAATGAATAAAAACATATATTATATGCATTTATATTGTGTTATTGATTGTTTGTGAGGTAATTTTAATAGTATAAAACCTTTTTCCCACACTCCCAAAGTTCATCCCATTCAGCCATTGCGGCTCGCGCAGTACGCTGCTAAGCCAGCCAGGTCACATGATTCCCCCTCCTCTTTTGCATTCCACTGCCTTCTTGACCTTATTTTGACCCTTTCCCTTCAATAACCAGCCCCTTTTATGCTCTAAATTCTTATTTAGTAATATTTTTGTGTTGGTGTCCGATCCCATGTAAGGCCAAATAAGTTAGCGAACACCCCTTTTTTATTGTTCAAGCACAAAAAAACCCATTAACCTTGACATTTACGATGTTCCATACATATATAGAAGCTATTTATAGTGTAACCTTTTAGCTAAGCATTGATTGGTTCAAGTTTTGCCCCTAAGTCCAACCCTAGGTCACTTCATCCGGCTGGTGTAAAAATAGAAATGTGCGTACCATGCAACGTTAAAAAATTTCTAAAAATAATTCTTGAGAAAGGAAACGGAAGTACCTGACACGGAAGTGTTCATAAATGAACAGTTTACGTGCAGGCGCCGTGGTTTCGCGTGAGACATGCTAATTAAAGTTTCTATGAGCCAAAAACCGACGAAGTGTTCGCTCCTACGTAATTTTTGGTGTGTGTCCGAAAAGTGTAAACTCCTCTAGGCCTAGATCTTTTAATTAGATTTACTTAAAAACAAATTATAATTCATTAGGCCTAATTCTAGTTAATTCTAGTAGGCCTAATCATTATTCCTATTGCAATTTACTTGGGAGGCCATGTAGCTTATCATGTGATTCAGGGTTACCGTTAGGAAGTTTGATGAAAATATTTTAAAAATTCTAGATCTAGGGCCTATAAAACTATAAAATAAAGTATCAATAATCCACTTTTATAGTAAACAAAGTCAATTTAGCATATATGCCTATTAGCCTTTTATTCAGTCATTATTACTGAATAAAATTCCAAAGTGACAGTGGGCCTATCCTTCACCACTTATTTTTTAAAAAAGCACTTCGGTTATGGTGTTGCACATTTTCCTGCGCTTAGTTTTTGGCAGTAAGATTTTAATATATGGCTCCATAGTCTAATTTTGCACATTGAAAATTCAAGCACAAAGTCTGGGCCCTAAGTTGAGAAGAGCAAAATGTTGCCTATGTATCTGGCTTCCCTCTCTCCACACAGCTGATGGACCCAAAGGACAGGATGTTACCTGCCCAGCTTGGAATCAGCTGTGTCACAGGAGCCGGAGCTGCCCAAAAGAAAACCAGAGTTGGTAGTCCTATTGCCTAAGGGGCTCCACTCCTGTTTGATGTTTGCTCTCTTAGATGGGTTGATGTTCCCAACTGACAAGCCACATCTGCCAGAGGGTTTGAACTTGTGACTTTTGGGGTGGTGACCATAAGCTTAACCGCCTGACCACGAAGATTATAATAAAATGACACCATTTATAGGTGATTTAAGGCCAAATGAATTATTACCATAGGTTGTCATGTATATGAAAACTAAGGCTTTCAAAAATTGATAAATCATTACTGATTTTCATTATCAGCTCTGTTTAGAGTTATTTGATTGGAACACAAAGAATAAGACAATAAGAGAGCTACTTTCATCAAAGCACCTCTCGCTAGATAAAGAAATAAGGTCAAAGGTGCACCTGACTTTTCTCTGTTTACAATTTAGTAGCCTGTCTTACTCAGTTTTAAATCAAATTATTATCTCCACTTAACTTATGACTAATTGAATTTATTCCATTGCAAAGTATATTTATAACAGAACATAAAAATATCTAGAGATAGGCCCTAATTATTTATTTCATGTGCTCTTGAAACCGATTCTATGTACAGTAAACTTTGTGAAAAAGTGAAACTACAAATCTGCCATGCTGGGTGATAGTATATGGCCTATGGAAACTTAAATATTTTCTTATGGTTTCTCGTCTTAGTTTTATTGCTGTTTTTGTTAATTCTTATAAATTAGTTCGTTTTTAAAGCTGTATAAATTGTTGGATGATTATAGATACCAGTGTCCGATAATGGAATCTTCTTTAAAAACAGGGTGTTGGGTTGTTAGTAGTATTGTAATCTTGTCTAATTTTATGGTTAGAAATTAATTAGGGTTAGGCGTATGGTAGGGTTAGGGACAGGGTTAGCATTGACATTAGCCAGCCAAGAGTGTATTTAGTTAACTACCAGTAAATAACGCCTCTTTTTTAAAGAAGATTCAATTATCGGACACCTGTGTAAACATTCTCCCACACAACCCTGTTTCCATTTTCTACATTTAAATTTCATTACCTTGTTTAAAAATCTGTACAAAATAATTACAAATCAATCAAGTTTTTTAATGAATTACCTTTCCAATTTGAAAGTATTATTTGGAGAGGATATTTGAATGTGAGTGTTAACTCTTATCCTAAATGCTATTATACTTTACTTGGTCTATCTTTAAGAACACTCAAACCTTTCTTTCTGAATTTTAAAAGGCTTTTTTATTCTTAATTTTGGAAACTACACGTACAAGCTACTTCAATGTTATTGTTGTTATGCACATGAAAAAGGATCTTTATTTTCCAGCAATTATGTGATATTTTAGGTGTACCAGGGGTGCACATGAATCTATTTGTTTCTATGTCTTTTTTACACAAGTTCTCTGCATTTTGTAATTCTTAAAATAATGCTAGTGCTAGTTTATTCCATTGTAATTTTAAAGTTGGTTTTTTTTTTTTGCATGTACATTTTTTAGACCATCCTTATAGATAAATTAAGATACAACTTAATGGAAGTGTTATTGGTCATTTAAAATTTAAGCTATACTATACATTTGCATACAAGTTAATTCATTGTAGACCTACTTTGATGTTATTATTATATCTACACTAATTTTAATCAATATCTTTTATAATTTACAGGTCATCAAAAACATTAGGTCTCTGTTCTGTGTGCTATCGGAAAGGTAATAAGATTGAAATTATATGTAGATTTACAATGTTACAGCTATTTGAAATTCTATTTCACCTCTAGTTAGTTTTCAGCTTACTTTTAACTATATACAAATGAAGCATATTTGAAAATGCTTTAATTTATTTGCAGCACACAGAGGTCAGACTCAAGGTACATCACATTCTTTTGGTAACTATTGTTTCTTTCATGAGTGTTTCTTATGTGTTTGTCATAAATGCATATGTGTGTGTAAGTTGTGTATTATAAAATCTTTTTTTTTCTAGATGCAGGAAAAGCTGCTGTTGGAAACTGTCAGCCCCAAAGCAGCCAAAGAAGGATGGATTCTAAACCTTTTCCATCACGCTCTACAACTGACAATTTAGCTACTTCTTTGGCTTCAACTCCAGGTGAAAGATCTTCTTTATCAACTGCATCATCGTCTGCATTAGACACATCTACCCCACCAACCAGTGGTGCCAATACTACTAGTGGGCATATTCCCTCAGTTTTGAATGCTGGAGCAGATATAGGTCAGCCGGGAACCTCTAAATCTCAGTCTTGTGAAACATTAACTGATCCCACCGAAACTGACAGCTGCAGCTCTGCATCAAGTGACCAGACATACGATAATCAACATGATCCTGGTCTTTGTACTTCTGACGCTAGTGTAAATTCTGTGGTTAGCAGTATTGCTGCTACTTTTTCATCCTCATCTTCTCTTGTTAGTGCTGGAGATCACAAAGCAATTAACACTCAATCTACAGGAAACCAGGTACTAATTGGTGGAATTCAAAATGTTGCTAATGACACAAAATCTTCCTCTTCTAACACAAGTCCTAGTAAGGACATGTTAACTGTAATGCATAGCGGTGTTGTTGCTTCCAGCAAACTTTATGCAGAAAAGGTAGAAAGTCAAAATGACAATTCGCTAACTCATGGAAAACAATCCCAAACATCCAATAACCTATCTTCCATTGGAAGTGGAATTTTTGAGAAAGTACCAGTTGAAACTGATGGATCTTGCACCACATCCCGGGGGATTAAAAGGTAAGGGTTGAGTGTATGCTACATAGCATTTTTAATTATATATATGTTTTAAGTGAATGAGTTTGTAAGCTACCTGGTGTGAAATAGGGTAACAAAATTTTAACAAAGTCCTTACACAATAAATATTGAAAGAAAAATAGAAATAGGTAGTTGAAACTCGTTAAGTTTTACTTTTAATTTATGGAGAATTTTCATATGTAAAGTTGGAGTATTTTATCAAACTTAAATTATATCACAATTTTAATAACAAAGAAAATGCTTTTCAGTTAATCTTCAATGTTTTTTGGCAAATATAATGTTACTTTTCATAAATGATTGTAGTAGAATATTGCATTTCTTTTAATATTAAGTTTTCATGGCTTAACAGAACTAAAGATGAAATGGAAGCTTCAGATGAGACATTATCACCTCAAAAGAACAAGAAAAGATGCTTTAGTTGTAAATGTAAGCTAGAGCTTGCTCAACGTACAATTGGTCGTTGTAGATGTGGTGAGTTATTCTAATAATTTGATAACCATTTTACTATTATACTTTACTTATTCATGCTATTGATTTTACTTATATATACTTGTTTCATGTTTTTAATACATTTCAAACTTCTAATCGTTAATGTATATCACCTTTTGCATCTTTGATTGAACATAGATATTAACCTAAAATAATTTAAAATTTTTAGACCGAGTATTTTGTGCACTTCATCGACTTCCAGAACTACATGATTGTGAATTTAACCATAAAGAAGATGGGCGCAGAGAAGCTAGGGAAAAAATGATTAAGCCCACTAGACATCTTGGACCGTCTTATCGTAGAGAGGATCACTCATGATATTTAAGTATGCAGCCAGAATGTTTTGTTTACTAAATAAATTCATTATGTTTTTAGAGTGATGTTTTATGAGGTTAACACTAATTAAGCCATGGCATTATCAGTTTTTGTTTACCATCAACATTATCTATGGTATGCTTCAGGAAGAAAAGTTTAAAATGGTCCTTTTTTTTTTTTAAGACGTTGCTTTAGGTTGCAAGTGCTAATTTTATTCATTGTTTGGTGGATGACAATAGTGAATAAATGTGGAATTTACATCGTTTTGACAACCGAAATATTTTAGTTGTTCTTCAAAATCAAGTTATAATTTAAGTAATTTTAAAATTATAATTCATATAATTGAAGTTTAAATAAGTTTTAAAATGTAATTCTTAGTGCACTTACATATAAGAACAGAGCTAGTTTTTATACTGGTTGGTCTAAAAACAGTGGTATTTTATTAGCCACCTTGAAGGAATACATTTTGTTGTTATTTTTTTTTTAATTGTGATATTTATAATTAAATAGTATATTAGCTCATTATATATGGCTATATTTTAAAATTCTTATAAATTTAAACCATGTAACACTGCAATTTATTTAAAAATAAGACCTCACCAGAACATTGCCACTTTTTTCATGGGCACAAGCAAATATATTAATTTATTGAATATCATTGATCGGTTGCAATTAGTGTATAGCAGAGGTTAGCAAATGATTGATCTAGACAATCTAGTAACCTTTATGATTGCATGTTCTATTTGGAAAATTGTCTGTCTTTTCTATAAAAAGTGTGAGAGAGCAACTGTTTTGGGTGAACTGAAGTCAGGTTTTCTGGATTCGTTAACCTCTGAGATATACAGCTGTTTGTTTTTTGCCATATCATTGCTTTTGGGGAAATAAGCATGTACCTACCCCCATGCTGTGTTAATAAAGTGTAAATGGTTGCCTGTATAGGGGTGTGAAAGATTTGATTTTTACTTTGACTGCAGTTATACTCATCCATCAAATGACACTGACTGATTTGTTTACATAGTTCATTTAAAATTTGAGGTTTCACAATTAAATTGCTACTATCATCAATCTCTGACTTTTAATGTGCTAAAGATAACTACTTTTTACACATAAAAATTGTGTTGTAGTTTGTTACAGAGATAAAGCAAATCATTGTCCATTTTAAAAATGCCGTTCAGGTCATTTTCATGTTGAGAATGCTGATTGTTGGTTACAAACTTACTGCTTTCAGAATTTTATTTGTAGCACCTCGTAGTTTTTTTTATTGCATTTTCGTTTTTCCAATCAGTTCACATTTTTATAGCAGGCAAAATATGGACAAAATACAAAATTAGTTATAAAGCAGCAGTAAAAATTTTGTACAAGCTTATGCTGAAGACAAATTATTCTTTTATGTTTTGCAAGCTAGATAGCTCATAGTTTAATTTAATTACCACTCCTGAGAGAGCAGCTTTGTTGAGTCACAAAATACCTATATTGGTTTTGTTATTTTTATTATTAATTTGAGCATCTTTTTAAAATAAACTAACTGGATTTTGTAAATCTAATTTGTAAAATTTGAAGTGTCTAATTAATTTTTTAGTTGCTTCTTTTTGCTAGGATTTTAGTTTTTCTTCGCACACCAGGATTACTATTTAAGATAATAATTGTTCTGTGTTGCTCATGATCAAGATTATCTAGCTAAATTATTTAGCATGCTTTCAGCACCTTAGTCAATTATAAAAAAACAATAAATTGAGGTGAATTATGCAACAAGTATGCAAAGAAAACTATAACATAATAATATAATGATAATCTTCATACTTTGTACAGTCTTTGTTGTTAGCAGACTGTTCTAATATAAAAATTTGCTTGTTTATTATTTTGTAACACCTGGTCATACATCCTTAATCACAAGGACAGTTTCACCATGTAGAATATAAGATTTGTCTTCCCCATTCCCAGCTATGTATGTACTTGTACATTAGGTGTTTTTATCAGTTTTTCTATCACTCTTATCTTAGTACTGAGATTCTTTTTAAAATGGTCATAGAGTTACAGAACTGATATCTTTCTTTTTGAAATCTTGTAAAATAAGTCATCTTTTTGCTTGGTAAAATGTCAAATCTTTCTAAATCTGTATGCCATGTTTATCCTGATAACACCTTTATTACTCATGTGTTCAGATAATCTGTGGGTTACTGGTAAAGTGGTACACAGAAACTTAAGTGTAGTAAAAATACAGTTGTGAAAAGCTATACCCTAAAAGAGCTATAGGGTTAGCATAGACAATTTTAGGAAAAAATGTCAGTCTTTAGCTTTGCCCTTAAATATCATTTGTGCTGCAGTCTTTAAACATTATAATTGTGATACTATAAAACATTGCTGTATTAATGGCATGTTATAGATTCTAACAGTCATTGTAAATGATTTATTTATATTATTTTGAGAGAATGCTGGTTGTGGCTGATTTCCCATATTGACATATTTTATGAAAGCTCTATTTGCCATTCTTAAAGTATAAGATTTAAAGCATAGGAGTCCTTTTTAAAACTTTGTTTTAGATTCATTAATTTTCAAGAAATCATGCACGCTCAACATTATTTTCATTACCTCCATTTTAATAACTATGAATACAAATTGTACATAATGTAGTAAGAAGTGAATAAAGCCATACACACTAACATTTTTGTTTGCTGGTTCCTTACATTCTATCAACTTAATTAAATTTTAAATGAACAAATAGAATGAATATAGTGTACCCATCCCCACGCGATGCCGCAGGAGTAGAAGAAAGTGTGACAAAATATATAAGGAGGGTTTCATCTATGCGTTATCAATCCTATATTCTTAGACGTGTGACCTTCTTTTCAAAAACTGAGTTATTTAAATGTAAACAATGCCTGCGCTTGGATCATAAATACTGGGACACGGGTTTACCTACACTACCGCATGAAAACCTTGAGGGTAAATCACTCACAGAAATGAGGTAGAACAAACTTCGGTGACGGCCCATGTGTCAGGGACTTAAAGGTGCGCTCTGGGGAGCCCCTGATTACACTATCGCAGAGGCCCCACATACGCCCCCTGGCTCCTTAAAATTATTACATAGTGCTCACAGGATAACCCAGAGCGCCAAATAGCAGCCTGAAACAATTATGCAGATTGCGTCATTCACTCAAGTGACACAAATCAACGTAGAAAAAATATTTGACATGATGCAATTTGGATCTCAAATTGGATCGTCACAAATAGATGCTAAGTGCATCATTCCCATAGTGACGAAACTGTATAGAAGGGTTTCATTTTTAGAAGTGTGACTGATTTTTATATTTGAGTTGCCCTCCGAAACTTACTTTTTTACGGAAATATTTTCAGTATTTCGTGAACTGTATGCTTTGGAATTGTTTGGATTTTTTATATGGATAAAAGGAAATAAGCTAGTTAATAATATAACCTTAGTTAATTTATCTGATTAGTTAAAAAAAATTGTGATTTTTTTTTTGGGAGGGGGGGGGAATTTTTGTTTGCAGCCGAATTGCACCCTACCAGGGCGCGGCAGACACGCCTGATTCAATTTAGTAAGTGTATGTAACGCCCCGTCTTATCCATTGTCTACCGCACTGTTTAGAATGAACTTATGCGCCATTGCGCTCACTGGAAAGCCCAGGGCGCCAAATTGAACCCTGCAGGGACGATGTAGGACAGGCCTGGTTCGATATAGTCAACGATTATTTATTGTTGCCCATCATGTCTTTAGTGTATAGCTTTTTTACTTTCTCGTATATACGAAGTATAGAGAAAGTATTGTAATTGTGCACAAAAATCACATTAAATTTGGACAGTTTTCACCGTTTTACTCCGCAGTCCTTCATCACATCCGGAGTATAGAGGAGTTACTTTAATCAGGCAAAAATTATAAATACAAATATATAAACATTTTGGCGTTTTATGCTTTATCGAGTCGTAAAAACTGGACTTTGCAATTCTGTCCGTTGTCTGTGTGTGTGTCTGTGTGTAAACACGATAACTTGAGTACCGTTACAGCTAGGTTGATGAAATTTCATATACAAGTATTTTATCAAAATCGTAGATCCTGTTCAACTTTTGAGCGATTTCCGAAAACCGGAAGTGGTAATTTTTTTACTTTGAATTTTTAAAAAGCCTATAACTTGAGTACTATTTCAGATAGATAAATAAAATTTCACATGTAAGAAAAAGATCTAATTCTCTACCTTCTGTCAAATTTTGAGTAATTTCTGTTGATTGAAAGTACTAATTTACGCTATTTCCGATTTCTCGAAAAACGAATGTAAATTAAAACTAATAATATTCCGCACTATTATGCACGTTTTATATGGCGTTCACAGGTGTGCAATTCTTTTTTCTTCGAGATTTTATTCTATTTTAAAAAGTTTAAGTATTTAAAATGGATTAAAATTCATGTCTATATCCCGAGTTACCATCCCGTTTTTTTATAAAGAATATTCGAGAAAGTTTAGGGGAGATTGCTCCCGATTTATTTTTTAAACGAACGTCGATGCCACAGTGCTCGCAGGGAAGCCCGGGGCACTTCGTGTCTGGCAATCTATGGGGCGCCGGGGGTTGTGCCTGTTGAAGTTTTAAGGATAAATATTGTAGTATCTCTTACCCACTATGCCCGACGAACGATTAACAGATGCCAAGTGCTAACATTGCCGCTCTGGAACTCTAGGCGACAAATTGTGTATTGACAAAAATCGCACCCTCACGGTCGCCAACTATGTCAAATTTTAATTATTTTGCTCACAGAAACCTCAGGAGTATTCTCATCAACTCCCCAAAGTTTCATGGTACTCGGATGAACGGTGTCGAACCACCTTCCCGGGGCACCGCCCTTACAAAATTAAAAAAAAAACTATTTTGCAGAACCCTTCCCTGGAGTGTTCTGATCAACTCGCCAAAGTTTGATGGCTATTGGATGAATGGTGTGAAACCGCAATTGACTTTTATTTTTGTATACTGTATATAGAGAAAGAACAAATTGTGCCCTGCCGGGGCGCCACCCCTGCAAATATGAAATTTATTTTTTTGCTGGAACCTCCCCAGGATTATTCTCAAGAACTTCCCAAAGTTTCATGGCGATTGGATGAAAGGTTTAGTAATGCATAAACCTGGTTTACTTTCTCGATTTGCTTTCATAGCCTTTGACCAACCAAGAACAAACTAGTACAAGGCGGCAGTTTTATTTTTGTGTTTTCTCTCCTACATTGGTTGCTGTTGAGCCTTATCTTGCCAAGTGTTTGAAATTGGGACTTTTTGGTTTAGCAACCATGAGCTTTACCACTGGTGTTTACTAATATTATAGCCAAAATAGAATAATAATGGGCAGTTAAAACTTTTATATTGACTTTATAAGGGAAGGGAATATTCTGAATATATTGCAAGTAACTGATAAGATTGAAAGCAATTTAAATTAACAAAATAAGAAATTAAGTCATTCTAGTAAACATTTTAGGAGCATTTTTTTAGTGTATTTGTAAAAGTGGTGGTAGCCACTTAAGGCACCACCTGTTTATACACTATTAAAGTTAAGTGCATTATTTTACAGCAAACCAAAGCAGATTATAAAGGTTTTTTTTTTTTTAATTTTTTTTTAGTACTAACTCTAACTTAAAATATGTGACGTCATAAGGCTTCATTTGCAATGAATTTGTTACTGATATATGATAAGCTTATCAAACATTTCTGAATACATGTTGCTGATCCAAAAAATTTTTTACTAAAATTATTCTTAAAGTATTATTGCTCTTAATATCAAATGAAAAACACAATATTTGCCAACAATAAATATGAAATTCATCAAATTTATTTTTAAATTTCACAAAGCATTAATTAACATAAGTTTGGTACCCTAAAGCTCAAATCCCCAACCTCCAAAACAATAATTCTAACATAAAGTTTAAAATTTTTGTAATAAAGACTAGCTACTGTATATTTGTAATTTTAAAATTTATGTTTTTAAAATCGGTAAATGATACAAAAATGGTGATTCGTTACATATCATCAGGGTTTAGCATGTTTAAAAGTAGCAGGAATTTCTGCTTACATTTCCACCATAAAAAAAATAAGCTGCTTAGGGCAAAATAAATGTGAAATCCTTTAGAACTTAACTTGAGGACCTGGTAAGGAATTAAAATGTGAGACTGGGTAGGTAGGGCCTCATACTTTTGATTTATTGAAAATGGGACTATTATTAACAATGTACACAAGTTTAGCAAAACAAACAGCAAGTGTATTGAGAAATTTATTTTGAAATATAAAATCCTTTACATTTTTTGTGAATGAACAAGTGTTTTAAAGGCATCTGTGATATATTAAAAACAATAACACATTTGAAAAAACAACCTATAACCAACATAAACTAAATTAGTTTTTTTAAATGCATGTAGTACTTACTTTAACCAAACTAAAAGAAGTGAATTGGTGCAAAGAAATTGAAGACATGAAAATAATGGAAGGAATAGGAAAGGATTGAAATGAATAGAAAGATGTTATAATAAATGTCCTTGGCTTCACTGAGAGTTGGAAAAGGCACAACAAAAAACAACAAAAAACAAGTAATTTAAAGTTAGTGAATATTAACTTGAAAGTAAATTATAAAGTAAAGGAAAATACTGTTCTTAGATTTAATAAACATACAATAAGATTTCCTTCAAAGAACAAAATAGATTAAAAGTCAAAGATGCATTTAATTACAGACTTTTACATTATAACTTGTATTGAAATATATTTTAGTCTACACAATGATATGATTTTTATTTAAAGCAACAAGGTTTGGACATTATTTTTTTTAAATAAAAGAACTAAAGCTCTTCCTTCCTTTCTATTTTAAGAAGCTCCACTTCAAAAATTAATGTTGCACCTCCTGTTGGGAAAAAAAAATTTCTATTTTATTGGCAGGGCTATCAAGTTTTTTTTTCTGCTGGCCTGAATTACATGTCATGGTTGGATCAGAATTATGTACAAGGGTTAGGGGGGGGGGGTCATAGAATTAATCCCTCTACTCTTTTATAAGTATAATAAACTCCCTAGTCCCCCCCCCTCCAATCCTATCCTAAATCCTATCTAACCTTAACCTGTAGCCTATCATCCCTAACATATTTTTATCCACCAAACAATAACTTATTCTACCTAGATACTTTAAAGTATTAAAAATTATTTCTTGAGACTTTACTTTAAGAAACATTTATTTTACTTATATTTTAACTTCAATACACAAATCAATGATGTGATTTTTCTATTTGAGTCCCCATTTGCCTTTGTTAATTTCATTTCTCTGAATTTTTCTGGAGATTTTCAATTATTTTTTTTACAAAATTGTAACAATTCAGAAAAAGAAACACAGAAACCTCTATAGAAACAGCTGACATATTAAATTCCTGAATTATTATCAAGGTTAAGTTGGATTTTTTCTTGTTTATTTTTACTGCGGCAGTAAAAACACTTTTTATCCATGTCAACAATAATGACAGAACCCAACTGGACAAACTCGGCAGCCTCCATTAAAACTTAAAGATTATTATTAAGCTCTATGCTGTTGAAGACTTACATTTTTTAAAAATATTGATACCATGTCTTTAAGAATATAAGACATAATTTAAAATTGAAAAGAAGTGCAACTAGATCATTTCAGCTTAAATTAGCTTAATGTTAAAATAAAATTTTACTTCCATCTTGTTGAATTGTAAAAAAATTTTTTAAAAATTCATAAGGGAAACATTAAATTGCAGTAAGACAAGACTTTTATTGTTATTTTGGAGTAAAATAAATTTGTATTTAAAATATTAGCCATATCAAACTACTAAGTACAATAATGGTGTGAGACTGCTTGAACAAAGTCTGGTCTGAAAATTAAAATATTTCCTATAATCTTTTTCATGGTCTGATCACATGTCTGCTGGATAACTGTGTTTTAGATCACTCAGATTACATCCATTTTGAAGTTTAAGATTAAGCTTAGTGCCATATTATTAGAACTTAGAAATAAAAATTTGTATTACCAGGTATTTTAGGAGGAGCCCCTCTATCTCCATAGCCCATCTCTGAAGGAATAACCAGCTTGCGTTTCTCTTCTTCACACATGCTATAATAAAACAAATTGTGTGTCTCAAGAAAAATATTATGTAATTTTTTATAACAGTTCCATCTAAGGTAACATGCAGATATATAACAAAAATAGGATATTTTTTGCTATCACATTTACTTTATAATCATTCATGTAATACAAATAAAAGTTTGTTATTAACACATTTTTGAATCATAATATTTTAAAGAAAATTTATTATAACATGTGTGATTGTTGCTATATAAAGAGAAGTTGATTTGCAAGAGGGCCATCATTGTTGATTATTGGATTACTTAATAGACACAAATTTTAATTTAAAAAAAAACCAAGTACATTTTATCATAAAAACTCAACTACAAAGCCTAATTTTGTGTTCTTGGCAAGAATGTCTAAGCCAGTTGAATAAATATATTTACGCAATAACTTAAAATAGAAGACATTTACTAAAAATATGATTTTTTTAAACATTGTTCTGGGTGTGTTATATAATAACTTTTTTAAACCTGATGGTCCATGGGGAAAGTGAAGTAGAGTTAACCTGTTTCTGAGATTTCGGCATATGAAGGGATAGTGTGGTCAGCACTATGCCCAGCCGTCTTTGCTTTCCCTAACATGAGTTAGGTACACATTAGAGCTGGGTGTACTCTAGGATATTCTACTGACTTAATTCCGCATAATTCTGTAAGTAAGTCAAGGGTGTGCTCTAACGTTAGGTCAAGTCATCCCATGTGTGTTATATAACGTGTATAATCCCTTAGTATTTTTATATAACGTACTTCAGAAGACCCTGATCCCATCCTTTAATAACCTGTCCAGTTCCTAGAGTAAATACGAAAGGCTCTTTTCTGGGAATGCTGCTGTCAAACTCAGTACCATCTTCCAACTTTCCCTACAATATGCAAAGTAAAATGTTTGAAATCAAATATATAACAGCTGAGTCATAATAGAACAACTTAAATGAAATAATAACTTCGCTGTCTGTCTATCTATCTGTGTATGTATCTATCTGACAAGAACGCTCTAGAGAAAACACAAGCAATTTAAAAACATGCATAGTAATTCGAAAAACGAAATATGACGTCGTATTGAGCATAGAGTAGAAAATAATATCAAGCCGGAGAATGCACACAGTAATATGACGTCATTGATTCTCGAGTAAACATTGAATAAAAAGGGAATTTTGTCTAATCTAAGTGGTTTGCGTTAAGAGTTTCTTTCATACAATTCTTCGGGTAGGGGCTAAACGCGACACCAGTGTTTCTTTCAGACTTTTTCCTCCCCGGAGGGTGGGATCTTTTTCTAATCTAAAAAGTGTTTAGCGTGCAGTTTTTTTTTCAAGCATCTCTTCCGGTAGGGGCGAAGCCCCGCCCAGATTCTTCCTTTAGTTTGTATGATCTACAAATGCGCCCAGTGTTTCTTTCAGACTTTTTCCTCCCCGGAGAGGGGTGGGGGTACTTGAAATTTTCGGGGGCGGGGTAGAATTTTCTGGGAGGGGGCGGATACTGGAAAAAGTATATAAAGCATGGCCAACAAAATTATGCTAAGAGTCAGACTTTCAAAAACTTAAAAGGGTTAAGATTTTTTAAAGTAAAATACAAATGGTGCAAACTGGTGCCCTGTCAAAACGGTCCAGGACAAATCGGCCCCATTAATATGACCCCGTCAAATCGACCCCCGACAAAACGACCCAGTCAAAAGGGCCCCGACTGATTGGCTCCCGTTATATTGACTCGTGACATATAGGCTCCCGACAAATGGACTCTCGACATATTGGCTCAGGACATACTGGCTCCCGACATATTGGCTCCTGAAATAAGGGCTCACAACAAATGGGCTCATGACATATTGGCTACCGACAAATGGGCTCCCTACATATTGGCTCCTGACATATTGGCTACCGACAAAATGACTCCCGACATATTGGCTACCGACAAAATGACTCCCGACATTTTGGCTCCAGACAAATGAATTGGCATAAAAGTAATCATTTTGTCCTACCTCCACTACTACTATAACCTCTTTTTAATGCCTGAATGAAATTGTTTTTCATGAACCAACATCAATTCACAAACAAATCAAGCCCTTAACAGCTAAAATCTACCAATTCTAAAATGTTGATAATGTTTTATTTATAAAAAAAAAGCATAGAGAATCTAGCCCTAAAATCATGAGGAATGAGGGATTTGATTAGTGATTTACACTGTGATTAGGAGTAGCTTAGTACAATACACATTATATTCTTTGTTTTTGTTACATAGTACATGCTAAAAGATTCCTCGGGGGAATTTTTATACCAGTGTCCGATAATAGAATCTTCTTTGGAAACCCATGAATTAGATTGGACTAATAGGTAAAACCTTAGTTTATCGTCGGTTATTATTCCAGAATGGTATAGCAGTAAAAAAAAACAGTAAAACAATGGCAAAGTCTGTCACACAATTCTGGTATCCACCAGAAGTACTGTAAACCATACTTTATTTGGCGTCATCTTTTATTTTTAATACAGCATGTTTAAAATTTGGATAGATTTATTTTAATTGCGTGTTCAATACTACTTTATTACTCATTTTGTATAACTAGTAATTTTTAAGTGTTTCAGCTAAATATTTCTGCTACTAAACATTGTTTAACAGGGTTCGTACCCAGTCTGGAAAAAGTCATGACTTAAAAAAGTCTGGACGGGTCTACACTGTGGTATGACCGTTTTTCACTAGGTAACGTAGATGAAACCTAATTTCTCAGTTACTACGTCATTGGGGGAGGGGGGAAGAGTTAAGACCTGTCTTTTTTTGTTGTTGCTTGACTGACCGTGAAAACGTTTAGGGCTAGACTAACCCGCCCCTCATAGAAACTAAGGTCACTAATATCTAAACTTGTATGAACTCACCGTGACCCCAAGTACGTAGATGGTGCTGTTTGGCTAGGTGAGGGAGAAGGGGGAATAAAAGTTATGGTACAGTTCATGATATGACGTATTAGACTGGGCTACTGTGACCCCTCCACCGTCTCTCGTTGTGTGTGTGTGTGTGGGGGGGGGGGGGGGGGGGGGGGGGAATACCGGTAGTTTTTAATAGCAGACAAAAGTTTCTCAGCTATAAGCACAAATAATGGTGTGGTTACAAAGGTCTTGTTTCATTTTCAAAATAGTGTACGGACCCTGTTTCTAGTCACTTTTACTCTTTTTGTAATAATTTTTACTATTTTCGAAATCTAGATTTTTTTTTACTTGGCCTAGCAGCTAGCTAGATCTTATTAATTAATGGCTGCAAATCCCCTGCAAGCCAAAAACATTAAATTATTACATTTGACTTCATTATTTATATTTATATTTATGTTTTTTTTTTATTTTTAGATCTACTAATTTAAATCTAATATTATATTTATTCTTGTTTTCTTTTGTCGATTAAAAAATTAAAACATTAATTTACTACAATCGACTTTCAATTTATTTAAATTTCAATGATCAAATAAACCAAGGTTTACCGTAACTCAAGTTATCGAAACTCAACAAACATTACCCGATAATTTCCGACGCTAAACTAAGGTTTTACCGACTAATATAATACTAATATTAGTAATAACAGTAATAAGTAATATAAATATTAGTATTTCTTGCTACCCCTGAGGCGTGGCCGGTTGCTAACAACAATATGGCGTACGGACCGGATGCATGACTTCCGACGATTTTTCGTCTTAGTTCCAGAGCCCTTCTTAGAATTACTTTTAAAAATGTTTATCATGAGTAAAATGGCGGCTTTTCACGTTATAAAAACATGCTATAGGTAGCAAGGCTAAATATGCCAGAAAAGCATTTTAAAATTTGCTTTGGAGAATGAAGGCTAAATTTAAGTCGGTCTCTTTAAAATTAATAGAACTTCTAAAATATTAGCCCGGAGGTCACAAAAATGAATTGGAGGTTGTAGAACTATTAGGTTTATCATTATATGAAGAAATAAATCAAATATTGCATGCGCTTTTTAAAATAAGACACGACTTTTGAATGACAACCAAATTTTTTTATTTTTTTAAACCATGTGACCGCTATTTGATGATCACTAGTGGGGAACTCTGGGTACATGGCCACTTAAAAAGTCTAACCTAAGTATTTGTTGTATTTGTGGTTTTCTTTAGCTTCAAGCGTAAGAAGAGTTGTCATGGAGAGGTGTGTTGTGCATTTTTGTGAGTGTCAATAAATATTAAATTAAGTAATTTAGTTTAAAACGAACTAAAAACTTCTAAATTAGTGCCTAATGGATTAAATATGGATGTCTATCATTCAGTAGTCATGCTTAATTTGAAATTTGGGTAAATTCTAGATTTAGTAAGAAAAACTGGTAATCTATCGCTTTAGCGTAATCAATTCGGCCGTCACTAGTAATGTAGGGATAAGGTAACTAATAAATATGGCTTAAATATGGATATATTTTTGCATATTTTACTAAAATACTAAAGATAATTGAATATTAAACTACATTTAAGGTTTAAATCAATAAAAATGTCAGGAAATTAAAGTTTAACAACGATGTTACAGATACTAAATTTGCTATTAAAAACAGCGGCCATCTTAAGAAAATATTATTTTGAGTAATTTCCCTTTAATTTCTATTTGTATGGAAATGTATTGATGTTTGCTGTTAAATAGGTTAGTCTTGTGTTTAAATACAAAGCATGCGTTTTTTTTTTAAATTCTGCCCTTTAAACAATTTAATTGACTGACAATAAACATCAGTTCTATAACTATTATTATGAGATGCAATTTTTATACATTAAGATACTCCCTATTTTTATAGAGCTACCACTACATATCTAATGTTTATTTAAATATTAGTTTGAGTTCATTCTTATTGTTTGTGTTATTTTTTGTTTCCTATTTTCATTTAATATTTTCATGCTTTTTTCCTTTAATTAGTGATTTAATCACAAATGACGTCCCGTTTTTGACCTCTCTTCACCTTAACCCCCCCCCCCCACCCCCATTTTTGCCGTCACGAAATAGTCGTAATGTCGAAAATTACCTTTTTGCCCTGTCTATTAAAAAGTCAAGCCATAATTCTAATGAAAAATATTTTTAGCATTTTTGTATTAGGTGAAATACATAACGTTTCACGTTTCTTACCCCTCCCACTTCCCGCGTAAAACGTCGTCTCAAAACCAGTTACTCCACCCCTTAAGTGTGCGATGTCATTTAGGGTAGATGTCAAGTCCTATATACATTTTGAATAACCTTTGTTGTCAAAATGTTGATACCAAATACCCAAAATGAGTTATATGGGGTTGCCCATAAACGATGTCACATATGCAATGCTAATGTGACGTCAACTTACGCAGGGTGGTCGGGGGGGGGGGGATGCGTGACGTCTATTTTGGAATCTTCTATAAAGCTGTGCTCAGTGAAAATGAGGAACATAAAGCGTTCGTTTTCATGCATACATTTGTTCATAACTATTGCATGCCTGTTGTACTAAGCGGTGTTAAACAACCTCAGCACATCATCCCCGCCAAAAAGGGCCTTCCACATTGACTCCAAATGAAATAACTTCTGACAACAAGGCTCAAACCAAGTAGCTCCTGTCAACAATATTCGACAAGTATTGACTAGCAGGTAAAATGGGGCAAATCGAAAATTGAAAGTTTGTCGCCTCTGGGGGGTGACACCATTAAGTGCCGCACCGGGTGACACTCGACCTCGCTACGCCACTGAGCTAATGTAAAGCCACAGCTCAGTATAGGCTTGAATTTAACATAAAATAGTGTTAGCAGTGGACAGCCTCTAAGACTGTGCATTAGGAGTACGGCCGTCGGCAAAACGCCAGAGTCCGACGATATCTGAACATCAATTTTGTCTTTAATGAAGTGCGGAGCACCTTTAAGACCTGAGCTTGGCCCCTGTTGACACCACCACTAGCGCCGCTTATGTCCACATATTAATCACACGTTTTGCGTGGAGCTTAATGGACAGACGTTTATAGGTGGGACCGGGAGCCTAAATGCATTTACCGAAGCCGCTGTGTCACGGGCATTTTAGAGCCGAACGTCTCAGGGCAGCAGGTTGCAGAAATTAAAAGCACGTGAATTTGTATAGTAGAGGGAGAACATCATGCCACTGTAATAAATTAAACAACAATATAATTCACCGAACTAAAGTTATTTAGATCTATTCGTCAGGCTAAACGTCGTTAAAGTCTCATCGCCATAGTGATTTAGGGCCTGTTTTGATTTTCTTTTAATTACGCGGTATCTTTCTTAAACATTAGCCTAATGACAAATGACGTCACGCGCGCCGCGAACTTTGTGACGTTGTGCTTAGTGGGGGGATGAAGCGGCGTGGTTGAGAAAAATGACGTATTTCTTTTTTTTTTTTAACAGACGAATAAGTGATAGATTCTAATTTTCCTACGAACTATACGTTGATCTAGTTTTTTTTTTCTAGAGTGGGATATCACTATATGGTGATGGGCGATTTATATATAATCTCAATATATTCTGATCTACTACTATTCATACGGCAACTATTATACTCGTGAGGAGGACGGGAATCACTCTTATGTTCCGCAGACACTAATTAACAATGTCAACAACTTAGTTTATGAAATAACATGAACTTAATGAACACACACTTATAGATCATTTTCACAATATCAAATAATACATCCGTCTTCTACTATATCTAACCCCCAACTAACTTCACTGCTGCGTCTTACGTCATCGGTACATTGTCGCACCATGCTCACGTCACACTCACGCTACAAATATTTTATTGAACACGCGCACAATACTCTCGCACCAAATCGTCTACCGTCAAGTTCGTACCGTCCTTAGTAACCTCTACTCGTCTAGTCTAATTCTATATATCTACGCTATGACACATATAGTGGGTGTTTTTTTGTGTGGTAATAATGGATGGTGGGGAGGGGTAAACATTGACTACTGAAGAAATCAAAAACTGATGACAGCAGAAGGCAAAGAAAAAAAAAACCATGTGGTATTCAAATGTAACTAATTAAAATTTGAACCTATTTTAAAAAACACAATAATCTTAATTCATAAAAAGTGTAGGCCTAAGACTAATGTCTACAGACAAAATAAACAACTAGGCTTAATTAAATGGATCGCCCATAAATGACGTCATACTTTTCCCGACAATTTCCCTCTCACCCAATAGTTACTAAAAGCAAGATGATGATTTAATATCATATCGCAGTTCTACTATACCCGAACCCTTAATCACAATTTCTAACGAAAACGAATATATTCTTCATCATTTTTGAAAAAAATATTTTACACCGTCCCATATTTTGAGTCCAACGTCATTTATGAGGAATATGGACGACCTAATAATTGACAAGTTAAGGGGTCATCCATAAATGACGTCACGCTTTTTTAATACGATTTTTACCTCCCCCCCTCTCATCCGTCACACGTCGTCACAAAAAGTCAGACCCCCCCCTAAAATGACGTCACACATCAGCCTACAACCCCCCCCCACCCCCCTCAAAATTGCAGTTGAGTTTTTTTAAAACATCGATATTTTTCCAAAATCTTGTCTGAAATATGTCAAAATATAGTATTTTAATCAATTCCTATTATAATTTATTAAAACTGTTTTTTTAAAAAGCTAAATAATGTCTAAAATTCGTTTTCTAACTTTTCTTATCTATAAAGCAAAAGTGTGACGTAGCACCATCTGAACCCCCCCCCCCCCCCTCCCCGTCATCACACATAGTCACAAAATTACCGACCCCCCCTCCCCCCTACGATTGTGACGTCATTTATGGACGACCCCTAATCAGTACAAAAGGGTTTAGTAAATGTTGGACCTCCCAAAATTTTTTGAGATCTTGGATGTACATACTTACATAGCCTTCATTTAACTTAAAATTACTTATATTAAACAAGACAGGTATGTATATTAAACAACAAAGTCAACACAATATACATACGAATAGACATTTTTATCCAGGGAAACTACTCTAAATTTTATTTGGAAAGATGGCCGCTGTTTTTTTTCTACTAATATTTATCTCAAACACCTAGTTTAAAGTTAGTTTCATGTTATTTAAATTGTTTTGGTCACTGTTTGTTATTTTAAATCAATTATCTGTGATATTTTGTAAAATTTGACTTAAATAAACTTATTTAAACAAATATATTCATCAGCTACCTCTCCCGCACATTACTATTGCAGCCGAATTGATTACGCTAAAACGATAGATTACCGAAAAACTAATAAATAAATAAAATATAGATAGATTCTATTCATGTTCGCATTTGTTCGGTAACCTCTTAGTCTTGTCTTAGTCTTTACTTTACTAAACTGGAAACTCACTGTGTAATGCATATGCAACACATCTCCTTTCCTAGATTTGATTTTACATTTTTCTGGATCAACTCTTTTTTTAATTCCGATTTGCAGTTTCTTGTCTTTGTTTTCAGCGCTGATATTTTCAACAAAAACTAAAATTAAAACAAGCATACACTGCAAATAAATGAAAGTATTCGAGAGATGCATGGTTTTTTAAACACTTTTCAGTTGTGATTCAGTACTAAATAGGAAACTAGATCTAGATAGATCTAATATTTTCTGATTAGATCTAGAATCTAGATCTAAATAAATTAATAAATGTGGACTCTAGATCTAGATCTAGATTCTAGCAGTTATAGAAATCAACAGCTTCCGGCACACATAGGCTAGGCCTACACATCAAGGCAACACTCTGTGGTCCTACTTAAAACCGTAACTAAGCAAAATAAAAACGCAAAGCAAAATACCATCCGATTTTTGTACTGAACGACTGATGACTTAAAAGCAATATGCCTATTTATTAATATTATTATTAAGTTATCTAATTCCTTGTTTGTTTGATTTTACTTTCTTGTATACGAAATAGACAGTGGCGGAACTAGAAAAAAAGGCCACTCCGCAAAATAATGTGTCGCCCCCCCCCCCCCCGGCTGCATTTTAAAACCATTTCCTAATTTAGTAATTGTATCTATATCATTGAAGTATGTCAATCTTGAGACAATAAATCACACAGAAAATAAAATATGTTCAAACACATTTCGGGTATGATCTAATCATAATCGTGTTTTAAAAACGTCTTATCTCGTTTACACTCGCCGAAATTTATATATAATAAACTCAGAGGTTTGATGTGTTACGATTTTCCGTGTTTGTTTTATTCATATGTTTTTTTTTTTTTCATTTATAATAATAATTTTGAATACATTCCTTTTTATAGTTGTGTAATTCTTTGGTATGCTTTAGTTTGATAATAATTTAGAGAAGAGTTCAATTTTTAATTTGCTTTGTACAAAACTTTTAAAATCAACTTTTTCGGTACCTCTAGTAAACTATTTAAAGAGGATTCATAAGTCATGGAAGTGGTTTGAAGGTTTGTCTATCTGTCATACTTCACCTCATGTCGTTTTTTTTTTGTCTATACAATAGTGTGTGTTAGTTTAGTGTAGAACAATCACTGATTTTTTATATTTTTTTTTTACAAAAACCACAAGTCTATCAAGTTGCAAACGAAATAAAATTGTTTTTGGTCGGATTTTGGGCGGTATGGTAGACATTTCATGTAGATCTATATATTAGATTATATACGTAAATTTCTATCAGCGTGTGACCGATTTGTGGTAACAGAAAGTGGTACTCTACTCTATTTCCGATTTCTCAAAAACCTTTAGAATTTTATCATCATTGCCACCCCCCCCCCCCCCAACCAAAGATCTGTCCTGTGGCATTTTATCAACCTGACTCCAGATGTAACCCATCTTTGTAGTTTCAAAGTCCCATGTTTCTTGTTCGACATCTGTTACGCAACTACCAAGTCGTCACATATCTTTCTAGTGAAAATGTTTATAATTATTTTACTTATTCTCCGTTAGCATTTTGATCGGAGGCCGCTTTAGTTAATTACATTCATGTCATTAACGAAATGTTTGTTTATACTTTCATTTTAAGTTGCCTCATAGGCGTAGCGAGGGCGGGGTGGGGGTGCGGACCGCACCGGGTGACACCATTTATGGGGGGAGGATGGACACCAATGAGGCAAATAACTGAAACCTTGACATCAGAAAATTACGTATTTGCCAGTTACATAAAAGATTAATTTAAGCTAAATAATCTTTTAAGAACAAATCGACAATTATTACAAGAGGGTGGGGATGACATCATGACGTAAACGTGCTAGCTATAAAGAAAACAATGCTACATCGAACTGCATTATTAACAGACTATAGATAATCATTGTTACTATAAAGTATGTAGCGATATATATATATATATATATATATATATATATATATATATATATATATATATATATATATATATATATATATATATATATATACAAACACACACTTTGTTTCATGGGTGGGGGTGACACTACGAAGTGCCGCACTGGGTGTCACCCGACCTAGCGACGCCACTGAGTTGCCTTCATACGCGTATTTCAAAATTCTAAGTAACTATTCGATAATCTTGCATTGTCATCCAACATCTACCCCTGCGACAAATTTCAGCCCAATCGGACAATGGGAACTGGGCTAAATTAATATCACAAGTTTTGCCACACACATACACACATACGCTACGCACGCACACACCACACAAACGAGCAAGCTGAATAAAATGTTTTTAGCCTAAAAAGAAGCGAAACAAAATAAACTAGCGGAAACGGAAGTTGATTTCAAAATTGCCGTAAAAAATAGTCGGCTTAAAATAAAAATAGTAAACAAAGCGTTTTCTTGACGAATAAAAATCGGATTACTATCGGATAAATCCTTCTGATATTTTAAAATGTAAGTTGTTTTCTTTTATCTCGAATACTGTTAAGATATTTGCTATGTGTATTTTTGTAAGTAAATTTTAAAAAAATTGGTAGATCAGTTTTTTTTGTGTAGCCTACGTAATAGTTATAAATTCTAGAATCTAGATCTTTATCTGTTAGATATCTACTTTATTAAAAAGTAAGAATTCAAATAAAATTAGAACTAGATCTATATGGTATTTTAAATCAACTCTAGTGTTAAAATAGTATTTCTAGACTAGACCTATCGAATAAGATTTAAATATATTTTTTTATTACTACACTTCTGTGGGTAATCTATCGTTTTGGGTACGTAAAATCGCCCGCGATTTGTAATGTGAAAAACAGGTGACTCCTTAAATTTTAATAATTATTTCACATTTTGAGGAGGATTTATGTTTTAAAAAATTCAAAAATGTTTCCTTGATTCATTTATGTACCTGTTTTTAAACAATTGAATTAAAACTTTTCCTTAATAAATGAAGACTAGCGATGTTTCCAACAGATGCAATTAGGCTGTTGCTCGTAATTTTTAAACTCCACTAATTTCGAGTAAAATTATATCACAAACAAACAGGATTTTTTTCCCTACACATTGATACCAATTTTGTGTCTCTAGCTTAATTAGGAGCTAAGATATGGCCTTTTAAAAATTTGTGGGCGTGGCTTAAACAGCTTAGACCTTCGTCATTCAAGTCTATGTTACGCAAGAAAAAAAGTTGGCACCGATGGTTTTTTCATTGCATCATCACGGATTCGCATTTTTCGAAAAATTAAAAAATTATAATTTTATTGCATCATCCGGGATTCGCAATTTTTAAAACTAAAAAATTATAATCAAGCTTAAAGCCTACGTTATACTGGACTGGATATGATTGACTGAGTAATTTAATTCCATTCATGATTCATATATTATTATTGACTTATTACTCCGTGTAAAAAAATTAATGTAGGTTTAAAATAAACTAGATCTAGTTATTGTAAATCGATTTATTAATATTTAATACTGTTACTACTATTATATAATAGAAATGCATAAGCACAAGTTCTTTAATGTAATTGTAATGAACGATATTACTTGGGTAGATGAAGTAGAGTAGACCTACACACACATCACATGGAAAATGGAAGTAGCAACTGGTTGCCTTTATGATACCTTCTCAACCCCCCCCCCCCCCCCTTGATATTCAGTGTCTATATCAGGAGGCCATAATAAAATTATAGAACACAAGAAAAAGAAAACAGCTGTCAAAGTGTGTACCAGTGTTTATTACTACTGAACTATGCATACATTTCAATGTTTGCTAAAAGAAATATAAATTATTAAAATACAGTAATCAGATTACCACATGAATTTTAATTTTGTCTAATAAAATAGAAACATTTAGGAGAATGGCAAAGTAAAAAAAAAAGATTTTTTGCAATAATTTAAAAATATGTTTATAAGAGCAAAGAAATAAATTACATAGTGACAACCTAAATTTAGCCCTTGTATAATCTACGATCAACACAGTACTGTAAAACAGTTACATAATCAAGAAATTAGCCTCTTCTCATTACGATCCCTCTTAAGAAGAAAAGTAGTAGCCTATTAATTATCAAGGAATAAACATTAAAATATTGGTTTAAAGTATAATTACTAGTAGATCTAGATCTAACCCATTTATTGAATGTATGCTGGAAAAAAAATAGGTGACGAAAAATTTCTTGGATCACTTTAGTCGCTTTAGTGTTAAAACAATTTTCTAAAGTATCAATCATAATTAATCTTTAGATACAATTAGCACATCTAAGGAAAAGAAGCACATTGACTACTGATTCTAGGGTTATCTAGCTGATTTCAATTACCCTGAAAAATAAGTTAAGTAATTAATTAAAATGTAATTTTTTTTTTTACACTATGAACACTAAACTTAATAATAAACATTGTTAGTATTAGTTTTCAAAATAAGTTTACAAATCACAGCAATAATTTTTTCAGTAACAATTTACAAAAACACTAATGTTTAAAAAATAAAGTTCATTTTTATACTAAAAATGAAAGAAGTACTCTGAAATTCTGTTTAGCTATTATTCAGAAAGAAAAACAAGATTCCTATAAAGTCAACCACCAGTGATTCTGCCCGATGACTGAAATCATCAGCATTATCCTCATCCTCTGCCCAGTAGCTTATGGTGTAAAGAGCTGACTTTTGTTTTGTTGCTGGCAGTCTTTTAATAGTCCTTCCAGTGTATTGCGACACACCCTGATCACCTTGCTCCCACCAGCTGAACACCAATCAGATTTCCCATCAGATACCTCTCCAGCTGTCGCACCAAGAAAGGCTCAGTAGAAGTCAACAACGCTTCCATGACTTTAAGAAACAGAGTACATTTGATCGCCACATTGCGTTCTTGTAAATGAGCTTTATCAAAGGACCAGAAATTAACTTCCCAATCAGCCTGAGTGCTTGCGGTGCTGCATGAGAACCCCAGGCTTCTTGAGATCAGCAAGCAGTTGAATGTAGATTTTAGTTATGTCCCAGCAGCCACATCATTCTCTTTAAGATGAGCCTTGAATAAAGCTGGATCTCCATGAAAACTGTACCTGAAAAGAGAAGGGCAAATGGAATTAGAATTTAGCAGACCATTTCACAAAATATATATCTAGCACAACATATTGCAAACTATATAAAATAAATATAAACAGAAATAAATTCAGTCTCCATACTTACTGAATGTACTTCCACCCGAGACATGGGTTGAACATAGAAAGGGCTGTACACAAGTTCCACCAACCTATTCCCAGTCACAAGCCTGTTCTCCTCAGCCGCTTTATCTCAGCCATCAAGTTTCTGATTACATTAGCAATCCTTCTTACGCCTTGTTGGTCTTGCCTATAAGCAAATAAGATGTACAAAGAAAACAAATTGACCCAAGTCTAGAATTAAATTAATAAAATTATCAAGTACTAAAATTGTCCTTAATAGGCCTAATTATGGATATATACATAGGCTTACATTAATTTAAATATATAGGCCTACTTGATGGAGAATTATACCTGCACTAGTCTAAATCTATTCTTAACCATTTAACAATGTCTCACTATTTTTACAAGATCTAGAATCTAGATCTAGACTAGATCTAGTACTTGTATGACCTAATCAAACATAATGATTAAATGATTGTGTTCATCTACTGAATGTACTGAATTAAAATAAATAGGCTAATTAATGAATTGATATAGGCCTAGTCCTACTTAATACTTAATGCAGAATTAGATGAACACTTATAGGCCTATAATTATATAATTAATTAACTTATCTAGATCTAGGTCTAAATCTAGAATCTAGATCTATATCAAAATTAACTAGCACCTTTTATTTCTTACTAGAATCTAGATTAGTGTAGGCCCTATTAGCCTATAGATTAAATTAGATCTAGAATAAAACTAGATCTAGGCCTAAAGCTAGATTATTTTTTACTAGATCTATTCTAAATCTAATCTGATCTAGACTAGATCTAGTTACTATAGATCAATAGAGCTAGTAATCTGGATTCGTTTTTCTAAATCCAGAATCTATTACTATTAGGCTATCTATCTTATTAATAATATCATCTAGATCTAGATCTATTCTAGGCCTATTTACTACTATACTAGTACTAGAGTCTAAATTTTCTATTTTCTAGAGTCTAGATCTAGAAATCTAGATTTAAGTCAACTTGTGTAAAAATCTTAAAATTAAATTAATGTAAAGTCTAGATCTAGACCTAATTGTCCTAATCAACCGTAATAATTTAGTAAATGTAATGTAGGCTACTTAAACTAAATTATTAATTATTAGTAGGCCTATAGTATACTAATAGTATAGTAATCAAGTAATGCGATATTTTAATAATGTAAGAATCACAGGAAATTTGGCGCGAAATTAAGGCTCTATCGCGGTGGGCCTTCCTAGGCTTGCGGACCATTGAAATCGTAATTTTAAAATATAGGTTAATTTTAGAAGACCCAATTATTAGTCTAGTCAACATTTGGGCATGTCAATGTAAATATTAAGTACCTTATTATTTATAGATTCTTACCTTATATTTCAGCACATTGCTCCTCTGTAAGATAATAAACGAGATCCAAAAATTAAAATAGGTTTTGAATCTAAATCCTCTTGAGGTTAAAACAAAGATGCGCACTGTGTCATGCGTAGATCAGGTGTGCTGTGGTTTCGCCTTAAGCGACATGGCCTTAATTACCAATGGGCAACCGGAAACATGGAATTTAGGTTCAAGGTACAGCCATGATTACCATGGCAACAAAGGTCAGGGCGCAAGCTGCGCAACTCGCTAATGCAATCATGCTCATTTACTATAGCAGCCATCTTGCCTAAGTTTTATTTTTATAAGCTTTTAGCGCCAGATTCAGGGGGAAGTCACTCTATTTTACAAATGGCTGCTGTTTATATAGCAAATCTTGCTCTCAGACACTGCTGTTTAAAGTTAATTTCTGGCCTATATTGATATATTTAGGTTTATTATTCATTTATCTATAATATTTGACACAAAAGTATGACAATATACTTCTATTAAAGCCTTGACAATGAGGTAACTTTTTCGTACATAAATAGCCGCGGGCGATTTTACGTACCCAAAACGATAGATTACCCTTCTGTGGCACCTTGATTGCGAGCGTCCCGACTTACGAGATTTTTAGATATGCGTAGTGGAGCTAGCGACTGTTTTTGTTTGCTTTGTTGGGAGTTACGAGCAAAGTTTTAGAATCAAGAAAAAGGTTCCATTGTAATCTATCGTTATAGGACAAAAATTGGCGAAGCTAGCAATGTGAAACTGAAAGAAAGGGAAGGTGGTAATCTGTTAACCGTTACTGTTAGATTTTCTTATTAGACTAATTTCTTAAATTAAAATGTGTATCCAAATATTTTTAGTAAACAAAGTGAAGTACCGACCCCATTCAGTAGACATATTAGGCAACTTTTGCATGGTGGCACAACTACATTTTTGAGATATCGTAACAAATAGCCTAATCGTGCATTAAACTATAATAAAGGGCTGTACTCAATAACAATGAAAATGTTTAGGCCCTATTTACATTCATTTTATTATGGCAGTACATTCCTTCCCTGGCTATGCTGACTATAGGTCAAGCAATGATAAACTCTGTGGTGATATTGTCACAGACATAATGGGGAAGACCGGGTTTGAAAATATTTTCACAGCAACCCAGACCAGACACAAGGACTTCATTCCATTCAGTGTTTCTTCCAGACTTTTTTCTTTGGGGGGGGGAACGGGACACTGTTAAAAGTATATATTTTCTATATAAATTATTGGCCTATAAATTTCATTTCATTCGGGGGTGGTAAAAAGAAGAGATGCCTGGAAGAAACTCTGATTCTATTATATAAATTGAGGCTTGTTTTGGAAATGGTGAAATAGAACATTGCTTAGTCCTTCAACCTAGGAAAGGATATAAGTATAGATGAAACAATGATTGAATTTGATGGTTGCCTAACATTCAAGCAATACATAAAATGGGGCATGGTGTGCCGCCGACGCCCTACAGGCTACCTTTTGCAGTTTGACATGTACACTGTTATGGTTGTCGCCTCAATGCCTAATGGATCAGGCTGTAGTGTTGTAATTAACTATTTATTAGTATACTAATACACATATTTACAAGGGTATATGGAGGAATATATATTATATATAAAGTATATATTTTTAAAAATTGGGGGGTGACACTTGACCTTACTACGCCACTGCATAATCTTCTACCATATTTTTTGGGGGAAGATGCTAAAAAGAAGTGCAGATCTTCAAACTAAAAGAATTTTCAAATTGTGGGTCCGTTAAAAACACTAAATTTAAGACCCCAAAATTCCTCCAATGTTTCTTAAAGGCATGATAATTAAAACACTTTAAACCTCAAAACAATTTTTTTGTCTAAATGTTTCGAGTCACACTGTTAAACGTGTGTCTGACGAACTTAGCCAGTAATATATAGATCTCTATTCATGTAATATTTTATTAATTAGTATAATTATCTGATTGAGGTTTTAATTAGAACATTCTGTCTAACTCAAGTTTTCACAAGCTAGTGATCAAAAGGTTCACTTTTTAAGATTTAGGAACTAAGTTGGACTACCCCTTCCTACATGGTTCTACTGTGAGAGATCAAATGTTTTGTTTTGCATTTATACTTTGAATAGCCTTGTATGAAAAAACATGCAACTGATTTTTATGTATGTAATATTTAAAATTCTGCTTGTTTGTTATACTCCTAATGTACAATTAACTTCTGTATTCTTTAGGGCTGCTGTTCAAAAACCCAAAAGTGAGATGACTCCAGAGGAGCTTTCTCAGCATGAACAGGAAGAATTTAATACAGGCCCTCTCTCTGTCCTCACACAGTCAGTTAAGAACAATACTCAGGTTTTAATCAACTGCAGAAACAACAAAAAACTTTTAGCAAGGGTTAAAGCCTTTGATAGGTAATAATTCATATATTAAGTTCATTTCAAACTTGAATTGTAATTATAAATGTTGATCGGTTGTCCTACACAAACTAAGATCCCTTGCTCCTATTTGAACGTCACTACCGATCTTAGTAAATAACTTGACATTGTTTATATCTTTTCTAGGGCTCTCAGAATCTTTATAATACTGAGTTTTTCCATTTATTAAATGATTCATTCACAACAATGAATCTAGAAAATGAGGTCATGTATTTAAAATACACCATAATAGCAATGCAATGTTATAGTGAGTGAATTTTCTACTGAGATTCCAGCAAGTACTAATATTTAGTACTAATAAAGCAGGAGTGATCTCCCCTAAATCTTCTAGAATATTCTTATATAACTACTATGGGGGATGGCAACTCTGGATATAGACAAGATTTTTAATTAACTTTTAATAACTTTAATTTTTAAAAATCAAATAGAATCTCGTAGAATAACTGCAAACAAAATGTGTATAATAGTGCAGAATATTAGTGCTTCATAAATTCATATTCGTTTTTTGAGAATTTGGAAATGCGTAAATTACTACTTCATGTCAACGGAAATTACTCAACATTTAACAGAAGGCAGACTATTAGATCTTTTACTTATGTGAAGTTTTGTTTATCTATCTGTACTCAAGTTATAGACTTTTGAAAAATTGAAAGTAGAATAAGCTCCACTTTTGATTATAGGAAATTGCTGAAAAGTTGATGCAGAATTGCCAATTTGATATATACTTATATATGAAATTTCATCAACCTAGCTGGAACGGTGCTCAAGTTATTGTGTTCACAGACACACATACACACACACTGACAGAATTGCAATGCTTAGTTTTTCCTACTCCATTACGCGTATAAAGCAGAAATTTTGATAAATCTGGGTTTAGAATTTTCGTCCGGTTAAAATAAGTCCTCTATACCTGTATAATGATGAAGTACTGAGGAGAAGTAAAAAAGTGAAAACTGTCAAAATTTCATGTGATTTTTGTTCATGATTACAATATTTCCTCTATACTGATACTCTGTATACGAGAAAGCGAAAAAGGCTGTTTAGAGTGAAAACTAATACACGTATCAATTTTTCAAAAGGAATAGCATTCATGAGCTTATCTTTTCCAAGCAAAAATATACCAGAAAAAATGGTTCTGCCAGAAAAATGGTTCAAGGAGCAGTATTTATCGAGCAATAAGCTACTCAGTTTAATATGTGTAAACATTTTAATTATCAAATATGTAATATGCTTAAAACTATTTTCAGACACTGTAACATGGTTCTTGAAAATGTCAAAGAAATGTGGACAGAACAGCCAAAGACAGGAAAAGGCAAGAAAAAGTCAAAGCCTGTTAACAAAGACCGCTTCATTTCAAAGATGTTTTTGAGAGGGGATTCTGTCATTCTAGTATTGAGGAATCCCTTGGCAACTGCCAAATAATATTTGAGGGAGTTTTTCAAACCCTGATCTCTATCAACAGGAAATGTCAGTGAGAGTGATCACATCCCACCTGTTACATTGATACAAACGTTTGCTGGGATTCATAGTTCAATACTAAAACGCAGTACTGACTTGTTTTGTTCAAATTTAAATCTAATTTTTATGGATACAAATTAAAGCAGCATTTGGTTGACTTACTGTTTTATCTCACATTTCCAGTTGATAAAGGCAGAAGTTTGCTGTAGTTTTTTGTAAATATACAATGCAGCCAATGTCTGTTGGTTTATTTGATGGACCTTTGTTTTTATATTACACAGCTTTTTAAACAAGTTGAATGACCGTTGTGGTTTGAGAGTTTTATGTACCATTTGTTGTTGCTCTAATAAAAATAAAAATCTCTACTCTTTTGTGTGATTATTTGTATAGGTTTTGTTTCACTCACAGTCAAGAAATGACTTATTTTTCCTTCAGACTGCACCACTGTAAGCTTGATGCAAAATGATTTCAATTACTTCATTTACATAAAGCAGATTTTCTCATACACTACAAACAATAATAATCGTTGTTGAATGTGTAAATTATAGCTGTTAGTACTCAGATGAAATATGATTTTCATCATGAAAGTACTTTTGGACACAAAAAAAAGTAGAGGCCCAGACAAATACATATGCAAGCAGACGTAAAAAAAAATTGTTTATGGTTTTTTAACATGCTCACTGTTAATGTTTCTTGTTTGCCAAAATTTAACAATTATTTTCTACTATGTTATGATTAAGTGCAAATATAAAGTAGTTTAAAACAACTCATTATCTATGGTATTTTTTAAAATTTATTTTTGTAATCTGTTACTAAGCAATTTAGTATTTACATTAAATTATACCATATCCTACTTAGTGAGTAATTAGACAGGACAACATGCAATGATTGGTTAAAACCAAGTTGTAAAAGTCCGTCTCCAACATCAATCAGTGTTTATTTGTACAGTTGTTGTAGGCCTCTGATCCATGTTTAATGTTGGCAGCAGCTTTCTGCCATACTCACACCTGAAAGCAGACTTGTCATTTTCAATCTATTTCCTCTCTCATCAAATAAATTATTTAACTATGGCCCATGGTTATAGTTTAAGGTTGTTACTAGTATTGGCCTATATCTTGTGTGAAAATATTTATAGTTTTATAAGATCCAGCTGCTGGCCTAACTTGTGGGTGCCCCTAACCTTTGAACTTATCTGAACCAGCCATATATAGCCTACCTACCTTACCCCTTGACCACCACACGTCATAACCTGAAAAGTGATAAGTATCTCCTGTTACTGTGTTAAAATTGTACTGGGTCTGGTACAAACAGGTTGGTGACAGGCTGATCAAGTCTATACTAGTGGGTGGGTGACAGTGACTAGTCTATACTAGCTGTTGACAAGATGACCAGTCCATACTAGCTGATGACAAGATGACCCGTCTATACTAGCTGTTGACAAGATGACCAGTCTATACTAGCTGATGACAAGATGACCCGTCTATACTAGCTGTTGACAAGATGACCAGTCTATACTAGCTGATGACAAGATGACCCGTCTATACTAGCTGTTGACAAGATGACCAGTCTATACTAGCTGATGACAAGATGACCAGTCTATACAAGCTGGTGACAAGATGACCAGTCTATACTAGCTGATGACAAGATGACCAGTCTATACTAGCTGGTGACAAGATGACCCGTCTATACTAGCTGTTGACAAGATGACCAGTCTATACTAGCTGATGACAAGATGACCAGTCTATACTAGCTGATGACAAGATGACCAGTCTATACTAGCTCTGACAAAATGACCAGTCTATACTAGTACTAGCTGATGACAAGATGACCAAACCATGTCTTTACTTACAGTCCACGGGGTTCTTCTGTTTGCTCCAGTAGTTGTAGCCACTCAGTGCACGCTCCTGTTGCTGGCGTGTACCACCTCTGTACGTCACTGGTACCTGCTTTACTGGGGGCGGGGGTAGGATCAGAGGCTCGTACATGACAGCAGGGGGGTAGAAGTAGTTCTCTTCTGACTTCACTGCACCTGTTGTAACCACAGAAGACCGTAGTCTGATGTAGTACATGTAACCACACAAGACCCTAGTCTGGTCACGTGGACATATTAAACCAGACCGTAGTCTGGTCCAGAGTTTCTTCCAGGCATCTCTCGGGGGGGGGGGGGGGGGGCGAAGCCCCCCGAAAATTTTTTACCGCCCCCCCGAACGAAATGAAATTTATATAATTTATATAGAAAATATATACTTTTAACAGTGTCCGCCCCCCCCCCCCCCCGAACATTTCAAGTGCCCCCCCGGAGAAAAAAGTCTGGAAGAAACACTGGTCTGGTCACGTGGACTTATTAAATCAGACAATAGTCTGGTCCAGTGTTTCTTCCAGACTTTTTTCTCCGGGGGTGCACTTGAAATTTTCGGGGGAGGGGGGGGCGTACACTGGCGGTGCCCCCCCCCCCCCCCCCCCCGAAGAGATGCCTGGAAAAAACTGGTCATGTGAACGCAATCAACCAGATAACAAAGCTCACACCGCAAAGCTGTGTTGTGGTTGGCTGAGAAAATCCAATCAGATGTGATGTGGTTTAAGTGCTAACATTCAATATTGGAAGTGTACGAATGAAAGGCGAGATGACGCTACGAATTGTCAATTGTTCTCATGACAAAACCCCCCACTCCCGCGGATACTTTGGGGATGTTGATCAGATCATGTTGTTATATTTGATTACAAATTATAGAAGTAGAGATTTCGTCATTATGTAGTCCAACTAAAAAATATACGCGCACTAAAAATACAGAGCAGTTGACAGGTTATTGTGAGGGAAAGGGGGGGGGGGCTATTTTGACAAGATCCTCTTGCCGAGATCCGAAATTCCGGCACGTACCATCAGTGGTACAGTGACGGGCAGTACGTAACATCAGTGGTACAGTGACGGGCAGTACGTAACATCAGTGGTACAGTGAGGGGCAGTACGTTCCATCAGTGGTACAGTGACGGAGTGGTACAGTGACGGGCAGTACGTACCCTCAGTGGTACAGTGACGGAGTGGTACAGTGACGGGCATTACATACCCTCACTGGTACAGTGACGGGCAGTACGTACCATCAGTGGTACAGTGACGGGCAGTACGTACCATCAGTGGTACAGTGACGGGCAGTACATACCATCAATGAAAGCTAAGTGGTTCCCGCAGCCGTTATAACATGACTTGATGTGGCGCCAGGCACCCCCAGACCGCCCCTCTCGGAAGCTGAAATAAAATAGTCAAATAAAATACAGTCAAACAAAATACAGTCAAATAAAATACAGTTAAATGGGCTTTTTAATAAGAATTTTGATATGCACCCCTAAAGACATTCTTACAATATTTTATTACTATTTTACTAAAGTATGAACTTCTAGTTATTGTGAAAAGATTACATTCAAATGTTAAACATTTTATTGTAAGCAACTACTATCTCAGTATAGGGCTGGAGTCCCTCTCTCCTGGTTAGACGGCAGTTTCAGGCTAACTACATAACTTAATAAAGTGTAATTAGAACCATTACACTGGTATCAGAGGACGTGGTGGACTCCGCCTCCAAAGTTTGTAGTAATACTGTCTGGTGATGGGGTCCATAGGCTGTGTGTAGGGGTTGTTGTCATTCACAGGTTGCTGTGTGGAGGGGTTGTCGTCATCTGGGGGTTGCTGTGGGGTTAGGGCTGTTGGCACATCCGCTGTGCCTTCATCCTAAGACGACAACACATGTTGAGTAATTAAGTTCAGCGTAGCTTAAAAAATTAAAAACATCCAGAAAAAAAAATATTTTAAATACATATACACATGCGTATACACAGCCTTACAAATGTATTTTGCATATATATATATATATATATATATATATATATATATATATATATATATATATATATATATATATATATATATATATATATATATATATATATATATATATATATGTCTATATATAGATTTTTTTCGGTGGGGGTGGTACCATTAGGTGCCGCACCGACACCCGACCTAGCGACGCCACTGGGTCTATACAGGTAACTTGATGGCGTTTTTATAATTTAAAATTTAATTTCCTTCCCCAAACGACACACTCCACAGGTAACACATTCCGTACGAGTACACACCAAAAGTGACACATTCTATAAAACACACCCACACGCGCCACACTGTACCAAAACTTGTGACGTGACTGTCACGTGACGTACAGCGACTCACTTCTCTAGGACCGGGCCCCCGGGAAGCTGATCTTGTCCGCAGGCGAGACCGTCGGCCGTGGCTGGTGGATGGGGGTCTTGCGGTGATTGGTCGGACCGCGGGCGAGTAGGTCAGTAAGTCAACATCACCATGGCTGTACACAAAACAAATGACCAGTAGGTCAGTAAGTCAACATCACCATGGCTGTACACAAAACAAATGACCAGTAGGTCAGTAAGTCAACATCACCATGGCTGTACACAAAACAAATGACCAGTAAGTCAACATCACCATGGTTGTACACAAAACAAATGACCAGTAAGTCAACATCACCATGGCTGTACACAAAACAAATGACCAGTAGGTCAGTAAGTCAACATCACCATGGCTGTACACAAAACAAATGACCAGTAAGTCAACATCACCATGGTTGTACACAAAACAAATGACCAGTAGGTCAGTAAGTCAACATCACCATGGCTGTACACAAAACAAATGACCAGTAGGTCAGTAAGTCAACATCACCATGGCTGTACACAAAACAAATGACCAGTAGGTCAGTAAGTCAACATCACCATGGCTGTACACAAAACAAATGACCAGTAGGTCAGTAAGTCAACATCACCATGGCTGTACACAAAACAAATGACCAGTAAGTCAACATCACCATGGTTGTACACAAAACAAATGACCAGTAAGTCAACATCACCATGGCTGTACACAAAACAAATGACCAGTAGGTCAGTAAGTCAACATCACCATGGCTGTACACAAAACAAATGACCAGTAGGTCAGTAAGTCAACATCACCATGGCTGTACACAAAACAAATGACCAGTAGGTCAGTAAGTCAACATCACCATGGCTGTACACAAAACAAATGACCAGTAAGTCAACATCACCATGGTTGTACACAAAACAAATGACCAGTAAGTCAACATCACCATGGCTGTACACAAAACAAATGACCAGTAGGTCAGTAAGTCAACATCACCATGGCTGTACACAAAACAAATGACCAGTAGGTCAGTAAGTCAACATCACCATGGCTGTACACAAAACAAATGACAAGTAAGTCAACATCACAATGGCTCTACACAAAACAAACAATGACCAGTAGGTCAGTAAGTCAACATCACCATGGCTGTACACAAAACAAATGACCAGTAAGTCAACATCACCATGGCTGTACACAAAACAAATGACCAGTAAGTCAACATCACCATGGTTGTACACAAAACAAATGACCAGTAGGTCAGTAAGTCAACATCACCATGGCTGTACACAAAACAAATGACCAGTAAGTCAACATCACCATGGCTGTACACAAAACAAATGACCAGTAGGTCAGTAAGTCAACATCACCGTGGCTGTACACAAAACAAATGACCAGTAAGTCAACATCACCATGGTTGTACACAAAACAAATGACCAGCAGGTCAGTAAGTCAACATCACCATGGCTGTACACAAAACAAACAAATGACCAGTAGGTCAGTAAGTCAACATCACCATGGCTGTACACAAAACAAATGACCAGTAAGTCAACATCACCATGGTTGTACACAAAACAAATGACCAGTAGGTCAGTAAATCAACATCACCATGGCTGTACACAAAACAAATGACCAGTAAGTCAACATCACCATGGTTGTACACAAAACAAATGACCAGCAGGTCAGTAAGTCAACATCACCATGGCTGTACACAAAACAAATGACCAGTAGGTCAGTAAGTCAACATCACCATGGCTGTACACAAAACAAATGACCAGTAGGTCAGTAAGTCAACATCACCATGGCTGTACACAAAACAAATGACCAGTAGGTCAGTAAGTCAACATCACCATGGCTGTACACAAAACAAATGACCAGTAAGTCAACATCACCATGGTTGTACACAAAACAAATGACCAGTAAGTCAACATCACCATGGCTGTACACAAAACAAATGACCAGTAGGTCAGTAAGTCAACATCACCATGGCTGTACACAAAACAAATGACCAGTAGGTCAGTAAGTCAACATCACCATGGCTGTACACAAAACAAATGACCAGTAAGTCAACATCACCATGGTTGTACACAAAACAAATGACCAGTAGGTCAGTAAGTCAACATCACCATGGCTGTACACAAAACAAATGACCAGTAAGTCAACATCACCATGGCTGTACACAAAACAAATGACCAGTAGGTCAGTAAGTCAACATCACCGTGGCTGTACACAAAACAAATGACCAGTAAGTCAACATCACCATGGCTGTACACAAAACAAATGACCAGTAGGTCAGTAAGTCAACATCACCATGGCTGTACACAAAACAAATGACCAGTAAGTCAACATCACCATGGCTGTACACAAAACAAATGACCAGTAAGTCAACATCACCATGGCTGTACACAAAACAAATGACCAGTAAGTCAACATCACCATGGCTGTACACAAAACAAATGACCAGTAAGTCAACATCACCATGGCTGTACACAAAACAAATGACCAGTAGGTCAGTAAGTCAACATCACCGTGGCTGTACACAAAACAAATGACCAGTAAGTCAACATCACCATGGTTGTACACAAAACAAATGACCAGTAGGTCAGTAAATCAACATCACCATGGCTGTACACAAAACAAATGACCAGCAGGTCAGTAAGTCAACATCACCATGGCTGTACACAAAACAAACAAATGACCAGTAGGTCAGTAAGTCAACATCACCATGGCTGTACACAAAACAAATGACCAGTAAGTCAACATCACCATGGTTGTACACAAAACAAATGACCAGTAGGTCAGTAAGTCAACATCACCATGGCTGTACACAAAACAAATGACCAGTAAGTCAACATCACCATGGTTGTACACAAAACAAATGACCAGTAGGTCAGTAAGTCAACATCACCATGGCTGTACACAAAACAAATGACCAGTAGGTCAGTAAGTCAACATCACCATGGCTGTACACAAAACAAATGACCAGTAGGTCAGTAAGTCAACATCACCATGGCTGTACACAAAACAAATGACCAGTAAGTCAACATCACCATGGTTGTACACAAAATAAATGACCAGTAGGTCAGTAAGTCAACATCACCATGGCTGTACACAAAACAAATGACCAGTAAGTCAACATCACCATGGCTGTACACAAAACAAATGACCAGCAGGTCAGTAAGTCAACATCACCATGGCTGTACACAAAACAAATGACCAGTAGGTCAGTAAGTCAACATCACCATGGCTGTACACAAAACAAATGACCAGTAGGTCAGTAAGTCAACATCACCATGGCTGTACACAAAACAAATGACCAGTAAGTCAACATCACCATGGTTGTACACAAAACAAATGACCAGTAAGTCAACATCACCATGGCTGTACACAAAACAAATGACCAGTAGGTCAGTAAGTCAACATCACCATGGCTGTACACAAAACAAATGACCAGTAGGTCAGTAAGTCAACATCACCATGGCTGTACACAAAACAAATGACCAGTAGGTCAGTAAGTCAACATCACCATGGCTGTACACAAAACAAATGACCAGTAAGTCAACATCACCATGGCTGTACACAAAACAAATGACCAGTAGGTCAGTAAGTCAACATCACCATGGCTGTACACAAAACAAAACAAATGACCAGTAGGTCAGTAAGTCAACATCACCATGGCTGTACACAAAACAAATGACCAGTAGGTCAGTAAGTCAACATCACCATGGTTGTACACAAAACAAATGACCAGTAGGTCAGTAAGTCAACATCACCATGGCTGTACACAAAACAAATGAGCAGTAAGTCAACATCACCATGGTTGTACACAAAACAAATGACCAGTAGGTCAGTAAGTCAACATCACCATGGCTGTACACAAAACAAATGACCAGTAAGTCAACATCACCATGGCTGTACACAAAACAAATGACCAGTAGGTCAGTAAGTCAACATCACCATGGCTGTACACAAAACAAATGACCAGTAGGTCAGTAAGTCAACATCACCATGGCTGTACACAAAACAAACAAATGACCAGTAGATCCTTTGATTAATTCTTATATTAACCCTAAGACTTCTGATGCCTAACCCAACTGAAGTGGGGGATATCTGGCTATGGGGGATCTCCTGGCTAACAAATTAGGTATGTCATAAAACAGGCCATTTAACTATGTCGTCACACCCCGCAGACGAGCGAGAACAAGCCCCGACAGAATGCAACGTCTGCTGACGAGAGCTTGCAGGAAGACTGACAACACTACTTGCTGTCAACGTCTGTCTAGCTTGGTGGCAGTGGATGCTGACTTGAGAATGTCTGATTTAGTTGGAGCCGAGGACTCGGTCTTATCCTCGATAGAAAAGAAGAAGAAAAGACGCAGAAATAGTGAAAGAATGTGCAATAGACCTATTTGATCTTTTGACCAGTGGCTGTATACTACGAGGGAGTTGACGGACTTACTCGATATAAAAATCATACGAAGTTCTGGCCCTTGACGCTGCAGACATCTCCCAGGGATGTGGTTCCTGTCCCTCTACTCCTGTTGTCGCAGACACTAGTTAGTTGGGTCCGTGTGGATTCCCCTCTATTCCTGTTGTCGCAGACACAAGTTAGTTGGGTCCGTGTGGATTCCCCTCTATTCCTGTTGTCGCAGACACAAGTTAGTTGGGTCCGTGTGGATTCCCCTCTATTCCTGTTGTCGCAGACACAAGTTAGTTGGGTCCGTGTGGATTCACCGACCTCTGGGATCAAATGGGAACATTATTGAACACTGTAGACATGCGCGGCGAGCAGCAGCAGACGTCTCAATTCAATGGGCAGCGTTACATGGGGGTGGAAGGGGGGGGGGGGTAAACATTCGTTCTTAAAAGGCTCTTTTAGTGCTGAATATACTGTTATACTGGGAGTGCTCGTAATAAACAGTGTTAAATGTGGGGGGAGGGGGTGGGAAAGGGTGGGGGGGGGGGGGGGCGAGGGCAGTGACCTGATCAACGCTAAAATAAACTAGACCCTTCACAATGAAGTCTTAATACAACAAATAAATTAATAATCAATAACAAAATGTAGCTGACGTTTTTTTTTTACTCTATATCAAATGATTGCTTAAGCTTTGTAATTGGAGGTAGCGATCAAACAATTAACTGCTGGCTTACACCGCGCCTGATGATTGAATCACATTCAGCTGTAATAAACTGGCTCCGCGTGTGTGTGTGTGTTGGGGGGGGGGGGGGGGTATGTAAAGTCGAAAAATCAATGTGGGTGTTACTATGGACGACCCAGGGGTGGGAGAGGGGGCGACACCCACCTAATCAACATACACATTATTACAAATACGTGGTCCATATACTTCATTTAGTAATTTTATTGGTGGCCCATTTACGTTATTTAGTAATATTATGGATGGTCTGTATACGTTATTTAGTAATATTATGGATGGTCTGTATACGTTATTTAGTAATATTATCGGTGACCCATGTGCGTCATCTACTAGTCATATTATTTGGTGGTCCATAAACGTCACTTAGTATACGTTATTTTAATACTATTTGATGTTCCATGTCCATTATTAAGTAACATTATTGGTTTATTATTATTATGTACATTATTTTAGATGACACCACCTACCCCAAACGTCATCATAATTTTATATAACCCAAAACTTAAAAAAAAATGACAACACAAAATATCAACTCCCCTCACAAAAATCTGATGGAAACTTTTACCATGATTGTTTTTATTTAAAATAGAAATGTCTGCCACGTAATTGTCAATGAAAACTCGTCAGCATTATGATACACACATCAGTATTAACATTTGATGGATGAATGGCATCAAATGGAAATTTATCGGTTGAAAATAAACATGTAGATGTTCAACATATCACATGTTTCAATTGTACAGAGTTTACAAGAACCGATAATGATTAATTCTTCTAGCACAATGTCTATCAACACGCTACAACCAACAGGCCATAGAGCAAAGACTTACCTGGAACACGCCAGACAGGGACTGACTGACTTCTCTCAAGTCTCTGATTGAGTCAGTCGGAGTTGTTGCCCCTCAGATATCCAACGGAAGGCCTCAACAGGGGCGACAATAGGGGCGCCTCATTACACCGAGTTATCAAGTGAATGTAGAACGGCTACACCAGGGCAGATAGCCAAACATATCAATATCGATTTTATAATCGACCGCAACACTTGGATTGAAGAAAAGGTTTTTAGATTTCAAGTAGGCCAACCTCACTTTATAACCGTTTTAGACGGCGGTGTGTGTATGAGGTGGTTCTACTAACCCAAGTGTGGGTGTATATATACGTGAGGTGGGTCTACTAATTTACCTTAATGACACCAGTCAATGCAACATGTATGTTTATCTAATGACACCAGTCTATGCAATATGTATGTTGATCTACTAAATGACACCAGTCTGTGCAACATGTATGTTGATCTACTAAATGACACCAGTCTGTGCAACATGTATGTAATTGATCTACTAAATGACACCAGTCTGTGCAACATGTATGTTGTTGATCTACTAAATGACACCAGTCTGTGCAACATGTATGTTGATCTGCTAAATGACACCAGTCTGTGCAACATGTATGTTGTTGATCTACTAAATGACACCAGTCTGTGCAACATGTATGTTGATCTACTAAATGACACCAGTCTGTGCAACATGTATGTTGATCTACTAAATGACACCAGTCTATGCAACATGTATGTTGATCTAATGAAAACAGTCTATGCAACATGTATGATGATCTACCTTAATGACACCAGTCAATGCAACATGTATGTTGTTGATCTACCTAATGACACCAGTCTATGCAACATGTATGTTGATCTAATGACAACAGTCTATGCAACATGTATGTTGATCTACCTTAATGACACCAGCCTATGAAACATGTATGTTGATTTACCTTAATGACACCAGTCTATGCAACATGTATGTTGTTGATCTACTAAATGACACCAGTCTATGCAACATGTATGTTGATCTACCTAATGACACCAGTCTATGCAACATGTATGTTGTTGATCTACTAAATGACACCAGTCTATGCAACATGTATGTTTATCTAATGACACCAGTCTATGCAACATGTATGTTGATCTAATGACACCAGCCTATGAAACATGTATGTTGATTTACCTTAATGACACCAGTCTATGCAACATTTATGTTGATCTAATGACACCAGTCTATGCAATATGTATGTTGATCTACCTTAATGACACCAGTCTATGCAACATGTATGTTGTTGATCTACTAAATGACACCAGTCTATGCAACATGTATGTTGTTGATCTACCTAATGACAACAGTCTATGCAACATGTATGTTGTTGATCTACCTTAATGACACCAGTCAATGCAACATGTATGTTGGTCTACTAGACGACACCAGTCTATGCAATATGTATGTTGATCTACATAAATTTCACCAGTCAATGCAATATGTAGATTGTTAATCTACATTAATTGATTAACATTAAATAATGATAAAATGAAATACTAGTGTATTTGACATTTTATTAGTTAAAATGCATTATTTTTTCAGTACATTAGATAATGAAACTAAAAAGCACATAATGATTGCCATAAACTACAAAAACAAAATATCGTTTGCGGCTGACAAAAAAGTACCACGAGAAGGTCCAGTCTTCCTAAACTTTTACACCGGCAGAGTTTAATTTAAAACATTTTCAGATCTTTGTTACATTATATAGATGACTTTTTTATTCAATCTCCTATGGTAGAAATCATTAAGTGATGATTTCTTGATTCAAACATCTAAGAGAGGAACCTTTAGTTCTCACATGAGAGATGATTTATTTATTCATTATTCCAACATCTGAGGGATCATTCATTGATTCAAACACCTGGGGATCATTCATTGATTCAAACACCTGGGGATCATTCATTGATTTAAAACATGCTCCTTCCCTTGTTTTTCTTTCACAATCTGGCTGGCATCAGCTCTGGCACTCCACTCATGGTAAGAGCCCTGGAAATATTTGATTAAAAGTTGATTCGATATCAGTAGCAGAAAAATATAGACTACTTGGTACAGCAGATAAAGGTAATCTACTTGGTACAGCAGATAAAGGTAATCTACTTGGTACAGCAGATAAAGGTAATCTACTTGGTACAGCAGATAAAGGTAATCTACTTGGTACAGCAGATAAAGGTAATCTACTTGGTACAGCAGATAAAGGTAGCCTACTCGGTACAGCAGATAAAGGTAATCTACTTGGTACAGCAGATAAAGGTAGCCTACTTGGTACAGCAGATAAATGTAGCCTAATTGGTACAGCAGATAAATGTGGCCTAATTGGTGAAAATGGGTTTTTACTTAAACATAAAGAATATTGTTTTGCATTGATTACCTAAAACTTAATAACTCCCTTAAAGATAAATAATTCTAAACTAATTAAAAAAGCGTTTAAAAAATGATTACTAAACAGCCAGTTGAACTAGTTTATACAAGTTAGGTAGGTCTAGCTATAAGATGCAACTTACATTGTACAGGGCGACATCATCTTTACCCAGGATATGTGCAGCTGCAATCAGGCCGCAGGCTGTCATTCCTGTTTGACAGGATGAGACCAATGGCTTGGTCAGGTTTATACCAGCCTCATCAAATACTTCAAATATACAAAGTACACTTTCATTTGAAAATACCAAATTGTAAATATACATGAATAATGACAAAATGAAAACCAAAGTGGAAGGTTTTCTTCAGTCAGAATCCTTCAGTGACCGCGGGTGTTTAGACTTACATTTCTTCAATTCATTTTCAGCTTTCACTGTACCATCTTCGTTAAATAAACTCGAGAAAGGAATATTTTTAGCCCCAGGTATATGTCCGCCACTGTTGCCTGGGGATATTTGTTAAAGATCATTTGCTCTGATATCAACCATCATACTTAAAAAAAAAACAAAAAAAAACCAATTTCACAAATTGTTGAATTTTTCAATAGTGTAAATAGTTATTCATAGAGGTTCAAATTATTTAAATTATCTAGAATACATTTATCTGTCATATAATATTCTTCATATTATCATCTATCACATAATATATTCTAAAGTAACATGCATACTTTCATCAGATCAGTCATATAATGTATTCTTACATAACAAGCGTACCATCATCTGTCACATAGTAGTCTTTAATCCCACGAGCATCCATCAACTGTTCTTGAGCTGTCTGAAGATTTGTTTGTATTGCCTCAAAATCTCTGAGTAAGTGTTTTCTTAACATAACTTTGAACTGCTCCTTCTGTGATATACACAAAATATTTGTTAGACACAGTTAAATACAAAAGTTATAAAACAATGGTTGGAGTTTTACCACTGCTTAGGGGTAAAGAGTTAAGGTAACTCTATAGAAATGTCCACTTCTAGGTGGCCAACCACTTCCTTACCTCAACAACATCTGCCAACCACTTCCTTACCTCAACAACATCTGCCTACCACTTCCTTACCTCAACAACATCTGCCAACCACTTCCTTACCTCAACAACATCTGCCAACCACTACCTTACCTCAACAACCTCTTCCAACCACTTCCTTACCTCAACAACATCTGCCAACCACTTCCTTACCTTAACAACATCTGCCAACCACTTCCTTACCTCAACAACATCTGCCAACCACTTCCTTACCTTAACAACATCTGCCAACCACTTCCTTACCTCAACAAACTCTGCCAACCACTTCCTTACCCCAACAACCTCTGCCAACCACTTCCTTACCTCAACAACATCTGCCAACCACTTCCTTACCTCAACAACCTCTGCCAACCACTTCCTTACCTCAACAACATCTGCCAACCCTTCCTTACCTCAACAACCTCTGCCAACCACTTCCTTACCTCAACAACCTCTGCCAACCACTTCCTTACCTCAACAACAGGCTCCTCTGTGGTAACATGAAAACCATCGGTCAACCACTTCCTTAAGCCTCCATTTAGAACTGACACTTTATCATGACCAAACAGCTGAAATTAAACAGACATGTATGAAAACATTAAACACAAACACACCTGTGTTAAAGTGATGAAAACATTAAACATGTGTGTTACATTGCTGAAAACCTTGTGGTTTAATAATAGCCAGTTGGCCAGGTATTTCAGGAATGATCTAGTCAGACTTGACGAGACAAGCTATGTGTAAATTCACCAGCTAACTTCACACATACCCAGCCATTACCATCTAGAGCCATTGGCACCTCCAACAATATGGATTACTTAAGCTTTAATAATAAACATAGAAACATTAAGACACATCTTTAAGTGTGTGGTGTTCTGTAAAATTAATAAAGAAATAAGTCAATACTAAAGTACAAAATAGCAGGATCAAATGTATTATACTATAGATGTAATGTGAATAGAATAGGAAAGCAGATGAAGCAGCATTTCTTATGAAAGAAAACAGTAATTACCTTGAAGAGAAACCAAGTTCTAAATGATGGCCTTGTGTTAAATCTGTCATAAGCTACCACATGTGTGTTGTTGGTTATTCCTAAGTTTCCCACATATTCTTGAAACAGGTTTGTACTGGGGATCTGGAATTTGATGCTGGACCCTGGGACTGGTGGGCTGACTTTTTTCAAATCAAAATATAACGATGTTGGAATATGGGACCTGGACATTTTTCAAATCAAAATAATACAGCACATAGAAATTAACAATTAAAATAAACTGGAAAATTATTCAATAAATAAATAACTTGTTATTAATCAATTGACATTTAAAATAGTCTTCATTTACAAAAATGTTTGTCGTTGCATGTGGATTCAATGGTAGAAATTATCGCTGTTGAAGAAAAACTAAATGATGGCTTGACTTACTCCTGATAGAACTGTTTGTAGCCATCAACCTCGGGTTCAGGCATCCATGAGGTGTCAAGTACTTTCAAATTTCTTTTAGTCAAGGATGAACCTCGACATAAAATCTGTTCTCTCAACCAAAATGTGTTCACCAGAGTGGTGATTTTTGAAATAGTCATTCTAATATTCAAACTACAAACAAAAATATGCTGTGAAGAAAAAAACAAACTCTATTGAGTTATGTCAAGAATAAGGTCAAGGCTAGTGCTTAGGTTAGAGCCAGGGAATCAAAGCAAGCCAAATAATAACCTTACATACATATTTATTAATATGTAAGGCTACCTATAGAGATCTATATTTATATATATGCATGAAGTTACATAATTGCCCATTGTTGTGTTGCTGACATCAAAGCTGCACTACCTTGCGCATTATTACACCATTCATCCTATCAACATGAAACTTTGGCCGGTTTTTGAACACACTCTGGCGAAGGTTTCTGCCATACACATTTTAAAAATATTGACCCTGGCGCTAACAATTGGAAATGAAAAATAAACTTATTACCAAGCTTAGAATACTTAGATCAATTTTAAAAAAAATATTTATTAAGTTATTCCCCTTTGTCCATTAGAACCATATCACAATGGTTTCTGACATAAACACTTAAAAATATCAGAGGGGCTGTACATACTCCTTAGTAGCTATCTTTGCACCTAATGTTAATAGCTGGGGACTATTTGGAGCCACATGCTCCCTTGAGCACTATGGTACCTACATTCATTTTAAAGAATCCAATACACAGGTTATGATGGACTACTATAATGGTTGGCTAAATCAAACTGGACGTGTCTGGTGATTCAGAACACACCAGTGCTCACTGCGAGCACTATGGTGCCTTCATAAGTTTTAAAGAGCACCTTACCATAAGGACACGGTGGGTCACTACATTTGATGACAACTGAAACAGGGGATGCTCCTGAGAATTTTATGTTGGCAGTCGCCGTGGTGTGTTCTACCTGACTATTACAGAGGGTTATTAACCTATACTGAAGGCGTCATGATAATATTTAATATGACATTAATAAAAATTATCATTTACTTTATTAATATTAGGCATTATTTATATTAGTAACAATTAAAATATATAGTATATATATATATAGTATAGGGCCTAGGCATTATAATTTATTAGGATATTGTTAATTAATTAGTTAATAATAATAAATTTAATAGTATTATTAGTATTATTAATATTAGTTATTAGTATAGACAAGTATAGTATTATTAGTATAGTATACTATAGTATACTATTTTAGTATAGTAAATGACACACCTTTGGCTTTGCCAGTGAGTATTTAATTTCTTAGGGTAGAGCTAGATCTATAATATTAATAGAATAACCATTGCTATTCTTAATTCTCGATCTAGATATCTAGTAGTAGTTAGATCAACAAGCTAGAGTTTATCTAGAAGTGTATCGTATACCGTACAATACAGTAGTATGTATACACTACTATACACACACAGTGAAGGTGAAGGACACGCCCTTTAGCCTTTCACCTCTCTTGTCTTTCTACTTGTCTTTTGTTTAGATTTTAAACATTGTTGTTAAATTAACCTTAGATGGTTTCGTGATGTATCGATATGCTGTTAAGTTAAAATGAAACTGTTTTCTATGCACGTATTTATTCTAATAATTTTAAAAATCTAATTTGTGAGTAATTGCCCAACATAAACTTGACTTTTCCGTACGTGGATAACTTAAATAGACTTTAGTAGTCACGTATTGAGCCAGATAAAATAATACAAAAACTGGCCTACTTAATTTGTGGACAGCTATTTTCGTTTTTTACTTTCTCGTATATACGAAGTATAGAGAAAGTATTGTAATCGTGCAAAAAAAAAAAAAAAAAAAAAAAAAAAAAAAATTATATTATATACGGAAAAACATAATTTTGCAATCTTGTCCGTATGTCTGTCTGTCTGTCCGTGTGTAAACACGATTACTTGAGTACCGTTACAGCTAGGTTGATGAAATTTCATATATAAGTATTTTATCAAAATCGTAGATCCGTATCAACTTTTGAGCGATTTCCGATAACCGGAAGTGGTACTTTTCCTACTTTGAATTTTTAAAAAGCCTATAACTTGAGTACTATTTCAGATAGATAAATGAAATTTCACATGTAAGTAAAAGATCTAATTCTCTACCTTTTGTTAAATTTTGAGTAATTTCCGTTGACCGGAAGTAATAATTTACGCTACTTCCGATTTCTCAAAAAACTAATGAAAATTTTAAAAGTACTAATAATATTGCGCACTATTATGCGCTTTTTTATTTGGCGTTCACTTGGTGTGCAATTAATTTGTCTACGAGATTTTATTCTATTTTTAAAACTTCAAGTATTTCCCATCCCCTGTTATTTTATATAAGAATATTCGAGAAAGTTTAGGGGAGATCACTCCCGGTTTATTATTCCTTGGCATCTGCTTAAGTCGAATACTAGAACTAGGTTAGACCTTTAGGGTTCCAGGGTTATCTTAGTCTTTTTTCGTATTTTGAGTAACTTAAACAATAAAAACTTACAAACCTGGCATTTTTAGAAGTTAAATAATAAAACTTGTAAAAGCTGATTCACTTTTAACTAAATTTTTAGACTTTTAGGACTTAAAATTAAATAGAAATAGGGCTACAAAATTTGGGTAATCTATCGTTTTGGGTACGTAAAATCGCCCGCGACTAGTAATGTGAAAAACAGGTGACTCCTTACATTTTAATGATTATTTCACATTTTGAGGAGGATTTATGTTTTGAAAAATACAAAAATGTTTCCTTGTTTCATTTATGTACCTGTATTTAAACAATTGAATTAAAACTTTTGACTAATAAATGAACACCAGCGATGTTTCCAACAGATGCAACCATGCTCATTTACTATAGCAGCCATCTTGTTAAAGTTTTATTTTTATAGACTTAGCGCGAGATTCAGGCGGAAGTCACTCTATTTTACAAATGGCTGCTGTTTATATAGCAAATCTTGCTTGCAGACACTGCTGTTTAAAGTTAATTTCTGGCCTATATTGATATATTTAGCCATTGATTTAGGTTTATTATTCATTTATCTATAATATTTGACACAAACATATCACAATATAGTTCTATTACAGCCTTGATAATGAGGTAACGTTTTCGTACATTAATAGCCGCGGGCGATTTTACGTACCCAAAACGATAGATTACCAAATTTGATTTATACTTAAATTAGGAAATGAAACAGTCTCTTTTCCTATTCATCCCTTGTAAATGCATTTATAGTTTTACCAAAAGGATACTGAACTTACGCAATTAATACAAATATTTTTAAAAAGAAAATTATTTTTGGAAGGCTCTAGACCAGGGAATGGTGAGCCCATTAATAAATTATAAGATAAGACAAGCTTCATCAGATAATAATATCAATATCATCATGGCTATCTTTCAAGTGTTTTTATTGTTGAGCTTAACAAAAGCTACATGTTCACAACACTTGGTGCTCTTGTTTCATAAGAATGATCTTTCTTTATTGAGCATTCAGTCAAAGATGGAAATTATTGGATCTTTTTTCATTGACAATGACCTAACAATAAATTACTTAACTTCACATACAAGTGACTCAATAGTGAGAGATGGCACAAACTTTACACTGTACATTCAAACATCAGGTAAAGAAAAAGTCACAGGGTCTATACACATTATCTTTTTTCTTTTAATTAATAATTAATAATCAGTGCTGCATATTTTATCTAATGATGGAATAATTAAAACAGAAAAAGCCAGTATCACAATCTAATTTTTAAAATATATATATTAATTACATAATCATCTTTGTATTAAAAATATACAAAAATAAACACATATTTTACTAAATATTATATTATGTTAAAACAAGGAATAGTACCAAAAGCTAAAAAAAAATTATTACACTTTTTTAAATAATTGGATGATTCATATACATTTTTATAGTTAAACTATTATTTAAACAAATGGATCCATTGAAATTATTATACCAAACAAAAATATTTTTAAAGTAATTTCAAATGCTGTGAGGTAAGAAAACATTTTACTTAATGCAATGCTAATTAAAATGTAGTCGTAAAAAATGCAGAAATTAAAAATTTTAAATAAAAAAAAATTTAGTGTTCCAATAAAATTTCATCACTTTAGGTAGTGCAACCCTATTTCTAATATAGATACAATACATGGCTGAAAATACACTCCCTTCTGAGTAATAGCATGTTATTCTTTTATTAAACAAACATAATACTACTGGTTAATTATATTTAAGCTAAAGCAAGTCAATTATAAATAAACACCATTCACTAGTAGTCCCATCTTAAATTTTTAGGTTGTATTAACTTATTCTCAACATAAAAAAAACTAACAAATACAGTGAAACGCAAAACTGAAATAAATATAATTTAATTCATAAAAATATCAGACAGTGCAAGTAAAAATTATCAGACCAATTGAAAGTATAAACGATAAGCATCAGATTAAACATTTTAAAAGGTTCAAATATCAAGCAAATGAAAACTAACGTAATAATATCTGAAAAATTGAGAAGAAATATAATTAAAATAAAATAATTTAATTTGGCAGTCAAGCAAATGTAGCAAAATGAATTCAAAATTTTAAAACAGAATTTAAATCTGGCACACAAATTTACTGAAAAACTGTCTTCAGCCAAAGAAAATTGATAGTAATATAGAAGACAAATAATGGTAAAAGGAAGGAAGGCTTGAGAGATTACATGTAATGTACGCTGATTGTGGCAAAGTTTGTAAAAACATTGTTTCTTTTTTTACTAGATGGGTGGTTTGGATGGGATTTAATTTAATGAACAAAATCTAAAATTATATTAAATAATTATTAGAACATATTATACATATATAATAACAGCAGAGAGAAAAATGCAGTAACCATAAGGCCTAGATTAGATAACTAGATTTTCATTCAGTCTTTCCACATATTTAAAACAGAAGAAGTGAAGCCAATTGCTGTAATGAAATAGGTGGTATGAACAAGTCAAATGTTAGTAAAACACACATGAAAAACATATTTTGTATTAATATAGATTTTAATAAATGTTCAGAGCTAAGTATCATAAAATGTTTAAGCACACAAATAAGAGGTTGTGAGATATGTGGTCAGGAAAGCTGTTTAGCAGGTGTACTCCACTAGGTATTGAATTAATGATATGGCAGCTTTGGGATTAAAGACAACTTTAGCGGTTGGCTTTTAACAAACACAGTTCAATAAAACAGAATTTTAAAATGTTGGTTTAAAAAACATTGGTTTCATTTTTGTTTTTAAAAAGGAAGATTTATTATAATGAGAATTGTTACCACTTCTTCAAGCATTTAACACTTTCTACAATTTGATGAAGTAAGATACAATAACCAGTCCATTAAGCTTATCTACAACACCAACTCTAACCTTGATTACTACCAACAGCGTTATCTTAGTAAACAAAAATTAATGGTTTCATAAAAAGTGAAATGTCTTTAGACTGGAGGCATATAATCAAACAACTATTTATTTTTGAGCAATTCAAGTAAGAAAAAAAAATGGAATCAGGTTCTATTATACACATTTGTAGATTTAAGATGTGACATGTCTACATAGTGTTATAGCTAAAATAAAAGCCTGGCAAGGTACATCAAATGTGAATTAAATGGATTTTATGGATGAAAATTACAAGACTAAGTACACATTATTGTATTCAAATTGGTAAGCATATTCATGCAAATATAAACTTAACCAATAAACAGTAATGCCAGATATATAATTTTTTAAGAGATCTAAATTGTAGTAGTCTAGAATTGTGTGGGTTTTAAAACATTTCAGTTGGAAAATTCTAAATTAAAAAAATCTATGTATTATCAATGGCCTTCAAAATGTGAGTAAAAAACCCAACCAGCCAGGATGGGGGTGGCAAATTTTGTAATTTAGATTGTCATTTGAAAAGTTTGTTTCTAAAATTTAAAAAATGGTACAGTTTTAATAAGCAGACTAAAAACTAGCTACTTTCCTTGTTGTTTTTAAACTACCTAGCTGCTGAACTATACTTATATAACTTTAAAAAATAAAGCTCAGGAAGTAAGCAAAAATCCCCCAAATTGGCTTGATAATAAAAATGTAATGAACATAACAAGAGAGTACAAAAAAAGTATGTATCAAGATTTGCTCTACTATATCAAATCGCAGGTAGGATTTCTGCAACTTAGGCAACAAGCCAGTCCTCTGTAAGATCTCTTCTGGTAGTTCCCCTGTAGTGTAATAGTGGTCCAACATTTTATCCTTCTCAACATATCTCTCATACAGCCAGCTGGTCAAACTTGCGTCATCTCTTGGAATATCTCTGGCTCGAAATGCTCTAAAGGTGTTCATTAGTAAAGAAAATTCAGTTGCATAATATTTTCTTTAATGAGATACAATACAATATCTGAACATTGTGATAAATATCGATGCATTTCATCATGCAGCAATTAGACCCGATAAACTCCAATCATCTAAAACAGGATGTTACCACCAAGCTTGGGCATTCATACAAATGATTGGTGTACTGAATGACTCACCTGTAGTGGACCAGAACATCATTCCTAGGATTATAACCAACACACATTCCAAACATATCTAAAGGTTTGCCATCCTTGTAAGCAATGGTCATGTCCACAACCCATTTTAGTGGTCTAGAGGAATCTAGAGAATCAAGTGATAACTTAAGTACTTTAGTGTACAGAGTGGCAGTAAAAGTATTGTCCCTTACATCATAACTAAAAAAAATTCAGCAAACATAACATGCAAAATTAATTTAAAGGTTTATTATGATAAAAGAAAGCAGAAAATTTCAACAGTACAATTCACCTTCTATTTCACAGTTATCAATTTCATCAGAGGTATTCACTGGTTCATACGGTTCTCCTACAGCATCTAGAATAGTTTTCATGGCGCCAATGCGTGGAAGTGTTGTATGTTTGAGAACAGGGTGGCCATATTTGCGTGCATACCTTTAGAGATATTTTAGTTTGTTTGAACACAAATAGCTAATGAAAAATGGTGAGTAATAAGATAAAACAAAAATAAACACATCAACTGCATCAAAATAGCAGTCAAAAAAAGCCAGTGACAAATAACCACCATCAATTCATTTCTTGACAAATAGGTTGACGTTATTAAGATTCTTAACAAATAGGATCTTGACAAAATGATTTTTGTCATAATGACCAATGACAACAAAAAGGGCACCAGTCATTAGAGTTTCCAACATAGTTCCAGACAAAATGACCCCCCCCCCGCCCCTTTTATCAAGGCATTTCATAGCTAGTTTACCTGACACAACTAGGTATAAAAAAAACATAGCTCTTGGTAGGAATGGCTTATTGTTACATTATTTCATCTTGTATAAGAAAAAATATGCTTTCAAATTATATGTAATCCCACACTATTGGGCAGATTGTGGGATGTTCAAACTCTGATTGAATTTATTGGATGCAAGGGGGTAGGTTATCAAATCAAAATGTCATTTATCCTGTATACATAATGAAAAACATACTTTTTACACACAACAACTCTTAAATGGGTGTTGATAACATATTGTTATCTAAATTTCTAAAATTTGTGGAGCTTTGCTATTAGAACTCAATTTGGCCAGTTGTTAATGAAATGTTACTGATTCAGAAGTAATTTTATATACTTTTAAGTCGAATCTTAATTTTATAAAGCAATTAATTAATTAGCTAAACTATTCTGCATATTTTGTGTTTTACTTTGACTTTGACATTTTATCAATTTTAAATTGAGGTTACAGAGGTAGTGGGGCCTAGAACTGTGTGTGGTTGGTGAGCTGGGAAAATGCGTTCTGTCTATAGCATAAGTGGTCATAAGATTTATTTGTCTGAAGCCAATATGTAGGAGCCCATTTGTCAGGAGGAATTTTGTCTGGTGCCAATATTTCAAATGCCCTTTTGACAGGAGCAAATTCACATGGGTCCTTTTGACTTAGTCATTTAGTCAGGGCAGATTTGCCAGGGTCCATTTATCAGAGCCCTTTTCGACTGTTCACTCAACTGTATTCAACAGTGAGAGTATTTATTAATTATAAAAATCTTACCATGTTTACTAACTCAAAAAGCATTTAACATTAAGCACTCACTCTTGACTTGCTTCTAATCTTTTGTATAAAAAACCTCCTTCTGGAAATACCATGATCCATTTTCTTTTCAAGGGGAGGTAAGCATTAATTATATGTTCTTTTAATTTCACTAGCTGTAGATCACGGACTGATTTTCCCTAAAATTGAAAATATTTTCATTATTCAATTGAATTTAAGTAGGTGCTAATAAAATTTCTAAATTAAAAAAAAAAGATACAAATAAAACATTTGAAAGCATTGTTGTTCAGGAAAAAATAATCAAATGTTGGAATTTTAAAATATTTTCCAATTTATTATTAAAAATAAAAATATCTAGCATGGGAGAAACACTAGCACTGTTGTTGCATATGTGTAGAAATGGACTAGTATTTCTAAGAAAAAGTATACCATCAAAACAGGCATAAAACTTGTTATAATTCAAACTGTGCTCTCTAAAAATTTAACACTAGTCTGGTACAAAAGCAAACAGTGGTGAACACAAATATTTCTTTTTTACTGCAGAAATACATAAGGCCTAAAATCATTTAACACCATTCATTGATAGTTCACCCCTATTCACAATGCAAATTATTGTAAACAGAGAACAGTTTGCAAAAATTTATATGAGCCTACTTGTGTATGTAGCATGCATTGATGTTTTTTTTAAGGTTAAATAGTTTTCTAATTAAACTAATGGTAAATTGAGCTGTGAAACACTTTCATTCAAAAAATTTACGAGTCATAAAGGTCAATAAATGTAAATGCTAACTAACACACACATACTACTTCTAAGAGAAGAAAAAAGACTAACTTGATCAATAAAAAAGTCTTTTCTAATGCAAGAAACTAGACCGAAATTTGTGTACTTGAAAAGGATAAACATAATCCACAACATGTTTCCAGTGGCCATTCCTTTACCATAGGTTGTCAGCATGACAATAGGAGTGTCTGCAGTGGACTGGTGATTGCACAGGAGAATGGTTTCTTTATCATGGAGTTGACCTATGTCATCCCCACACTGGACAACTATTACAATGAACAATGGCAATTTATAAACATAGAAATAACATTGTGAGAAAATTGACATTGTATTTTAGGATAAATGTTTTCACGGTAAGAGCCATATGATATTGAGTTAGAAGGTTGATACTATAGAGAGTATAAAAGTCTGAGATGACTGGAAGAATGTGTACTGTAAACAACCTTATGTGTAGAACAGCAATTGTAATTGTGTGATATATATTTTGCATGGATTAAGATTAAGTTTAAAATTCAAACAGTGGTGGAAAAAACATTGCACTGAAAAAAAACCATTACAAAAATAAAAACCAAAATACAAAAATGTTAAAATTCAAGAAGACACCAAATACCTATTGTTGATAGAAAAAAAACTTTATACCTCTATAACCATTGGTATCCACCCATGTGACAACCATGCACTGCAACATCCTGAACATAAAAGCTTCAATTTTCCAGTAGATATTGGGTGCTATCATTCTGACAGGAGTCAAAAGCAGCATCCAAATTACATAGCAAGGTAGTGCATACAAGTTGGACAACACAAAAAATATAAATCTCCAAGTATAGCTAGTGTATTTATACACAGTATTCAACATTTTTAGATAAGGCTTGTTGATCTGTAATACCTGAAAAAAATATGACAATATTTATTGATTGTAAAAAAATAAAAATAGATAAACAAATTATTGAGATGGTATGATAAAAAAAAAGATGGATAAACCATGCTTTATCTCTTTAAGCCTGTAATTATTTTCACGTTTTACCTGAATTATTTTTTTCACTCAATTTTTTAGTACCCTTGCAGCTAAATGACTCATATCTTTTTACCCACTGATGTAAAGCCCAGACATTTCTAATATAAATAGTAATTGAATGTCCTACACACTAATATAAATTTAAAGTAAATATTTATTTATTGAAGAAAGGTAGTTAAGAAGACAAAAAAAAAAAAGAGTTGATTTTTTCTGGCAAAAAATATGCTTTTGTCTGGAAATTTAATTTTAAGAATTACTTTCATGAGTTTGTATTAATAGAAAATGAAAGGACGTCAATTTTTCTACAATTAACTTAGTCTTAGCATAAATACTTTAATTTTGGTTAATTTTATAATGTGGCAATGTAGCGTTTGACACGGCCACTGAACGTCATTCGCAGTGTTTAAAAAATGCTGTTTTGCAAGTTGTTTTACAAAAAAAATTCAATCAAATACAAAATCAACAGATCGAGAAAACTACAAGAAGTAAATACAACTAAAAATGTCTGTTCTAGCGTTATCATGATCTAGATTTACGATTGAAAACTTGGATTATGAAAAACAATAAATTGGTGCGCGGACCTTTGACCACAGGTGCTTTGACCATAGGGGGTTTGACCACAGCGGAGCTTTGACCATAGGGGCTTTGACCATAGGGGGTTTGACCACAGCGGGGCTTTGACCATAGCGGTGCTTTGACCATAGGGGGTTTGATCATAAGGGGTTTGACCAAAGGGGTTTGACCACATGTGTTTTCTCAGCAGAGGGTCTTTGATCACATGTGGTCTATCAACTGGTGTTTGATCACAAGCGCTGCATCCGGCTTTGATCATAGATGTGATACTACAATTAACACGATTTTATACATGTTTCCTGAGAGTACGTTAATAGAAATTAACATGTATTTAAAAGAAGCCAAGAACTATATTTTAGTCTCCACATAAAGGCTGGTGCTAGGCCTCATAGATTTATTTTAAATATAAATGAAACACAAATAATGCGACATATAACAAGCTTCACAAATAAATAATGTAGATGTACTTTAAAATACATAGCATATATAAAGGATAAAAAATGATACAAAACTTGCCAAGAATATAGTCAAAGATGTAATACATAAAATGGTTAACTAAATGACAGATGTGCTATAGCACGCAAATATGTCAGTACATCTGTTTGACCATATGTCTGGACAGCACGTTGTACTTTTTCGTGCAGCATCTTGTATCGCTTCTCAGCTGGGTAGCTTGCCCCTGCAACACCTTGCAAGAAAGTTGTCTTTTGCCGTGTGCAGTCCATCTGCAGACCTTCAAGGAAACGCCACATTGTTGGGTGACTACACTGGAGGAGAGACTGAAGACTGTAATGCCATCCTTCACAAATGTTATTTGTTCGTGCTACACCATCGCCAATCGTGTGCAAGATTCTCCATGGTTTTTAAATAGAGTAGTTTAGATGACTTGTAATACTTGTATTTATACATGATGATTTAACTTATTATTACATCATGTCGAAATTTAAAATATAATTTAGCAACTTTTATTAAAATAAATCCTTACCATATATGGACAGCATTGGACAAACCACCTGAGATTAAAGACCACATGTGGACAAAACACTATGATCAAAGCCGGACACAGCGCTTGTGATCAAACACCAGTTGATAGACCACCTGTGATCAAAGACCCTCTGCTGAGAAAACACCTGTGGTCAAACCCCCTATGGTCAAACCCCCTATGATCAAACCCCCTATGGTCAAAGCACCGCTATGGTCAAAGCCCCGCTGTGGTCAAAACCCCTATGGTCAAAGCCCCTATGGTCAAAGCTCCGCTGTGGTCAAACCCCCTATGGTCAAAGCACCTGTGGTCAAAGGTCCTAGGACCAATAAATTAAATAGAGAAAAAATTATCGGACGCTGGGAGCGTTGCTACGGTTTGGCAGGCCGCCCTGTCGACCGTTGGAAATGTCGTTATGATCTTAAAGAGTTATAGCCAAAATTATTATGCTTTTAATTAAGAATATGAATTTGTAGTTAATGTCTTTTATAAGTTAAAATTTTTTTTTTTATCATCGCCTCATAATTACAGATAAAAAAAAGAAACAAATGTGTGTGCATACCAGGAAATGTTAAGTAGAAAAGCATGATAGAAATACAAAATAATAACAGTATTTAAAAAGCAACTAAAATCAACTCATGCACATTTTTAAACATTATGTATTAAAAATAATATGGGCGGCAAATAAATGATGGTTTACAGTATTTTGAGTGGTTTCCGGAACGGCTCGGCAGACTATGCCATGGTTTTACTGTTTTTTTACTGCTGTACAATTCCGGAATGACAAAGGACACTATATCGTGATTTTACCCTTATTTGCACATTACTAGCAATAGCATCGGACGATTTTAAGTACCTAAAAAAAACCGATAGATTACCGAAATCTAGTTACTTAGTTACTAGATCTATATTATTAATAGTTAGTTACCAGTTAGGCCTAGTTGTTCTAAAATTCTAAGGCCTAAAAATTTTTAAAAATTTTATGTTCTAGATCTAGATTCTAATCTAGATCTAGCTAGATTTAAACTAGTTTTAAGTTTAGTAGTAACTGCCAGTAACACTGACTAGTAGTAGGAATGTTGGGATATTTTTCCTAATTACCATAGAATGATAAAATGTACACAGATTAATCCTATAATATACCCCATTGATAAAAATACCAAATTTATCATTCTAGGCCTAATAGTTTTTTTTATATGAATTTTTAAAGTTATGTATTAAACCTGTTATATATCACTGTAACATCGGATTTAATTGTGTGATTGGCTTTAGGCTTGCATACCACTGCTGCTATTCGAGATATAATTATAAAACTTTGCACATTAGTGCTAGAGAGTGTGGGCAATAGAAATATGAAAGTAAAATCAAAATTTGATGAAGGATAATTAGAACTAATCAAGTCAAATTAAAGTGAGGGGTGCTGTTCTATATAGGTCAATATGCAGACTGAAAGTCTATGTTTTTTTTTTTAATATTAAAATTGAAACTTTGCTAGAGGGTGGGGGCAATAGAAATATAGAAAAAAATTATATTAAGTATGACTGCATATAATTAAAAAGTCCTATGAAAGGGTGTTGCACCCTTTTATAGTAATTATAGTGACTGCAACTGACGTATGTCCAGAATGTTACTATAATAGATAGGATACATTTTGGTTATTGATACTGAAGCATGTAATAAGAAGAATGCTGAAAAATAAAACTAGGGATGGTGTGTTAAAGCACTCAACTACTAACATGCAAGTCTTAAGCTCAGATCTCAGACAAGTCTGTCTGTGCAGCGTGCAGCATCCACCAAGCTCAGATGAGTACCTGACACAAGGGAAAGTAAAGATAGCTTGGCAGAGAGCTAACCACACCATCACTTCATGTGCATGGGTCAAGAAACAGATAAACTCTACTTCAGCGGCTTTATGGATGATGGATTGACAGGTCCAAAAGGGAAACTACTTTAATATACTAGGGCCTTTATAAGACCCTATTGATATTTTGGTACAACTAAATTACTAATCAATAGAAAAACCTTAAATTCTTGTAAAAGTTTATTAAGCTAAGTGTTAATTTGTACCAAATCAGAAGTTACAGCTTCCCTGTCTATCTGCTTATATGAATATATATATTGGCAACATGCAGTGATTTAAATCCGTATTGTTTGTTGTTATTTGTTTTTTGTTACATTTTATTATTAAATGTAAAAATTGTATCCTAAATTATTATGAATAATTATCATGCCTTTTTCATGTCATTCTAAATTCACTGCCTTATTAATTAGTACCCCCCCCCCCCATGTCAATTGCTGCACCTTTTGTTTATTATTTACTAATGTCATAAGCATAATTATTACAAATAATTAAATAAGTTTATCACCAAGCTTCTTTACTTATCATAACCAATAATAGGCCCAGACTTACTGTATCAATCGATACATATAGTATATATAGCATTAGTTATACTAAGAAATAGATAACTTATTTATAGTATAAAGTATAATAGTATATTAAAGGCTATTAGTATTAGTATTAGCCTTAAATCTAAGTAAGTAGGTATGTGTGAAATGCTTAACACTATTTAATGTAAGCCTAAGCTTCTTGCCTGTCGGTTTTAATAGATAACTTGATCAACGTATTGTATCTAGTTTTAACAGTGCCACCCACAATTTAAATTCTTTCCAACTTCGAAAACTACGTCATTGGCATTAGTGCGCGTATTTTATCGATAATAGGTAATGCCGTGCTAAACCGACGCCATGGCGTTGTCAAGGCCGAAGCGCTAGCTCGGGGATTTGACATGTATGATAACTCGTAAGCAGAAGTAGTAAGTGCCATAAAACCGTTATTATAATAATATTTGTTTATTTAATGGACACTTACAACTAATGGCAAGACACTTATAAAGGGTTTAATACGTAAACTTATTTAAAATGTGACAGCACCGTACGGGACATGTTCGCGAGATAAACTCATTAGAATCGTGCGATCGATTTCGGCTTAAAGATTGTCATAATGGCGGTAATTTTCTAATTGAAACATATAATACGACTACACTAGAATATCTATATCGAATATTTCTAAAAACTCGATTCCAACAGTGAGATTCGGCATTCTTCGGAAAAGGGCGAGTTTTTATAAAGACTGCATCGAAAAGTCCGGATGTTGAATACCGAATCGAAACAGCGGAAGTCGGAATGCCTAGACTAGTAGTAATAGTAATACTAGTAATTACTAATTAATATTAACTAGCCTGTCCTAGGTAACTGATAACTCAGAAATAAATCATAAATAAATAACCTATTCGTTGAGTTAAGTGAGTTTACTTTATATTAGAGTCTAGAATTTAGTTACAATATCAGTAGTAGATCTAACAGTTCACTAACTTACAGTGTAGCTTTAATGATGTGTTTTGTTGTCAGCTGTAAGTTAGATGCAACAAGTAGGTTTCGCTAAATACCGAAACACCGAATATCAAACGATGCCTATTTCTCGGGGGGGGGGGGGGGGGGCAACTTGAAATGGGGGGGGGGGTGGCGGACACTGTTAAAAGTATATATTTTCTATATAAATTTATAAATTTCATTTCGTTGGGGGGGGGGGGGAGCGGTAGAAGAGATGCCTCGAAGAAACTCTGATTTAAGGACTAATTGTACTAAAATAGATTAACAAATTAAAACTGAGCAAAAACCCAGCTAGTACTACAATTGGCCTTTGTTGTGAAGTGTATCCAGGTTGAGGGTGGTGGCGTTAACATTTTGATAGGAAGCTTTTACTTTTATTACTTTTATAATTATATAGGCCTAGAATCTATTTATATTCACTAAAAAGAAGAAAGATGATTTTCTTTACAGTTTTGAAGATATATAGAATCTATAAATATAATAATTGTATCACAATTTAAATAGCTGAAAAGAAAAGTGGGTCGCTTATTAAATTTATGCTTATACTAATAACTATATAAAGTATAAAATTCATAGTGACATCGTATAGTTAAACATAGGAACCCATGTTTTAAGAGTTTTTTATTTTTTAAATAGTGGTGCGTAAATATTTATAAAATTTGAAGGAAATATTCTTTCTTCTTTTTAGTGCAAAATTATAGATCTAAATTAATCTATATATATAGATCTAGATCTAAAATCTTGCTATTAAACTTTTTTTAATTTTAATATTATTAGGCCTAATAATAATATTTTTCTTATTTGTTTAGCAGTTTTCGCCTTTGATGTCAACTTGTCTGATGGTGTCACCCGTCTTTATTGGATAAAACTTGTGTATTTTATTTTAAAAATTAAAATAACTTGCACAGATTCGCGTTTTTTTACCCAGGTGAATTTAGTGTAAACATTGGTCTAAGTTTTCTGCAATCCTTAGAAAAGTAAAAGGTTCATTCTAAATTTGGCTATCACATGACTTTTATTTTTGTAACTATTAATAGTATAAGACAATAAGAGAGCTCCCTACCTACATCGTAGCACACAGGCCTCGAGATCTAGATCTAGTAGGCTAACCTATAGTTACTATAGTATAATTCTAGATTCTAGTTGGCCTATGAAGTATGATGAGAGGTTCAGCAAGTCTGTTGTTTAGAATAGTAATACTAATAGTGTTGTAAAAGTATAAGTCAGATACTATCTGAGATAGGCCCTAACTCAGTAACTGCCTAAAGAAAGTTTAGGCCCTAAACTGAGAAACTCGCAAACTAAACTCAACTGTAAACTTTACGGCCAGTAAAGTTTGTGTTGTCTAGTGTAGTGTGTATGTACTATGTATAGTGTATACTAGTGTATAGTATTAGTATAGTCTATATAATGTGTATACTGTGTACGTTAATCACTCACAGCAATAATGAGGTAAAACACACTCCGCTGACCACCCATGTGTCAGTGACGTATAGGGGCGCTCTCTGGAGCCCTATATTAAATATTAAAGTACCGCTGATGTGGTAATTTGTTAGCATTGCTAATGGGGTATTATTAGAAGCTCAATCTTAATTTCTGATTGGATCATCGAAAAATAGATGCTCATTGCATCATTCGCAAAGTGACGAAACTGTTTGGATTTTGGTATGGACAAAAGGAAACAACACAGTTAATAATCTAATCTTAGTTAATTTTTCTGATAATTGAAAAAAGATGTATTACAGGGATCTCATAGGCCCATATGAGCCTTTGTGGGCCGAAACTGAAATTTTTGTTCGCAACCAAATCGTACCCTACCAGGGCGCCGGCGGACATGCCTGATTTAATTTAGTGAGCACCTCTAACGCCTCTTCTTATCCTTTTGAAATTAAAAAAGATTTTTTTACAGAAACTTCACCTAAAGTGTTCTAATGAACTCCCCAAAGTTTGATGGCGATTGGATGAATGGTGTGAAACCGCAATCAACTTTAATTTTTATATACCGTATATAGAGAAAAATTGCAACCTCCCCGGGCGCTGCCCTTGCGAAATTAAAAATGTTTTTTTTTTTTACAGAAACCTCACCTGAAGTGCTCTATTCAACTCCCCAAAGTTTGATGGTGATCGGATGAACGGTGTCAAACCGCTATTGGCTTTTATTTCGATATACCATATATAGAGAAAAATCGCACCCTCTCAGGTAGCCGCCCTTGCAAAATTAAAAAAGATTTTGTTTGCAGGACCCTTCCCTGGAGTTTTCTGATCATCTCCCCAAAGTTTCATGTTACACGGTCGAACGGTGTCGAAACACATCCGACTCTTATTTTTTTATATACCGTATATTGAGAAAAAACAAACTGCACCCTACCTTATTATTACTTATTGATTGCATTCAAATTTCAATTGTATTGCAGTTTAGTTTAGTATGAGCCTATTATTAGACCTAGGCCTAATGAATATCTGATAGACCATCTATCTATATCATCTGATAGTGATATCATGAGCATCGCTGTTAGACATCTCTGGATAATTAAATTGTCAACTGGTTCTAAAAATCCACACATCTTATTTAGCAGGTAAGAATCTACTAGATTTCTAAACAAGATCTAGAATTCTAGATTTCAATCTATGTCTATTATCAAGACTCCTACATTTATAATTATTAATTTAAAATGCTTGTAGATCTACTATATAGATTCTAGATCAACTTGTAGTCTTAGTCTGCTAAGTTTAGATCTTGATTTGGTCTATATTTTGAGTCAACCCTTTTTGTATCCTTAATGGAATGATAAGGGCCAACTTTGTTTTTATTTAAAATAGGGTTTTTCTATATATGAATCAAATACTGATTGTGGCACTAATTTATTTTTTACTTGGAAAAAGTGTTAAGATTTTTTTTATTTTATGTAGTTGGATGCAGCTTTCTAAACATTAGTGTTACCGTTAAGGCCACCTTGAGTCCAAACACTTTCGCTAGTCAATTTTTTTAACCCTCCCCTTTACACCTAAACCATAATGTGGATGTTATAAGTATGAGGTTTAGACATCTATCGTTAAAAGAAAATTTATTTTATGACATTTTAAAAATATACAGATCATTCCCAACAGTAGAAAAGAAGGCAGCACTGACTTACGGAAAAGCTTATGTTCCAATTCCTTCAAACAACAATTTACTGCCACTATTGGTGCAGGAGCTTGCACTTGTCTACGCGTCTCAGGTGATCATTGATGTTTGCGTAAGGATTTAAACAATAATTTAGTTGAGGGAGTGACTCACGTTGAGGTTGTTGGTTAGCCATCTAATGATGAATTAAAAGTGGATGTTTACCCCAACAGTTTACATAGTTGAGGGGGTGGGTGAGTTGGTTAGCTATCTAATGATGAATTAAAAGTGGATGTTTACCCCAACAGTTTACATAGTTGAGGAAGTGAGTGAGTTGGTTAGCTATCTAATGATGAATTAAAAGTGGATGTTTACCCAACAGTTACATAGTTGAGGAAGTGAGTGAGTTGGTTAGCTATCTAATGATGAATTAAAAGTGGATGTTTACCCCAACAGTTTACACCTAGTAGAGACCAGTGTGACTTACAGTTCCAGAAACCTGTCCACCAGCTGACCACTGAGCAGGGTGTATTGTGGCCTGTAGTTGCAGCTGAGAAGGTGATGGCTTTATACTTATCCTTTACTGGCTTACAGTTGTATGGTCCATGTACTCACCATCATCTATCTTATTGCTGCCATGTGCTCACCATCATCTATCTTATTGCTGCCATGTGCTCACCATCATCTTATTGCTGCCATGTGCCCACCATCATTTTATTGCTGCCATGTACCCACCATCATCTATCTTATTGCTGCCATGTGCCCACCATCATCTATCTTATTGCTGCCATGTGCCCACCATCATCTATCTTATTGCTGCCATGTGCCCACCATCATTTTATTGCTGCCATGTACCCACCATCATCTATCTTATTGCTGCCATGTGCCCACCATCATCTATCTTATTGTTGTCATGTGCTCACCATCATCTATCTTATTGCTGCCATGTGCCCACCATCATCTTATTGCTGCCATGTGCCCACCATCATCTATCTTATTGCTGCCATGTGCCCACCATCATCTATCTTATTGCTGCCATGTGCCCACCATCATCTTATTGCTGCCATGTACCCACCATCATCTATCTTATTGCTGCCATGTGCTCACCATCATCTATCTTATTGCTGCCATGTGCTCACCATCATCTATCTTATTGCTGCCATGTGCCCACCATCATCTATCTTATTGCTGCCATGTGCTCACCATCATCTATCTTATTGCTGCCATGTGCTCACCATCATCTATCTTATTGCTGCCATGTGCCCACCATCATCTTATTGCTGCCATGTGCCCACCATCATCTATCTTATTGCTGCCATGTGCCCACCATCATCTATCTTATTGCTGCCATGTGCTCACCATCATCTATCGTATTGCTGCCATGTGCTCACCATCATCTATCTTATTGCTGCCATGTGCCCACCATCATCTTATTGCTGCCATGTGCCCACCATCATCTATCTTATTGCTGCCATGTGCCCACCATCATCTATCTTATTGCTGCCATGTGCCCACCATCATCTATCTTATTGCTGCCATGTGCTCACCATCATCTATCTTATTGCTGCCATGTGCTCACCATCATCTTATTGCTGCCATGTGCCCACCATCATCTATCTTATTGCTGCCATGTGCCCACCATCATCTATCTTATTGCTGCCATGTGCCCACCATCATCTTATTGCTGCCATGTGCCCACCATCATCTATCTTATTGCTGCCATGTGCCCACCATCATCTATCTTATTGCTGCCATGTGCCCACCATCATCTTATTGCTGCCATGTGCTCACCATCATCTATCTTATTGCTGCCATGTGCCCACCATCATCTATCTTATTGCTGCCATGTGCCCACCATCATCTATCTTATTGCTGCCATGTGCTCACCATCATCTATCTTATTGCTGCCATGTGCCCACCATCATCTATCTTATTGCTGCCATGTGCCCACCATCATCTATCTTATTGCTGCCATGTGCTCACCATCATCTATCTTATTGCTGCCATGTGCCCACCATCATCTATCTTATTGCTGCCATGTGCTCACCATCATCTATCTTATTGCTGCCATGTGCTCACCATCATCTATCTTATTGCTGCCATGTGCCCACCATCATCTTATTGCTGCCATGTGCCCACCATCATCTATCTTATTGCTGCCATGTGCTCACCATCATCTATCTTATTGCTGCCATGTGCCCACCATCATCTTATTGCTGCCATGTGCCCACCATCATCTATCTTATTGCTGCCATGTGCTCACCATCATCTATCTTATTGCTGCCATGTGCTCACCATCATCTTATTGCTGCCATGTGCCCACCATCATCTATCTTATTGCTGCCATGTGCCCACCATCATCTATCTTATTGCTGCCATGTGCTCACCATCATCTATCGTATTGCTGCCATGTGCTCACCATCATCTATCTTATTGCTGCCATGTGCCCACCATCATCTTATTGCTGCCATGTGCCCACCATCATCTATCTTATTGCTGCCATGTGCTCACCATCATCTATCTTATTGCTGCCATGTGCCCACCATCATCTATCTTATTGCTGCCATGTGCTCACCATCATCTATCTTATTGCTGCCATGTGCCCACCATCATCTATCTTATTGCTGCCATGTGCCCACCATCATCTATCTTATTGCTGCCATGTGCCCACCATCATCTATCTTATTGCTGCCATGTGCTCACCATCATCTATCGTATTGCTGCCATGTGCTCACCATCATCTATCTTATTGCTGCCATGTGCCCACCATCATCTTATTGCTGCCATGTGCCCACCATCATCTATCTTATTGCTGCCATGTGCTCACCATCATCTATCTTATTGCTGCCATGTGCCCACCATCATCTATCTTATTGCTGCCATGTGCTCACCATCATCTATCTTATTGCTGCCATGTGCCCACCATCATCTATCTTATTGCTGCCATGTGCTCACCATCATCTTATTGCTGCCATGTGCCCACCATCATCTATCTTATTGCTGCCATGTGCTCACCATCATCTATCTTATTGCTGCCATGTGCTCACCATCATCTATCTTATTGCTGCCAAGGACACATGAGACCATCACAGACAGTTCTTTCCTTTTCTGGCGATCTTTGGCAACTTCCTGGCAGTTTCCTGAGACAGTTTCTTTCCAGTTGTTTCTTGGTTATGAGTCTTGATGTCTTAAAAGGTCTTCCAAGTTTCTATTTTGTTTGTTTATTTTAATTTAGCACTATTGATGGACTAGCATCTGACTTCAGTTTTAGTACATATCCCATCCATTACCATCTTAAAACAAATACTTCTGTAAGGGTTTTATTTCCATTTCTCTTAGTAGCTTTTAAGGTGGTGATAGGCCTATTTTCCCTTGGCAGATAGGGAGTTTAGAAAGAATCTAGTGATTGGATGGTAGCATTCCTTGCTTTCCAGCATTCACTGTCATAAAAAGGAAGCTTGAGACATTCCTTTTTAAAATTCTGCTGCACTAAGTCTTGAGGAGATGTTCCTTGATCTCTGTGTCTACACTAAGTCTTGAGGAGATGTTCTTTGAACTCTACACTAACTCTTGAGGAGATGTTCTTTGAACTCTACACTAAGTCTTGAGGAAACACTCCTTGCATACAATTTTATGGTCCATGTACTGACTACTTGTTATATATTTGCTGAAACTATAAGCCAGTTGTTAAGCAGTAATTTAGAACTTTATTTTAGGTTATAGCAGGTATTTAATGTACACACATTAAAGAATGATTGTAGTATAACTTATAGCAGGTATTTAATGTACACACATTAAAGAATGATTGTAGTATAACTTATAGCAGGTGTTTAATGTACACACATTAAAGAATGATTGTAGTATAACTTATAGCAGGTGTTTAATGTACACACATTAAAGAATGATTGTAGTATAACTTCTAGCAACATGTCTGTATGTGCTGAGAACAACTGTTTGAAATTGTTGAAAAACTGCATGTTCAGGCTGGCTTATTGTATTGCTGTCTTCCATTGGTTGAGGAAAATGTCTTGGATGTCGATGATGTGACAAAAACACCACTGGTCAATGTGTAAGTAAAAAGCATGAGATAAAAAGATGGGATAAAAACATGAGATAAAAATATGAGATAGAAACATGAGATAAGAAACATGAAATAAGAAACATGAGATAAAAACTTATAAAAATAATTTATTATTACATCAATGATTTAAACATGAGGTATCTGTAGTTTCACCCATGATTTAAACATGAGATTTCTGTAGTTTAATTCATGATTTAATCAAGAGATATCTGTGGTTTAATTCATGATTTAATCATGAGGTATCTGCTTTAATTCATGATTTAATCATGAGCTATCTGTGGTTTAATTCATGATTTAACCAATAGATTAGATTCAGGTTGAAAATGTGCTTTAATAAGATTACCCACGATTGATTAACTTTTGTATCCACAGCCCTGCCATAGCTGTAGGGTTTGCATTTATTGGAGCCTTGGCAGAATTTTTAAAAGTTCCAAGTCAAGAGGTATACACATACACAGTGCTGAAATATTGCAATAGCTATGACTAAATAAATACTGCACTGTTAACAATAGTTATGACATATAATATTGCACTGTTGCTATAAAGTTCCCTTTCAAACCAGATGATCTTTGGGGCAAGTGAAGTAGAGTTCACCTGTTTCTGTGACCTCAGCATATGAAGATAGTGTGGTCAGCACTATGTCCAGCCACCTTTGCACTGTTGCAGTAGTCATCACTAAAAAAATATCACACAATTAGACTAGTTAGGACTGAAAAAATGTTACACTCTTACAATAAAGTTCCTTTGGACCTAACAATCCATAGGGAAGATGAAGTAGAATTTATCTGTTGACAATAGCATATGAACTGAAAGTGTGTGGTCAGCCTAGCAGCCTTTATTTTCCCTAATGTGAATCAGGTACCCACCAGAGCTGGGTTGACTCAGGGACGTCTTGCAGAATTGAGTTCTTTATGACCCAAGTTGTAAACAGATGAACCCTTTAGTCTTTACCACCCAACCTACTGTCCCCCCGCACCATTACAAAAGTAAAAAGAAGTTACACGGTTACAACAAGTACAACTACTAGAACACTGCCCTTTTTCAAAAGTTATAACTAAGTAAATTCCTGAATATTTTTAGTAACCCATACATTTGTTTATAACAGAAACAGAAAGAATAATTTTAGGAATGGAAAAGATATTAAAATAATGAACTTGACTGAATTTTGTTATTAGTTGGCCTCTAGGCTTCAGGAGCTGCCAGTGTTTGTTAATGAAGCAGCTCCATTTGGGCAACTCAGAGACACATCAACTGAGAACATCTGTGCCAGGATTTTTAACAAACCTTATTCTGTGTCAAAATCACTCAAGGTAAGAAGATTCATGGTTTTTGGTTTTTATTATATACTATACTGGAGAAAGTCTGAGGATAGCCTGCGGCAAATCGCACCCTACCGGGGTGTTGTGGACGCGCCTGATTCAGTTTAGTGGACTATAACGCCCCATCTTATCCATAGCCTATCGCACTGTTAAAAACTAGCGAAGGCGCCATAGTGCTCATGGGATAGTCTGGGGCATCAAATTGCACCTTGCAAAGGCGCTGCCCATGTTAGATTGAAATTTCAACAACTTCCCACATTTTTATGGCTTTTTAATGAAAGGTGTAGTAATGCATAAAAAACAAGTAAAATCTGTCGGAATATATTAGGAGGGTTTAATCAATACTTTACCAATCCTATATTTTTAGATGCATGACCTTGTTTCCTAAAACTGAGTCATTTAAATGTAAACAATGCCTGCGCTATATTTCTTGGGTCATATTTGTCAGTGCACGGGTTAACCTACACTACCTTGTAGGAAAGCCTTAAGTGTACGTTAATCACTCATTACAATATCGCCGTTAATCACTCATTGTCTAAGTGTCAAAGAGGTAGAGGGATGCTCTCGTGAACCCCCAGATTACACTGGCTTGGTTTAATCATCAAATGTGTTGTGCCGCCTGTCAATATTGTAGTGCGCTCGTTAAAACTAACGCAGGCGCCATAGGACTCACAGTGAACGACTTTTAATTCCCATCTTATGCAGTCTATTGAACTGTTTAAAACAAACTTAGGCGCTATAGAGCTAATGGGATAGCATGGGGCACCTTATTGCACCCTGTCCAGGCTCAGGGGAACGCTCAATTTAGTGAGTGAATATAATGCCCCATCTTATACATAAGATTGCACAATTTAGAACAAATGTAGGTTCCACTGTGCTCACGAGAAAGCCCAGGGCACCAAATCAAACCCTGCATAGGCGCGGGGTACGCGCATGATTTGATATAGTCAATGATTATTGTTGCCCATCATGTCTTTAGTGTATAGCCTTTTTTAAAAATGAACATAGGTGCCATAGTGCTCACAGGGATGCCTGAGGTACTTCGTCTCACGCAAAAGGTACGCAAAGATGGGTTATTAGAGTTGTTCACTTAACATAATCAAGCGCGTTCCCCGGCGCCCCGTTAGGGTGCAATTTAGCACTCTGGGCTATTCCTTGAGCACTATGGCGCCTTCGTTTGTTTTAAAAGTGCGATAAACTGTGTATAAGATGTGTTATTATAGTCCTTCAGTAAATAATATCAAACGTCCACCGGCGCCCCTGGCTATCCTGTGAGAACTTTTGCGCCTACGTTAGTATTAAAGAGCACCCTACAATTTCGACATTGTGTAACGTTAACCTATCTATCAGCTAAATAGAAGGAGAACGTCCCCGGATTCTTTTTTCGGGGTCATATGCAAATGCCTTACGGCCTAAGTGGATGAACACTTAACACAACGACCCACTAGGGCTCGAATTTAATGTCTAGGGGAGCTAGTGATACTGTTGTAATTAACACTCATCCAATCTACATACGACCTTTTAATCAGCGAACTCAGTTGTGGCAGAACACAAAGATGAACTAGATAAAATATTTAATGTATAAAATATCAAAACACAACTTACAAAATGTAGGAAAAATCACTATCACAGATTTCTACACTGTCAAAAGAACAGTCACAGGCCACACAACACTGCTGTAGCTTCAGGAATTACTTAGCGACAAGTAATATTAAACTAGAAGACTAAATCAACTTAAGAAAGCAAGGCACACACAGGTCTTAAGTACTCTCACGTTCAAATGGTCAGAGTCTATAGCCGGACAATATGGACGGCTGCCTGACCAAGGTAAAACGGCCTCGTAGACTGCCAGGTCAAGATAAACTGCCTCGTGTTGCGAGTGTGCAGTGCAATTAAAGACTTCTGTGACAGGGGAGGTTATCCTCAACTCATGTCGCCATTGGTTGGGATAATCATCTGATCAGGATCATTCAATCAGATTTTAATGGAAAATTTCTATGTCTCAAACACCTTAATAAGTCAGTGGAAAAACCCCAGGTGTTACACCATCATTCCATATAAGGAATTATACAATGTCAAAATAAAAATGACTCGACCTAAGTAGGTCACATCCCCTCCCTTTTTGGAAGTGACAGATAGGTTCCACAAAAACATACATAAGGAACCAATCTGGCAATGAAATAACAAAAATGTTTTACAAATGTAGGCAATCAAAATCATAATACCAGATGAAAATATCCCTGAACATAAAAGGGAAGTAACTCCAACTTTTACAATTGGTGAAAGGGGAGTAACCCTTCAAAGGGTAATTATACATCAAAATCCCTCAAAAAGGGGAATTACAATTTTTCCATGAGAATATTAAAAGTGGTAAACCCGCCAGGGTAAGACCTTTATTTCTATGACTAGCTACAATATCAACTCAGTCATATGAGACATATTATTATAAAAGATTACATATAATCAAAAACTACCTTTAATTAAGGTTCACCTGAAAATAAACAAAATATTCAACAGGATTGGAATTTTGAAAAAAATTCAAAACTCACACCACTCATTTTCATATGAGTGACACTCAAACAAAACCTGTTTATGGTCCCAATGAACCACAAAGCATGTCACATGATCAATGTGTGTAACAAGATTTTACATCCTTGACAAACAATCAGCCACAACATTATCACTACCCTTAATGTGTGAAATTTCCAGATTAAAATTTTGGAAATATAAGCACCATCTCAATATTCTTTGATTTGTCTGTCCTAACTTAGAGGTAAATTTCAGGGGATCATGGTCAGAAAACACTCTGACTGGATTGGTTGAAGAAGAGACATAGACTTCAAAATGTTGTAATGATAAAACCAAAGCTAAAGCTTCTTTTTCAATAGTAGAATAATTCTTTTGGTTCTCATTTAACTTCCTGGAAAAAAAGGCAATGGGATGGTCAATTCCCATGTTGTCTTCTTGAAATAGGACTGAGCCAATGGCTAAGTTGCTAGCATCAATGGCAAGTTTAAAGGGCTTGCTGAAATTTGGTGCAGCCATAACAGGAGCATTAGATAGAAATGACTTAATGGTTAAAAAAGCTTCTTGACATTTATCTGACCATTCAAACTCAACACCCTTTTTCAATAATGCAGTAAGAGGTTCAGCAATAGCTGAAAAGTTTTGACAGAACCGTCTATAGTAACCAGCCATCCCAAGGAACTTTTTGATCTCTTTACAATTTTTGGGAGGTGGTAACCTTACAATAGCATCTACTTTAGCTTCAATGGGCCGAACTTGGTTCGTTCCCACTTGATAACCCAAATAGGTAATTGAAGCTTTACAGAAATCACTTTTATGTAAGTTTACAGTAAAATTAACTTCAGACAATTTTCTAAAAAGGTTAGTCAATTGAACAATATGTTCTTCAAAAGTATTAGAAAATACAACTATATCATCTATGTAGGCCTCACATTGGTCTATGTCAGCAATGACAGAGTTAATGACCCTCTGGAAAGTTTGACCAGCATTTCGCATACCAAAAGGCATACGTTTGTATCTATAAAAACCATTAGGGGTTACAAAAGCAGATATTTCTTTTGCACGGTCAGATAAGGGGATTTGCCAGTATCCTGAAAGTAAATCAATTTTGGAAATTATCTTAGCCTGATCTTGATAAAGTTGGTCAAGCTAAGATCCCCAAAAATAGAGGGAAATGTCTCAAATAGCTGAGACAATTTATGGCTTTCCTCTGTGGACAAATGCATAAGGTGGACATTCAAATTATCTAAAAAGGAAGAATTTACCAATTTTGGGGGTTTCAATTTATCATGTATCACATCATCAGAAACATTTGAACATACAGGTAAAGTAATTTTAGCTGTGGAATGAAAATTGTTACAATTATCATAATACTTTTTCAGTGAATTAACATGATACACTGTCTGTTTCTTTCTTCTGTCGGGCGTATTGACAACATAGTTCAAATCACTTAATTTTGAATGTACAGTAAAGGGTCCACAATATCTCAAGGATAACGCATTGTTCAGATTAGGCACTAGCACAAGAACTTTGTCGCCTGGATTGAATGTTCGTTTACAAGAACTCTTATCATACAGTTCTTTCATTCTCACTTGGGCCTTTCTTAAGTTCTTGTGAGCCATTTCGCACACGGCTTTCAGTCGAACGTGAAAATCGTCAAAGTTTTCCACAGGATGATCGCTGGTACCTGTCCACCGTTCGTGTATCAGCTTCAGGGGACCACGGACAGAATGTCCAAACACAAGTTGAAAAGGAGAGTAACCTAAAGAGTCCTGGACACAGTCCCTCGCGGCGAAAATAATCCAAGGAACAGACTCATCCCATTGGGTGTTACTGTTAGCGAACGTTCTTAGCATGGTTTTGAGGGTTTGGTGGAACCTCTCAAGTACGCCTTGAGACTGGGGGTGGTAGGCTGAGCTGGTGATGTGGGTAACGCCTAGCTTGGCTAGCGCTTCCTGAAAATGGTGACTGGTGAAGTTGCTGCCTTGATCTGTTTGCACGATTCTAGGTAATCCAAAGGTAGTGAAGAACCGGGTCATGGCTCTGACTACAGTCTTAGCCTTAATGTTCCGTAAGGGAATCGCCTCGGGAAAACGGGTACTTGAACACATAAAGGTAAGTAGGTACTCGTTGCCCGCCTTGGTTTTAGGCAAGGGACCTACACAGTCCATGACAATTTTTGAAAAGGGTTCTTCTAATACAGGAATCTGACTCAAAGGGGCCTTAGGAATTGTCTGGTTTGGCTTTCCGGCCAACTGACAGTTCGTGCAACTTCTACAGTAACGCGACACATCTTTTCTCATTTTGGGCCAAAAGAACAGTTCTTTGATCTTCGCCGTCGTTTTAGTTACTCCTGGGTGCGCTGACATTGGATGGTCATGTGCCAGCTTAAGTATTTCATGCCGATAAGGTGGAGGGACCCACAGCTGGTTTTTACCCAACCATGGTTCGGCTGGTGAGGCATTCACTGGTATAGCGCGACGAAAGAAGAGGCCGTTCTCGGAGAAATATTCTCCATCGTCAGATGATAGAGATTTTTCGACCGTTGCTTTGAGTTCCGCGTCGACTTGTTGAGCTTTAATGATGTCTTCCTGAGATATCCTCAGGGGTAAGCCCAAGCTTGTGTTTTCTGGAAGCATAGACTCCAGTTTGGGAGTCGAATTTCTTGACGATGATGGCGGGTGTGGTTCAGACGTTGTGTCAGCCAACTGTTTGGTCTGGCTTCTTGTCACCGCACATGCAGGATACAGTTCATTATCATTATCTGGAACTGTTGACAAAGGGTTTGAAACCGTACAGGGGTATACTTTGCTTCCCGCAAGGTCATTCCCTAGAAGTAGGTGTACTCCTGGGACAGGAATACTATCTATCACACCTAAAATGACCTCACCTTCGACGAGATGATGTTTCAGAGCAAACTTGTGTAAAGGGACGACAGTTGATTTTGTCCCCACTCCCTGGATAATGGAAATCCTTCCGGTGTTCGTCTCTGGTGAAATGTCCATTGAACTTTTCAAAAGGAGAGATTGTGACGCTCCTGTGTCTCTTAGAACGGTGATATTCTTCTGAGACAACGGATCACCTGGTTTGCTAATGATGGCTTCGGCAATAAAAGATGAAAAGTCAACTTTTCTCGATCTCTCGAGATCGGTAGACTCGGAAGAAACTGGATGGTGGCGAGAACAGTCAAAATGTGACTGCACATAATGTGTGGAGACTTGACTACCTTCTTGCGGACACTTAGGGTTAGAGTCCTTTTGAATTCTAGAGTTCATAGTTGAACTGGCTGCTTGAGGGGATAGAGCATAGTGCGCGGAAGTACGCACCACCTCTCTGTTATTCTGAAGACGTTTGTAACAGTCCTTGACAAGATGCCCAGACCTTTTGCAGAACTGGCATACTGCTCGACGATTGAGAGTTGATCTTGGTTTCTCTCTGGACTGTGCTGCCTTCAAATGTTGGCCAACAGGATGATTGCTGCCAAAAAGGGGAAGCACGGGGTTGAGGCGGTTTCCTGACACTGGTGGTTTCTTATGCACCAACATATATGTGTCAGCCGACTCAGCAGCCTTCTGGATGTCAGTTATCTTGTTATCCAGTATGTGTAGTCGTATCTCTTCAGGCAGGGACGATAGGAATTCTTCCCTTAGGATAAGAGACCTGAGTTTCTCAAACTCAGAAACTTCCTCAGAGTGTAGCCACCTTGAGAATATTTTCTCCTTTTCAAAGAGAAATTCCACATATGATTGTGTGGGTAACTTGCGGAGTGTTCGGAATTTTGTCCGATAGGCCTCGGGCGTCAGTGCGTAGGCCTTCAAAATGGCAGTCTTGACCAAACTATAGTTATTTTGAACGTCGTGAGAGAGTGCCTGGTATGTTTTTGCAGCTTTCCCAGTAAGGACAGAGCTCAATAAAGCAGTAATGGAAGTTTCGGGCCATTCACATGTCTTCACTAAACTCTCGAACGAGTTAAAGAAAACGACCAAATCTGTTTCATCAAATTTAGGAACTAATTTCCCAAATTTGGCAATCACTTGCCCTACCGACAACTTTTTTGGATCTACCAGAGAAGTGACATCACTAACTTGACCAAACTCTAATTCCAACCTCCTCTTATCTAAAGCAATTTTAGCCTCTATCTCCTGTTTCTCTAAAGCAACTTTCTCCTTCTCTAGAGCAATTTTCTCCTTCTCTAAAGCAATTCTAGCTTCTAATTCTACCTTCTCTAGAGTTTTCTCCTCGCGGAGCAACACACCAGCCAACAAACTTTCATCAAATACTCCTTCATTAATGAAATGAACAACAATTTTATCTCTCAACACCTCTGACTTCTGCGTAACAGAATAATCCAATTTCAATTCCTTAACAACACTAACCAAAACTTTTCTACTCAACTTTTCTACATCTTCAACAGTAGGATTAGCCAAAAAAGACTCCATAACTCTAACTTGAAAATCACAACAAGCCTAGATTCTTTAAATTAATACACAGCGTTGGGCCGTGTACTTGACCTCTAAATGTAGGACGTGACACGTCTGCTAATTTGACCTAGATACTCTAGCCTGAGCGCGCGTTGTAAGAACACTGCGCTACTGGATATAAAAACAACTAAATCCAACTAACCTTAATATTCAACTGATATAACCAACAACTGGGACGACAGATTAAATCTCGGCGAGCTCCCACTTTGTAACGTTAACCTATCTATCAGCTAAATAGAAGGAGAACGTCCCCGGATTCTTTTTTCGGGGTCATATGCAAATGCCTTACGGCCTAAGTGGATGAACACTTAACACAACGACCCACTAGGGCTCGAATTTAATGTCTAGGGGAGCTAGTGATACTGTTGTAATTAACACTCATCCAATCTACATACGACCTTTTAATCAGCGAACTCAGTTGTGGCAGAACACAAAGATGAACTAGATAAAATATTTAATGTATAAAATATCAAAACACAACTTACAAAATGTAGGAAAAATCACTATCACAGATTTCTACACTGTCAAAAGAACAGTCACAGGCCACACAACACTGCTGTAGCTTCAGGAATTACTTAGCGACAAGTAATATTAAACTAGAAGACTAAATCAACTTAAGAAAGCAAGGCACACACAGGTCTTAAGTACTCTCACGTTCAAATGGTCAGAGTCTATAGCCGGACAATATGGACGGCTGCCTGACCAAGGTAAAACGGCCTCGTAGACTGCCAGGTCAAGATAAACTGCCTCGTGTTGCGAGTGTGCAGTGCAATTAAAGACTTCTGTGACAGGGGAGGTTATCCTCAACTCATGTCGCCATTGGTTGGGATAATCATCTGATCAGGATCATTCAATCAGATTTTAATGGAAAATTTCTATGTCTCAAACACCTTAATAAGTCAGTGGAAAAACCCCAGGTGTTACACCATCATTCCATATAAGGAATTATACAATGTCAAAATAAAAATGACTCGACCTAAGTAGGTCACAATTGTAATTACACATAAATTATATGCACATGAACTTTATAAAAGCACACATACATAAACTTTACAATAGCACACATACATAAACTTTACAATAGCACACATATATAAACTTTACAATAGTGCACATACATATACTTTACAATAGTGCACATACATATACTCTACAATAGTGCACATACATATACTTTACAATAGTGCACATACATATACTTTACAATAGTGCACATACATATACTTTACAATAGTGCACATACATATACTTTACAATAGTGCACATACATATACTTTACCATAGTACACATACATATACTTTACCATAGTGCACATACATATACTTTACCATAGTGCACATACATATACTTTACAATAGTACACATAGCACTTGACATGACAAGAAATCCCTGCCTGTTCCAGCTGCCTGCGTGGAGATCGTCAAGTTACAAAGGCAAACCAAGTCTACAGCTGTCTATACATGAGCACATCAATGCCTCACAGGTCAGTTTGTGGTGGTCAGTTTGTGGTGGTCAGTTTGTGGTGGTCAGTTTGTGGTGGTCAGTTTGTGGTGGTCAGTTTGTGGTGGTCAGTTTGTGGTGGTCAGTTTGTGGTGGTCAGTTTGTGGTGGTCAGTTTGTAGTGGTCAGTTTGTGGTGGTCAAACCTAAAGCTTGAAACATAGCTAAAGAATATCATTCAAATAATGGCTAGTATTTTAAAAAATAACTATGCTGCTTTTAAATGTAATTAGCACAATAAAAAAATTGCTTGAGTTGAAGGGGAGTAAAAATTAAATTCCTGTTTTGACCTGAAGTGTGCCCAAGAAATCTGGCATGACCACTCTCAAGTGTTTGGCTCTGTGGTGTGTAGGGCAGAGTTTGAAGGACCTGGAGCAGACATTACCCTAAATCTGTCCCAACAAGGTGACGGCTTCAACGTCCCATTGGACATGCTGCTGGTCCATCCTTGTGTCCAGAGGTCTGACTGGCAGGATTTAGGTGAGTCTGTGGTCACTTGCTGTTTTCTCTAAACATGAGTCTGTGGTCACTTGCTGTTTTCTCTACACATGGGTCTGTGGTCACTTGCTGTTTTCTCTAAACATGAGTCTGTGGTCACTTGCTGTTTTCTCTACACATGGGTCTGTGGTCACTTGCTGTTTTCTCTACACATGTGTTTCTGGTCACTTGCTGTTTTCTCTAAACATGAGTCTGTGGTCACTTGCTGTTTTCTCTACACATGGGTCTGTGGTCACTTGCTGTTTTCTCTACACATGGGTCTGTGGTCACTTGCTGTTTTCTCTACACTAAACATGAGTCTGTGGTCACTTGCTGTTTTCTCTACACATGGGTCTGTGGTCACTTGCTGTTTTCTCTACACATGGGTCTGTGGTCACTTGCTGTTTTCTCTACACTAAACATGAGTCTGTGGTCACTTGCTGTTTTCTCTACACATGGGTCTGTGGTCACTTGCTGTTTTCTCTACACATGAGTCTGTGGTCACTTGCTGTTTTCTCTACACTAAACATGAGTCTGTGGTCACTTGCTGTTTTCTCTACACATGGGTCTGTGGTCACTTGCTGTTTTCTCTACACATGGGTCTGTGGTCACTTGCTGTTTTCTCTACACATGGGTCTGTGGTCACTTGCTGTTTTCTCTACACATGGGTCTGTGGTCACTTGCTGTTTTCTCTACACATGAGTCTGTGGTCACTTGCTGTTTTCTCTACACTAAACATGAGTCTGTGGTCACTTGCTGTTTTCTCTACACATGGGTCTGTGGTCACTTGCTGTTTTCTCTACACATGGGTCTGTGGTCACTTGCTGTTTTCTCTACACATGGGTCTGTGGTCACTTGCTGTTTTCTCTACACATGGGTCTGTGGTCACTTGCTGTTTTCTCTACACATGGGTCTGTGGTCACTTGCTGTTTTCTCTACACTAAACATGGGTGTGTGGTCACTTGCTGTTTTCTCTACACATGGGTCTGTGGTCACTTGCTGTTTTCTCTACACATGGGTCTGTGGTCACTTGCTGTTTTCTCTACACATGGGTCTGTGGTCACTTGCTGTTTTCTCTACACTAAACATGGGTGTGTGGTCACTTGCTGTTTTCTCTACACATGGGTCTGTGGTCACTTGCTGTTTTCTCTACACTAAACATGAGTCTGTGGTCACTTGCTGTTTTCTCTACACATGGGTCTGTGGTCACTTGCTGTTTTCTCTACACTAAACATGGGTGTGTGGTCACTTGCTGTTTTCTCTACACATGAGTCTGTGGTCACTTGCTGTTTTCTCTACACATGGGTCTGTGGTCACTTGCTGTTTTCTCTACACTAAACATGAGTCTGTGGTCACTTGCTGTTTTCTCTACACTAAACATGGGTGTGTGGTCACTTGCTGTTTTCTCTACACATGGGTCTGTGGTCACTTGCTGTTTTCTCTACACATGGGTCTGTGGTCACTTGCTGTTTTCTCTACACATGGGTCTGTGGTCACTTGCTGTTTTCTCTACACTAAACATGGGTCTGTGGTCACTTGCTGTTTTCTCTACACATGGGTCTGTGGTCACTTGCTGTTTTCTCTACACATGAGTCTGTGGTCACTTGCTGTTTTCTCTACACATGGGTCTGTGGTCACTTGCTGTTTTCTCTACACATGGGTCTGTGGTCACTTGCTGTTTTCTCTACACATGGGTCTGTGGTCACTTGCTGTTTTCTCTACACATGGGTCTGTGGTCACTTGCTGTTTTCTCTACACTAAACATGGGTCTGTGGTCACTTGCTGTTTTCTCTACACATGGGTCTGTGGTCACTTGCTGTTTTCTCTACACTAAACATGAGTCTGTGGTCACTTGCTGTTTTCTCTACACATGGGTCTGTGGTCACTTGCTGTTTTCTCTACACATGGGTCTGTGGTCACTTGCTGTTTTCTCTAAACATGAGTCTGTGGTCACTTGCTGTTTTCTCTACACATGGGTCTGTGGTCACTTGCTGTTTTCTCTACACATGGGTCTGTGGTCACTTGCTGTTTTCTCTACACATGGGTCTGTGGTCACTTGCTGTTTTCTCTACACATGGGTCTGTGGTCACTTGCTGTTTTCTCTACACTAAACATGAGTCTGTGGTCACTTGCTGTTTTCTCTACACATGGGTCTGTGGTCACTTGCTGTTTTCTCTACACTAAACATGGGTCTGTGGTCACTACCTGCTCAAGTAACCAAAAGTGTTGAAGGGAACATGCTTCAAACAACTCATTGTTCTGTAGGGGCTCTGATGTTAAGATAGTTATAATAGATATACATTTGGACTGTTTTTATTTCATAACAGATGTAATCAACGTTCTTTTAATTTTGTTGATGCACAAAACAAAAAATGTTTCAGAAGAATCCAACTCTGACCCGCGCACCACGCCTAGAAGGATCAAATTTTCCCCTCCAGTGGAGCAGTTTACTCTCTGTCACTACACAGTCAGGAGACTGGTGGAGCTGCCTGTCTTTGGGGTCTACCATTTGAAGGTCAGCTCTGGTGGCTGCATGCTGGCAGTCTCTGTCCTGTGTCCTATATGTTGACAGTGATTGTCCTGTGTCCTATATGTTGACAGTGTTTGTCCTGTGTCCTGCATGCTGGCAGTGTTTGTCCTGTGTCCTATATGTTGACTGTTTGTCCTGTGTCTTCTATGTTGACTGTATTTGTCCTGTGTCCTCTATGTTAAAATATGTTTGTCCTCTTTCTTCTATGTTGACTGTATTTGTCCAGTGTCCTGTATGTTGACTGTGTTTGTCCTGTGTCCTGTATGTTAAATGTGTTTGTCCTGTGTCCTGTATGTTAAATGTGTTTGTCCTGTGTCCTGTATGTTAAATGTGTTTGTCCTGTGTCCTGTATGTTAAATGTGTTTTTTTCCTGTGTCCTATATGTTGACAGTGTATGTCCAGTAAGTGGACAGCCCAAAACTTTCAACTTTCAGCAAGAGGAGACTAAAGCTTCTCTAACTGTACAGCTCAAATTGAACGACCAGATCAAAAATAATTTTGAGTTTTGTGAACTTAGAATTCCTTTTTACACAAGGTAAGAACATTGATTTGTTACATGAACAATTCACAGTTGTCACAATTCTTCCACCTCTCGCCCACTGTCACATTTCTTTAACCCCTTACCCACTGTCACATTTCTTTAACCCTTTACCCACTGTCACATTTCTTTAACCCTTTACCCACTGTCACATTTCTTTAACCCTTTACCCACTGTCACATTTCTTTAACCCTTTACCCACTGTCACATTTCTTGAACTCTTTACCCAGTCACATTTCTTGAACCCTTTACCCACTGTCACATTTCTTGAACCCTTTACCCACTGTCACATTTCTTGAACCCTTTACCCACTGTCACATTTCTTGAACCCTTTACCCACTGTCACATTTCTTGAACCCTTTACCCACTGTCACATTTCTTGAACCCTTTTCCCACTGTCACATTTCTTGAACCCTTTACCCACTGTCACATTTCTTGAACCCTTTACCCACTGTCACATTTCTTGAACCCTTTACCCACTGTCACATTTCTTGAACCCTTTACACACTAAGCAAAGCACCGCTATTCTAAAACATCCCCCCCCCTGCTATGTTTATAACAGCAAAAGTGTTTATCAGATGTCAGTTTAGGTAAAATGTCAGATGTGTTTAGATCAAATGTCAGATGTGTTTAGATCAAATGTCAGATGTGTTTAGGTCAAATGTCAGATGTGTTTAGATCAAATGTCACATGTGTTTAGGTCAAATGTCAGATGTGTTTAGATCGAATGTCAGATGTGTTTAGATCAAATGTCAGATGTGTTTAGATCGAATGTCAGATGTGTTTAGGTCAAATGTCAGATGTGTTTAGATCGAATGTCAGATGTGTTTAGGTCAAATGTCAGATGTGTTTAGATCAAATGTCACATGTGTTTAGGTCAAATGTCAAATGTGTTTAGGTCAAATGTCAGATGTGTTTAGGTCAAATGTCAGATGTGTTTAGGTCAAATGTCAGATGTGTTTATCTAGAGTATGTTAACTGCTGATACATTTCAGGTCGACCATTCAAAGTCTGGAGGCCACGCCCACCCAAGGTGCTGTCACAGTTTCTTCCAACAAGAGGGAGGTTGTGTGGAACATAGGCAAGTATTCCCCTTGTAGGTCTGGCTGTAGGCAAGTATTCCCATTGTAGGTCTGGCTGTAGGCAAGTTTTCCCCTTGTAGGTCTGGCTGTAGGCAAGTATTCCCATTGTAGGTCTGGCTGTAGGCAAGTTTTCCCCTTGTAGGTCTGGCTGTAGGCAAGTTTTCCCCTTGTAGGTCTGGCTGTAGGCAAGTTTTCCTCTTCTAGGTCTGGCTGTAGGCAAGTTTTCCCCTTGTAGGTCTGGCTGTAGGCAAGTTTTCCCCTTGTAGGTCTGGCTGTAAGCAAGTTGTCCTCCTGTCAACCCAATTGTTTACCCACCACAGGCCAGAAGTTTACCAGCAAAGACCAGCAGGCTCTACTGGCAGCAACTGTGGCATTCAGTGGGCCGGACCAGGGACTTCCTGCTCCAACGGTCGAAGATGCCTTTTGTAGGGGCCACAACTCTTATGCCCAGGTTGGTACATGTAGGGACCACAACTCTTATGCCCAGGTTGGTACATGTAGGGGTCACAACTCTTATGCCCACATGTAGGGACCACAACTCTTATGCCCAGGTTGGTACATGTAGGGACCACAACTCTTATGCCCAGGTTGGTACATGTAGGGACCACAACTCTTATGCCCAGGTTGGTACATGTAGGGACCACAACTCTTATGCCCAGGTTGGTACATGTAGGGGCCACAACTCTTATGCCCAGGTTGGTACATGTAGGGGCCACAACTCTTATGCCCAGGTTGGTACATGTAGGGACCACAACTCTTATGCCCAGGTTGGTACATGTAGGGACCACAACTCTTATGCCCAGGTTGGTACATGTAGGGGCCACAACTCTTATGCCCAGGTTGGTACATGTAGGGACCACAACTCTTATGCCCAGGTTGGTACATGTAGGGGCCACAACTCTTATGCCCAGGTTGGTACATGTAGGGGCCACAACTCTTATGCCCAGGTTGGTACATGTAGGGGCCACAACTCTTATGCCCAGGTTGGTACATGTAGGGGCCACAACTCTTATGCCCAGGTTAGTACATGTAGGGACCACAACTCTTATGCCCAGGTTGGTACATGTAGGGACCACAACTCTTATGCCCAGGTTGGTACATGTAGGGGCCACAACTCTTATGCCCAGGTTGGTACATGTAGGGGCCACAACTCTTATGCCCACATGTAGGGACCACAACTCTTATGCCCACATGTAGGGACCACAACTCTTATGCCCAGGTTGGTACATGTAGGGACCACAACTCTTATGCCCAGGTTGGTACATGTAGGGACCACAACTCTTATGCCCAGGTTGGTACATGTAGGGGCCACAACTCTTATGCCCAGGTTAGTACATGTAGGGACCACAACTCTTATGCCCAGGTTGGTACATGTAGGGACCACAACTCTTATGCCCAGGTTGGTACATGTAGGGGCCACAACTCTTATGCCCAGGTTGGTACATGTAGGGGCCACAACTCTTATGCCCACATGTAGGGACCACAACTCTTATGCCCACATGTAGGGACCACAACTCTTATGCCCAGGTTGGTACATGTAGGGACCACAACTCTTATGCCCAGGTTGGTACATGTAGGGACCACAACTCTTATGCCCAGGTTGGTACATGTAGGGGCCACAACTCTTATGCCCAGGTTGGTACATGTAGGGACCACAACTCTTATGCCCAGGTTGGTACATGTAGGGGCCACAACTCTTATGCCCACATGTAGGGGCCACAACTCTTATGCCCAGGTTGGTACATGTAGGGACCACAACTCTTATGCCCAGGTTGGTACATGTGGGGGCCACAACTCTTATGCCCAGGTTGGTACATGTAGGGGCCGCAACTCTTATGCCCACATGTAGGGACCACAACTCTTATGCCCACATGTAGGGGCCACAACTCTTATGCCCAGGTTGGTACATGTAGGGACCACAACTCTTATGCCCAGGTTGGTACATGTGGGGGCCACAACTCTTATGCCCAGGTTGGTACATGTAGGGGCCGCAACTCTTATGCCCACATGTAGGGACCACAACTCTTATGCCCACATGTAGGGGCCACAACTCTTATGCCCAGGTTGGTACATGTAGGGACCACAACTCTTATGCCCAGGTTGGTACATGTGGGGGCCACAACTCTTATGCCCAGGTTGGTACATGTAGGGACCACAACTCTTATGCCCAGGTTGGTACATGTAGGGGTCACAACTCTTATGCCCACATGTAGGGGCCACAACTCTTATGCCCACATGTAGGGGCCACAACTCTTATGCCCACATGTAGGGACCACAACTCTTATGCCCAGGTTGGTACATGTGGGGGCCACAACTCTTATGCCCACATGTAGGGGCCACAACTCTTATGCCCACATGTAGGGGCCACAACTCTTATGCCCACATGTAGGGGCCACAACTCTTATGCCCAGGTTGGTACATGTAGGGGCCACAACTCTTATGCCCACATGTAGGGACCACAACTCTTATGCCCAGGTTGGTACATGTGGGGGCCACAACTCTTATGCCCAGGTTGGTACATGTAGGGGCCACAACTCTTATGCCCAGGTTGGTACATGTAGGGGCCACAACTCTTATGCCCAGGTTGGTACATGTAGGGGTCACAACTCTTATGCCCAGGTTGGTACATGTAGGGGCCACAACTCTTATGCCCACATGTAGGGACCACAACTCTTATGCCCAGGTTGGTACATGTAGGGACCACAACTCTTATGCCCAGGTTGGTACATGTAGGGACCACAACTCTTATGCCCACATGTAGGGACCACAACTCTTATGCCCAGGTTGGTACATGTAGGGACCACAACTCTTATGCCCAGGTTGGTACATGTAGGGGTCACAACTCTTATGCCCAGGTTGGTACATGTAGGGGCCACAACTCTTATGCCCACATGTAGGGACCACAACTCTTATGCCCACATGTAGGGACCACAACTCTTATGCCCAGGTTGGTACATGTAGGGGCCACAACTCTTATGCCCACATGTAGGGACAACAACTCTTATGCCCACATGTAGTGACCACAACTCTTATGCCCAGGTTGGTACATGTAGTGGCCACAACTCTTATGCCCAGGTTGGTACATGTAGGGGCCACAACTCTTATGCCCACATGTAGGGGTCACAACTTTTATGCCCAGGTTGGTACATGTAGGGGCCACAACTCTTATGCCCACATGTAGGGACCACAACTCTTATGCCCACATGTAGGGACCACAACTCTTATGCCCACATGTAGGGGCCACAACTCTTATGCCCACATGTAGGGACCACAACTCTTATGCCCACATGTAGGGACCACAACTCTTATGCCCAGGTTGGTACATGTAGGGACCACAACTCTTATGCCCAGGTTGGTACATGAAGGGACCACAACTCTTATGCCCAGGTTGGTACATGTAGGGGCCACAACTCTTATGCCCACATGTAGGGACCACAACTCTTATGCCCAGGTTGGTACATGTAGGGACCACAACTCTTATGCCCAAATGTAGGGACCACAACTCTTATGCCCACATGTAGGGACCACAACTCTTATGCCCAGGTTGGTACATGTAGGGACCACAACTCTTATGCCCAGGTTGGTACATGTAGGGACCACAACTCTTATGCCCACATGTAGGGACCACAACTCTTATGCCCAGGTTGGTACATGTAGGGACCACAACTGTTATGCCCATGTTGGTACATATAGGGGCCACAACTCTTATGCCCAGGTTGGTACATGTAGGGGCCACAACTCTTATGCCCAGGTTGGTACATGTAGGGACCACAACTCTTATGCCCAGGTTGGTACATGTAGGGCCACAACTCTTATGCCCAGGTTGGTACATGTAGGGACCACAACTCTTATGCCCAGGTTGGTACATGTAGGGACCACAACTCTTATGCCCAGGTTGGTACATGTAAGGACCACAACTCTTATGCCCACATGTAGGGACCACAACTCTTATGCCCAGGTTGGTACATGTAGGGACCACAACTCTTATGCCCAGGTTGGTACATGTAGGGACCACAACTCTTATGCCCACATGTAGGGACCACAACTCTTATGCCCAGGTTGGTACATGTAGGGACCACAACTCTTATGCCCAGGTTGGTACATGTAGGGGCCACAACTCTTATGCCCAGGTTGGTACATGTAGGGGCCACAACTCTTATGCCCAGGTTGGTACATGTAGGGACCACAACTCTTATGCCCAGGTTGGTACATGTAGGGACCACAACTCTTATGCCCAGGTTGGTACATGTAGGGACCACAACTCTTATGCCCAGGTTGGTCCATGTAGGGACCACAACTCTTATGCCCAGGTTGGTACATGTAGGGACCACAACTCTTATGCCCAGGTTGGTACATGTAGGGACCACAACTCTTATGCCCAGGTTGGTACATGTAGGGACCACAACTCTTATGCCCAGGTTGGTACATGTAGGGACCACAACTCTTATGCCCAGGTTGGTACATGTAGGGGCCACAACTCTTATGCCCACATGTAGGGGCCACAACTCTTATGCCCACATGTAGGGACCACAACTCTTATGCCCAGGTTGGTACATGTAGGGACCACAACTCTTATGCCCAGGTTGGTACATGTAAGGACCACAACTCTTATGCCCAGGTTGGTACATGTAGGGGTCACAACTCTTATGCCCACATGTAGGGGCCACAACTCTTATGCCCACATGTAGGGGCCACAACTCTTATGCCCACATGTAGGGACCACAACTCTTATGCCCAGGTTGGTACATGTGGGGGCCACAACTCTTATGCCCACATGTAGGGGCCACAACTCTTATGCCCTCATGTAGGGGCCACAACTCTTATGCCCACATGTAGGGGCCACAACTCTTATGCCCAGGTTGGTACATGTAGGGGCCACAACTCTAATGCCCACATGTAGGGACCACAACTCTTATGCCCAGGTTGGTACATGTGGGGGCCACAACTCTTATGCCCAGGTTGGTACATGTAGGGGCCACAACTCTTATGCCCAGGTTGGTACATGTAGGGACCACAACTCTTATGCCCAGGTTGGTACATGTAGGGACCACAACTCTTATGCCCAGGTTGGTACATGTAAGGACCACAACTCTTATGCCCACATGTAGGGACCACAACTCTTATGCCCAGGTTGGTACATGTAGGGGCCACAACTCTTATGCCCAGGTTGGTACATGTAGGGGTCACAACTCTTATGCCCAGGTTGGTACATGTAGGGGCCACAACTCTTATGCCCACATGTAGGGACCACAACTCTTATGCCCAGGTTGGTACATGTAGGGACCACAACTCTTATGCCCAGGTTGGTACATGTAGGGACCACAACTCTTATGCCCACATGTAGGGACCACAACTCTTATGCCCAGGTTGGTACATGTAGGGACCACAACTCTTATGCCCAGGTTGGTACATGTAGGGGTCACAACTCTTATGCCCAGGTTGGTACATGTAGGGGCCACAACTCTTATGCCCACATGTAGGGACCACAACTCTTATGCCCACATGTAGGGACCACAACTCTTATGCCCAGGTTGGTACATGTAGGGGCCACAACTCTTATGCCCACATGTAGGGACAACAACTCTTATGCCCACATGTAGTGACCACAACTCTTATGCCCAGGTTGGTACATGTAGTGGCCACAACTCTTATGCCCACATGTAGGGGTCACAACTTTTATGCCCAGGTTGGTACATGTAGGGGCCACAACTCTTATGCCCACATGTAGGGGTCACAACTTTTATGCCCAGGTTGGTACATGTAGGGGCCACAACTCTTATGCCCACATGTAGGGACCACAACTCTTATGCCCACATGTAGGGACCACAACTCTTATGCCCACATGTAGGGGCCACAACTCTTATGCCCACATGTAGGGACCACAACTCTTATGCCCACATGTAGGGACCACAACTCTTATGCCCAGGTTGGTACATGTAGGGACCACAACTCTTATGCCCACATGTAGGGACCACAACTCTTATGCCCAGGTTGGTACATGTAGGGACCACAACTCTTATGCCCAGGTTGGTACATGTAGGGACCACAACTCTTATGCCCAGGTTGGTACATGAAGGGACCACAACTCTTATGCCCATGTTGGTACATGTAGGGGCCACAACTCTTATGCCCACATGTAGGGACCACAACTCTTATGCCCAGGTTGGTACATGTAGGGGCCACAACTCTTATGCCCAAATGTAGGGACCACAACTCTTATGCCCACATGTAGGGACCACAACTCTTATGCCCAGGTTGGTACATGTAGGGACCACAACTCTTATGCCCAGGTTGGTACATGTAGGGACCACAACTCTTATGCCCACATGTAGGGACCACAACTCTTATGCCCAGGTTGGTACATGTAGGGACCACAACTCTTATGCCCATGTTGGTACATGTAGGGGCCACAACTCTTATGCCCAGGTTGGTACATGTAGGGGCCACAACTCTTATGCCCAGGTTGGTACATGTAGGGACCACAACTCTTATGCCCAGGTTGGTACATGTAGGGCCACAACTCTTATGCCCAGGTTGGTACATGTAGGGACCACAACTCTTATGCCCAGGTTGGTACATGTAGGGACCACAACTCTTATGCCCAGGTTGGTACATGTAAGGACCACAACTCTTATGCCCACATGTAGGGACCACAACTCTTATGCCCAGGTTGGTACATGTAGGGACCACAACTCTTATGCCCAGGTTGGTACATGTAGGGACCACAACTCTTATGCCCACATGTAGGGACCACAACTCTTATGCCCAGGTTGGTACATGTAGGGACCACAACTCTTATGCCCAGGTTGGTACATGTAGGGACCACAACTCTTATGCCCAGGTTGGTACATGTAGGGACCACAACTCTTATGCCCAGGTTGGTCCATGTAGGGACCACAACTCTTATGCCCAGGTTGGTACATGTAGGGACCACAACTCTTATGCCCAGGTTGGTACATGTAGGGACCACAACTCTTATGCCCAGGTTGGTACATGTAGGGACCACAACTCTTATGCCCAGGTTGGTCCATGTAGGGACCACAACTCTTATGCCCAGGTTGGTACATGTAGGGACCACAACTCTTATGCCCAGGTTGGTACATGTAGGGACCACAACTCTTATGCCCAGGTTGGTACATGTAGGGACCACAACTCTTATGCCCAGGTTGGTACAAGTAGGGACCACAACTCTTATGCCCACATGTAGGGACTACAACTCTTATGCCCAGGTTGGTACATGTAGGGGCCACAACTCTTATGCCCAGGTTGGTACATGTAGGGACCACAACTCTTATGCCCAGGTTGGTACATGTAGGGACCACAACTCTTATGCCCAGGTTGGTACATGTAGGGACCACAACTCTTATGCCCAGGTTGGTACATGTAGGGACCACAACTCTTATGCCCAGGTTGGTACATGTAGGGGCCACAACTCTTATGCCCACATGTAGGGGCCACAACTCTTATGCCCACATGTAGGGACCACAACTCTTATGCCCAGGTTGGTACATGTAGGGACCACAACTCTTATGCCCAGGTTGGTACATGTAAGGACCACAACTCTTATGCCCAGGTTGGTACATGTAGGGGTCACAACTCTTATGCCCACATGTAGGGACCACAACTCTTATGCCCAGGTTGGTACATGTAGGGACCACAACTCTTATGCCCAGGTTGGTACATGTAGGGACCACAACTCTTATGCCCAGGTTGGTACATGTAGGGGCCACAACTCTTATGCCCATATGTAGGGGCCACAACTCTTATGCCCACATGTAGGGACCACAACTCTTATGCCCAGGTTGGTACATGTAGGGACCACAACTCTTATGCCCAGGTTGGTACATGTAAGGACCACAACTCTTATGCCCAGGTTTGTACATGTAGGGGTCACAACTCTTATGCCCACATGAAGGGACCACAACTCTTATGCCCAGGTTGGTACATGTAGGGACCACAACTCTTATGCCCAGGTTGGTACATGTAGGGACAACAACTCTTATGCCCAGGTTGGTACATGTAGGGACCACAACTCTTATGCCCAGGTTGGTACATGTAGGGGCCACAACTCTTATGCCCACATGTAGGGGCCACAACTCTTATGCCCACATGTAGGGACCACAACTCTTATGCCCAGGTTGGTACATGTAGGGACCACAACTCTTATGCCCAGGTTGGTACATGTAAGGACCACAACTCTTATGCCCAGGTTGGTACATGTAGGGGTCACAACTCTTATGCCCACATGTAGGGACCACAACTCTTATGCCCAGGTTGGTACATGTAGGGACCACAACTCTTATGCCCAGGTTGGTACATGTAGGGACCACAACTCTTATGCCCAGGTTGGTACATGTAGGGGCCACAACTCTTATGCCCACATGTAGGGACCACAGCTCTTATGCCCAGGTTGGTACATGTAGGGACCACAACTCTTATGCCCAGGTTGGTACATGTAGGGGCCACAACTCTTATGCCCAGGTTGGTACATGTAGGGACCACAACTCTTATGCCCAGGTTAGTACATGTATGGACCACAACTCTTATGCCCACATGTAGGGACCACAACTCTTATGCCCACATGTAGGGACCACAACTCTTATGCCCAGGTTGGTACATGTAGGGACTACAAATCTTATGCCCAGGTTGGTACATGTAGGGACCACAACTCTTATGCCCAGGTTGGTACATGTAGGGACCACAACTCTTATGCCCAGGTTGGTACATGTAGGGACCACAACTCTTATGCCCAGGTTGGTACATGTAGGGACCACAACTCTTATGCCCAGGTTGGTACATGTAGGGACCACAACTCTTATGCCCAGGTTGGTACATGTAGGGGCCACAACTCTTATGCCCAGGTTGGTACATGTAGGGACCACAACTCTTATGCCCAGGTTGGTACATGTAGGGGCCACAACTCTTATGCCCAGGTTGGTACATGTAAGGACCACAACTCTTATGCCCAGGTTGGTACATGTAGGGACCACAACTCTTATGCAATGTTTAATACTGATTGGTAAAATGTAGTGACCCCAACACATTCTGAATGCCTTTGTTAATGTCAACTACCAAAAGTACAAACATGTTTTTCTCATCTCCAGTTACAGTTTAAAATCGAGGATTTCACCCACTCTGGCTGCAGCATAGACAACAAATCTGTTCAGGTGTCTCCCTCATCCAAGTACAAACTCACTATCAGTAGGTTGTTCCACTCACCATCAGTAGGTTGTTCCACTCACCATCAGTAGGTTGTTCCACTCACCATCAGTAGGTTGTTCCGCTCACCATCAGTAGGTTGGTCCACTCACCATCAGTAGGTTGTTCCACTCACCATCAGTAGGTTGTTCCACTCACCATCAGTAGGTTGTTCCACTCACCATCAGTAGGTTGTTCCACTCACCATCAGTAGGTTGTTCCACTCACCATCAGTAGGTTGTTCCACTCACCATCAGTAGGTTGTTCCACTCACCATCAGTAGGTTGTTCCACTCACCATCAGTAGGTTGTTCCACTCACCATCAGTAGGTTGTTCCACTCACCATCAGTAGGTTGTTCCACTCACCATCAGTAGGTTGTTCCACTCACCATCAGTAGGTTGTTCCACTCACCATCAGTAGGTTGTTCCAACTAACCATGACTCGTCAATTCTTGTTTGTCCTGTTGGTCAGTCTAGTGCCTGGTCACTGACATGTCTAGTTGGTCAAATGTCAAGGCCATGCTTGATTGGGCCAGTGTTGACCTTGGTTGGGGGAGAGTTGACCTTCGTTTGGGGCGGTTAGGCCAGCATTAACCTTTGTTTTGGGTAGTGTTGACCTTGGTTGGGTAGTGTTGACCTTGGTTGGGTAGTGTGTTGACCTTGGTTGGGTAGTGTTGACCTTGGTTGGGCCAGTATGACCTTAGTTGGGGAAGTGTTGACCTTGGTAGGTTAGTGTTGACCTTGGTTGGGCGAGTATGACCTTGGTTGGGCGAGTATGACCTTGGTAGGTTAGTGTTGACCTTGGTTGGGCCAGTATGACCTTAGTTGGGGAAGTGTTGCCCTTGTTGGGTAATGTTGACCTTGGTTGGGCCAGTTTGACCTTGGTTGGGGTAGTGTTGACCTTGGTTGGGAGAGGGTGACCTTGGTTGAAGGGATAGACTAATGAAAAAGTTACTAGAAGTGTTCACATCTGTCATTGAAATGTGACTAGCATAAAATTGTGTGCAGCTGTCAAGGAAATGTCACTAGAATGACATTGTGTGCAGCTGTCATTAAAATGCCACTTTTTGTTTTTTCAGGCCGTGATTACACATCCATTGATTACAAAATCTGGAATTCAAGCGGTGAAGCGCTGACCACAATGTGAGATGGGACTAACTCTTTGGTCTCTGAGAGAGTAGCAGCCCTTGTCACAGAGTAGCAGCCCTTGTCACAGAGTAGCAAACCTTGTCACAGAGTTGAAGCCCTTGTCACAGAGTTGCAGCCCTTGTCACAGAGTAGCCGCCCTTGTCACAGAGTAGCTGCCCTTGTCACAGAGTAGCTGCCATTGTCACAGAGTTGCCGCCCTTGTCTAAGAGTAGCTGCCCTTGTCTAAGAGTAGCTGCCCTTGTCACAGAGTAGCCGCCCTTGTCTCAGAGTAGCAGCCCTTGTCTAAGAGTAGCTGCCCTTGTCACAGAGTAGCCGCCCTTGTCACAGAGTAGCCGCCCTTGTCACAGAGTAGCAGCCCTTGTCACAGAGTAGCAGTCCTTGGTGAAGGAGTTGTAGCTATTGTGTATAGTGTTGAGGCCCTTGTTCATATTTTCTATCTGTTCAGATTCAGACCTCAAAAAGCCTATATATTTTTATTATATCATGTTTTGTTGATATGCTATGTCAAAACACGCCCTCTGTGTATTTGAATGTATTGTTAACATTAAAATATTAAAATAAAATGTTTGTAACAAAAACAGATCTGGTTTCTGCTTATTATTCCCTCAATTTCTCCATCCCCATTTAATGAACCAAATATCAGCTCAAGGCATCACGTGTTATCTTTAGTTTACTATCAAGATTATTTTTCCCGATATTATAAGACTCTAAAATAATTGCGAAACCAGGTCAGATGTAAAAAGACCGCCTAGCTTTGTGTTAACCACTCAACAGGTTCTAACGCCAGGGGCGAGCCTTCTAATTCACCAGTTGTTTCCCCTGGTATGATCTACAAAAAGTGCAGTCGGACTTTGAAAGAGGTTTTTTTTTTTTACTTAGGTTCGTCCTAAAACATCTTTTCATTCTACCCGACACCTCGTTTATTGGCTGCTGTCTGTGGGGGTGGGGTGTTCAAACTACCCAATAAATTGAGGAAGTTTTCATGAACAACCCACAAATTGACCTTTAAGGGTCTACATGAACAACCCACAAATTGACGTTAAGGGTCAACATGAACAACCCACAAATTGACGTTAAGGGTCTACATGAACAACCCACAAATTGACGTTAAGGGTCAACATGAACAACCCACAAATTGACGTTAAGGGTCTACATGAACAACCCACAAATTGACGTTAAGGGTCTACATGAACAACCCACAAATTGACGTTAAGGTCTACATGAACAACCCACAAATTGACGTTAAGGGTCTACATGAACAACCCACAAATTGACGTTAAGGGTCAACATGAACAACCCACAAATTGACGTTAAGGGTCTACATGAACAACCCACAAATTGACGTTAAGGGTCTACATGAACAACCCACAAATTGACGTTAAGGTCTACATGAACAACCCACAAATTGACGTTAAGGGTCTACATGAACAACCCACAAATTGACGTTAAGGTCTACATGAACAACCCACAAATTGACGTTAAGGTCTACATGAACAACCCACAAATTGACGTTAAGGGTCTACATGAACAACCCACAAATTGACGTTAAGGGTCAACATGAACAACCCACAAATTGACGTTAAGGGTCTACATGAACAACCCACAAATTGACGTTAAGGGTCAACATGAACAACCCACAAATTGACGTTAAGGGTCAACATGAACAACCCACAAATTGACGTTAAGGGTCTACATGAACAACCCACAAATTGACGTTAAGGGTCTACATGAACAACCCACAAATTGACGTTAAGGGTCTAACCCACAAGTTGACGTTAAGGGTCTACATGAACAACCCACAAATTGACGTTAAGGGTCAACATGAACAACCCACAAATTGACGTTAAGGGTCTACATGAACAACCCACAAATTGACGTTAAGGGTCTACATGAACAACCCACAAATTGACGTTAAGGGTCTAACCCACAAGTTGACGTTAAGGGTCTACATGAACAACTAAACAATCTGAACAGACTAGGGCGGGGGGGGGGGGGGGATACCAACAAGGTAACAACAACTTGCATGCGCAGGGCAGTGACTCGAGTGGAAGTGTTGGCAGGGAGATAACTTAGTTTGTTTTGAGCTAACTTTAGTCCAAACCCTGTCCATCTCGTCAGATTTAAAAATAGCTCGACAGGCAAACCTTGGTGCCCTATTTAGACATCCCCCCCCCTTGATTTTTTAACCTGTCTGCTGGCGGGGTTCAAGGCCGTTTCCACAACCGTCCTTACAACCGTGTTTACACGGAAGGGGCACAACTCAGTTCGCTAACTGTTACCTCTGAGTCAACTGGGGCCAGCGCTGGGGGCACGCGTCAAGCCTTTGTCACTTGTTTGAGGACGGGCCGGTGCTCCGTGTGACGTCATTCTGCGCGAAAACAGTGCGCAATTTGTTTAAACATTTCCCTTGGTCCACTTGACATCCATCATAAAAAACACGATTCGAAAATAAAATTAAAAAACCCAACCAATCTAAGAATAAAATCGTGCAAACGGAACAAAGAAAGTTTTAATATGACCCAACTGCTTTGGAGCTGACCTAAATTCTGAAAATCAGGTGTATTTACGCATGTGAATATGTCTGCTTCATGGGTAAGCTTTATTCCGATGTTAATGATTTATAGCGGAGATCAAAGACGTATCAATATTTAAGTTTAGAAATTGGCTTTCAAAAGACTGAATTTGGGGTCAAATAAAAAAAGGATCTATCCCAAGGACAGCAAGACACAACCCTTAACGCCCCTTTATAGTAGGGTCTGGGGAGGGGGCAAGGGATGTGTTCGCACTTTGTGACGTTGCCTTTATAGTAAAGGTATCGTCACACTTCTAGGGTGGGGACAGGGGGGGGGGGTATTCGCACGTTGTGACGTTGAGTGAAGAGGAAAGCGGGAGAGAGGTTTCAGAAAGTAGGTCGGCACACTTTTGTAAGGCGATCAACTTGTCTACAGTCCACACAAGGGAATCAAACGGTCGTACGTCCACAATCAAATGGTCGTACGTCTGCACGAAGGAAACATATGGTCGTACGTCCACACGTGGGAATCAAATGGTCGTACGTCCACACGAGGGAATCAAATGGTCGTACGTCCACAATCAAATGGTCGTACGTCCACACGAGGGAATCAAATGGTCGTACATCCACACGAGGGAATCAAATGGTCGTACGTCCAAACGAGGGAATCAAATGGTCGTACGTCCACACGAGGGAATCAAATGGTCGTACGTCCACACGAGGGAATCAAATGGTCGTACGTCCACACGAGGGAATCAAATGGTCGTACATCCACAATCAAATGGTCGTACGTCCACACGATCGAATCAAATGGTCGTACGTCCAAACGAGGGAATCAAATGGTCGTACGTCCACACGAGGGAATCAAATGGTCGTACGTCCACACGAGGGAATCAAATGGTCGTACGTCCACAATCAAATGGTCGTACGTCCACACGAGGGAATCAAATGGTCGTACGTCCACACGCGGGAATCAAATGGTCGTACGTCCACAATCAAATGGTCGTACGTCCACACGAGGGAATCAAATGGTCGTACGTCCACACGCGGGAATCAAATGGTCGTACGTCCACACGCGGGAATCAAATGGTCGTACGTCCACACGATCGAATCAAATGGTCGTACGTCCACACGCGGGAATCAAATGGTCGTACGTCCACACGATCGAACCAAATGGTCGTACGTCCACACGAGGGAATCAAGTTGTCGTACGTCCACACGAGGGAATCAAATGGTCGTACGTCCACAATCAAATGGTCGTACGTCCACAATCAAATGGTCGTACGTCCACACGAGGGAATCAAGTTGTCGTACGTCCACACGCGGGAATCAAATGGTCGTACGTCCACACGCGGGAATCAAATGGTCGTACGTCCACACGATCGAATCAAATGGTCGTACGTCCACACGATCGAATCAAATGGTCGTACGTCCACACGATCGAATCAAATGGTCGTACGTCCACACGAGGGAATCAAATGGTCGTACGTCCACACGATCGAATCAAATGGTCGGACGTCCACACGAGGGAATCAAATGGTCGTACGTCCACACGAGGGAATCAAATGGTCGTACGTCCACAATCAAATGGTCGTACGTCCACACGAGGGAATCAAATGGTCGTACGTCTACACGCGGGAATCAAATGGTCGTACGTCCACACGAGGGAATCAAATGGTCGTACGTCCACACGAGGGAATCAAATGGTCGTACGTCCACACGCGGGAATCAAATGGTCGTACGTCCACACGAGGGAATCAAATGGTCGTACGTCCACAATCAAATGGTCGTACGTCCACACGAGGGAATCAAATGGTCGTACGTCCACAATCAAATGGTCGTACGTCCACACGAGGGAATCAAATGGTCGTACGTCCACACGAGGGAATCAAATGGTCGTACGTCTACACGCGGGAATCAAATGGTCGTACGTCCACAATCAAATGGTCGTACGTCCACACGCGGGAATCAAATGGTCGTACGTCCACACGAGGGAATCAAATGGTCGTACGTCCACAATCAAATGGTCGTACGTCCACACGCGGGAATCAAATGGTCGTACGTCCACACGAGGGAATCAAATGGTCGTACGTCCACACGAGGGAATCAAATGGTCGTACGTCCACACGATCGAATCAAATGGTCGTACGTCCACACGAGGGAATCAAATGGTCGTACGTGTCTACAGACACACAAACACACACAGATACACATGCAAACACACACAGACATAAGTACAAGATTGCAAAACAATGTTTTTCCGACTCAGGGAGGTGTAAAACGTCGAGATTTGCAAATATCTCGATTTTTTTTGGGCACAATTACAATACTTTCTCTATACTTTGTACACGAGAAAGTAAAAAACAAAACAAAACAAATCAGCAACTGTCGTTACAATTTAAAAAAAATGATATTTTATGAAAAGAGTTGTTTTTATCATCAATTGACAAGATGGTACAACTGGTTTGAAATAAACATTGTTCTCCGTGTTGTTGCAAGATGGTAGCTACCTTTGATATCTGAAATCTTTTACGCCTACAGACAGCATCTTGCACACATCCCAGCGACCCTCCGTTAAAAAAGTGGGGAGGGTAGGCTGAGCTGACCAATCAAACAACCAATGAATTGTCTTCTGCTACCATAACTGGCTACCTTAACCGGCTGCCATAACCGGCTGCCATAACCGGCTGCCATAACCGGCTACCAGCAACCGGCTACCAGCTTGCCTTCTGCCAAGCGCCGGTCGGTAGAATCTTGAGCCATCAACTTTGGGTTCTTTTTGACGGAACCCGGCAACCCGACACTGCCGGCTTCTTTTGCGGCTCTCCCAGCTGAGAGTTGGCGCGGCGACTTTGCAAGATGCTGACTTTGTAGCTACTGAAATTGACCTCAGAGATCTTCCGTTTTTTCCCGCCGCGGTTGAGCGGCTTGCGAGCGAGCTGCCTGGGTCTGGTGGCTGGGTCATCGCCCCTTTCTCGAGTTTTCTTTTTGAACTCTGACCTAACGCGCATTGGCGCCAGCCGAGCCTGCGCCTGCTCGTCTTCCTGCCATGACCGGACGGACGGGAGAGAGACCGCTCTCCTGGCGTCTGCAGCACGCGGTGGTCTCAGCGGAGATTTGGAAGATCTGCTCGTCTCTTTCCCCTGACCTTTCACCTCGGACAAAGTCCACTCGTATTTTCTGGAGCGCTCGAGTCGCTGGTCTGGCTTCTTGCCTGACCTTGGGCTCCCGATCTTGCCGGGTCGGCCTGACCTTGGACTGCCCAACTTGCCGGGTCGGCCTGACCTTGGGCTGCCCAACTTGCCGGCTGGCTGGTTGCCCGCCCCCCTGACTGGAGACAATCTTTGATTCCCTATAGGCGCCAGCAAGAAGCTTCTCTTGGCGGGCGGCTTTGGTCTCTGTTTGCCGGGGCTGTGGGCCGGAGACTTGTGGCGGCCTCTAGTGGCCGCCGATGTGGACCTCACACCGGCATCTGTACGCGCCTTCGTCCGCTGGCTGTCACATGGGCTGCTGACCACTGGCTCGGCAACAAAGAGCCAGGTCATCTTCCTCCAGATCAGGTTCAAGATCCCAGCCTTATATTCTTCTGGCGCGGCTCTTACCCCCGCCTCCTCGGGCGTTTTGTCGGCCGGCTGCTTTTTCTTGACACGTGGGAGGTACACCACATCACCCGCACGTGCTTGGCCGGAAACAGAGACTGACCTTGACCTGCCTATGTGAGATGATTTCCGGTAGAACTTTGCGCTATTAAATGGCGGCGATGTGTTCTTGTTGTCAGGGATAGCTTGCTTGATATTGGAGTTGTTGTGTTGCAGTTTGCGCTCATCTTTAGGGGCGGATGTTGGCTGTGGTGGGCCTGGTGTCGGATGTTGGATGATGACTCCCAGCATGTCGTATGATATCCACGCTCAAGTCTGCTACACCGGGGACATTTTCTTCACGTGGGGAGAAAAAGAAAATAGTATAAATTTCATCGCCTCCCCAGCTAATCCCTTCTGTTTTACAAATGATGGTATGATGAACATCTCCCCCGCTAATCCCTTCTGTTCTACAAATGATGGTATGATGATCATCTCCCCCGCTAATCCCTTCTGTTCTACAAATGACGGTATGATGATCGCCTCCCCAGCTAATCCCTTCTGTTTTACAAATGATGGTATGATGATCGCCTCCCCCGCTAATCCCTTCTGTTCTACAAATGACGGTATGATGATCGCCTCCCCCGCTAATCCCTTCTGTTCTACAAATGACGGTATGATGATCGCCTCCCCCGCTAATCCCTTCTGTTCTACAAATGACGGTATGATGATCGCCTCCCCAGCTAATCCCTTCTGTTCTACAAATGATGGTATGATGATCGCCTCCCCCGCTAATCCCTTCTGTTCTACAAATGATGGTATGATGGTATGATGGTATGATGATCGCCTCCCCCGCTAATCCCTTCTGTTCTACAAATGATGGTATGATGATCGCCTCCCCCGCTAATCCCTTCTGTTCTACAAATGACGGTATGATGATCGCCTCCCCCGCTAATCCCTTCTGTTCTACAAATGATGGTATGATGATCGCCTCCCCCGCTAATCCCTTCTGTTCTACAAATGATGGTATGATGATCGCCTCCCCCGCTAATCCCTTCTGTTCTACAAATGATGGTATGATGATCGCCTCCCCCGCTAATCCCTTCTGTTCTACAAATGATGGTATGATGATCGCCTCCCCCGCTAATCCCTTCTGTTCTACAAATGATGGTATGATGATCGCCTCCCCCGCTAATCCCTTCTGTTCTACAAATGATGGTAAGATGATCATCTCCCCCGCTAATCCCTTCTGTTTTACAAATGATGGTATGATGGTATGATGAACATCTCCCCCGCTAATCCCTTCTGTTCTACAAATGATGGTATGATGATCATCTCCCCCGCTAATCCCTTCTGTTCTACAAATGACGGTATGATGATCATCTCCCCAGCTAATCCCTTCTGTTCTACAAATGATGGTATGATGGTATGATGGTATGATGATCGCCTCCCCCGCTAATCCCTTCTGTTCTACAAATGATGGTATGATGATCATCTCCCCCGCTAATCCCTTCTGTTCTACAAATGACGGTATGATGATCATCTCCCCAGCTAATCCCTTCTGTTCTACAAATGATGGTATGATGGTATGATGGTATGATGATCGCCTCCCCCGCTAATCCCTTCTGTTCTACAAATGATGGTATGATGATCATCTCCCCAGCTAATCCCTTCTGTTCTACAAATGATGGTAAGATGATCATCTCCCCAGCTAATCCCTTCTGTTCTACAAATGATGGTATGATGATCATCTCCCCAGCTAATCCCTTCTGTTCTACAAATGATGGTATGATGATCGCCTCCCCCGCTAATCACTTCTGTTCTACAAATGACGGTATGAATGTAACCAGCAAGCAAAGGGTTAACTGTTTTACTAACTAGCCTCGACATTCTTTAACTTCTGCAGGACCAGCCCATCCTAACCATCATTACTTTAATGAACCATCATTACTCTAATGAACCATCATTACTCTAATGAACTGGCTTTATGGTTATTCAATAATTATAAATTTAAAAAAATATGTATCTACATATCTATTTCTAGAACTAGATCGACATCTATATTTAGATCTAGATCTATATAAAATCAAACATTGGACCACTGGTACGGGAGACCCTACATGTATATGTATCTAGATCTAGATCTCTATGTGTATGGAATGTCCTACTAAAAACGTGACTGACTACTGATGAAACTTGACCGCTATACCTTAGGACCAGGACGGGCAGAACTGAGATCAAGAGCAGATTGTTGAGCTTGATGACATGCTCCAACTTAGGACAACCATGATGGTGGAGTTTGGTGCGCTCTTCGATATGTGCCGCACCGTGCTGGCGTCCCTTTGGGTTTTCCCGGAATTTGTCGCAATAAAAAAAAAGTTGTAGTAAATCCTTAAACTTTCTCCTATATTCTTAACTAGCCGTCCCGGCCAGGCCTTGCTCTGGCCTCTTTGAAAAACCTATCTGTTAAGGATCATCATATACCGGACATTGCCCACCCTAACCACAACCAACCAAAACAAAAACAAAATAAACAGGGAGTAATCTCCCCTAAACTTTCTCGAATAATCTTATATAAAACAAAAGGGAATGGCAACTCGGGATATAGACATGATTTTTAATCCATTTTAAATACTTAAACTTTTAAAAATAAAATAGAATCTTGTAGAAAAAAGAACTTCGCACAAAGTGAACGCCAAACAATATTATGTATAATAGTGCGGAATATTATTAGTACTTTATAAATTCACATGCGGTTTTTGAGAAATCGGAAATAGCATGAATTACTACTTCCGTTCAACGGGAATTAATCCGAATTTGACAGAAGATAGAAAATTAGATATTTTACTTACAAGTGAAATTTCATTTATCTATCTGAAAAAGTACTCAAGTTATAGGCTTTTAAAAAATTCAAAAGAGAAAAAATTCCACTTCTGGTTATCGGAAATCGCTCAAAAGTTTATACGAATCTACGATTTTGATATTATACTTATATATGAAATTTAATCAACCTAGCTTTAACGGTACTCAAGTTATCGTGTTTACAGACACACACACACACAATACACACACAGACATACGAACAAAATTGCAAAACTATGTTTTTCCGACTCAGTGAGGTGTAAAACGTCGAGATTTGCAAAACATAACGCAAACACAATTACAAATACAAACACAAACGAAAACGAAAACAAAAACCTAACATCAAACCCAACCACAACCACAAACACCAATACAAACACAAAGAAAAAACAAACGAAAAAGCAAACGAAAACACACCAAATCAAAACGCAAACCCAACCACAACACAACACAAACACAACACAAACACAAACACAGCCCAAACACAACACAAACACAACGCGAACACAACACAACATAATCTGGGACGGCTAGTATTGTATAAAATGGTATATCTTCTTGTAGTTTGGTGCATGTGTCTATAAAAGAGCTTTCTGGTGCGACCGACAAAAACGAATTCCCCTTCGTGCGCAAAAAAGGACAGACAAAACGAATGCGCAAAAAAGACACAACTAATAATCCCGCGGGAATTCCCGTTCCCGAATAAAGGTGTCTTTTGTTACTTCAACTGTCTTTGATTAAAAATAATAAGAAGAAAATAGTACGTTCAGTGTATGGAATAAATAAACCGGGAGTGGTCTCCCGAAACTTTCTCGAATATTCTTATATAACACTACGTGGGATGGCAACTCGGAATATAGACATGATTTATAATTACTTAAACTTTTAAAAATAGAATAGAATCTCGTAGAAAAAAGAATTGCGCACCAAGCGAACGCCTAAACAAAATGTGCATAATAGTGCGGAACATTATTAGTACTTTATATATTTATATGCGTTTTTTTTTGAGAAATTGGAAATAGCGTAAATTACTACTTTCGTTCAACGGAAATTAATCAAAATTTGATAGAAGGTAGAGGATTAGATCTTTTACTTACATATGAAATTTCATATATCTATCTAAAAGAGTACACAAGTTATAGGCTTTTGAAAAATTCAAATTAGAATAAAATACTTAAAAAAAACTTTTTAAAAAACCACGTTTTTCTTGTGGACTAAAAAGTAGAAAATAAATTTTCATACATTTGATGACAAAAAACGTGGGTACGTTCACCATCAAATTTCCCGACCCATCTGCCCGACCCACGTTTTTTGTCATCAAATGTATGAAAATTTATTTTCTACTTTTTAGTCCACAAGAAAAACGTGGTTTTTTAAAAAGTTTTTTTTAAGTATTTTATTTTCTCCTTTTTAGTCCGTTGCTACACATGAAAAACGTGGTTTTTTAAAAAGTTTTTTTTAAGTATTTTATTTTCTCCTTTTTAGTCCGTTGCTACACATGAAAAACGTGGTTTTTAAAAAAGTTTTTTATATAGTTTCTTTTCTACTTTATCTAATGACTTGATTAAGTATGACTTGACTAAGTGTTTATAAATACACGGACTAAAAATCTTGAGCGACCAGGATTCGAACCTGGGTTGTCGCGGCCACAACGCGAAGTACTAACCGCTATACGATCACGGCCAGCGCGCTCACATCGATTGGGGCCGAAGTAACTGTGGCAATAGGCCTCCAGTCTTGTCGGTATCTTTAGAAATCATGTCCTCGATTTTATGGTCCTTGGGGCGTAATTAAATTAAGCTAATTACGGTCTGTAATTGCTAGTTTTTATGATTGCATCTGAAATTGTTAGGCGAAAGTAGCATGCATGCCAAATTTCAGATCTGTAGAGCAATCAGAAGTGGGCTAATTTTCGATGTCAATTTTAACAACAAACAAACAAATCCACAAACGCGAAGCTGAGTTAAGAAAAACGTGTTAAAAAGTATCAATTCCGGTTATCGGAAATCGCTCAAAAGTCGATATGGACCTACGATTTTGATAAAATACTTATATATGAAATTTCATCAACCTAGCTGTAACGGTACTCAAGTAATCGTGTTTACACACACACACACACAGACACACAAACAGCGACACACACACACACATACACACAGACATACGGACAAGATTGCAAAAATATGTTTTTCCGACTCAGGGAGGTGTAAAACGTCGAGATTTGTAAAAATTGTATACCTTTAGACAAACTGGTTCAGTGTGGTGTGTACAGATTTTGCACGATTACAAGACTTTCTCTATACTTCGTATATACGAGAAAGTAATAAAATGCAGTATTAAAAATTCCAACAACATTGCACTTAATCAATCCCCGCTAATTATGTAATTTTTTTTTTCCTAACACCAAAACAAAGTAATAAAAAGTACATTCTCCCCCCCCCCCCCCGATGTAATGTTTTTTAAAGGGAAGTAGCTGTGTTTTTTTAATCAAGGGACGTAATGAGCGCTGTAGGACTAAATGCTAATACTTTTCAGGCACAATTTTATAAACGTTGATAGATTTAAAAAAAAAAATCTTATGTAATGTTCATTTTGAAAAATTATTATTCTAAGTATTCAAAATGAAAACTGTTTTTAAAGACTTTCAATGTTAATTTTTTAACTCATAAATTTAGACGATGAGCACACTAGACATTTAACACCTGACACAATAGAAGTATCGTTTTTTCTTATATTCCTTTGTAATCCACGACATACAAACATACAGAATTGAACTTTATATATTATAATAACATTAAGGGGGTGGCTCTTACAGTGCAATCGTGTAATGGAAATATAGATTTGTGATAGAACCGCCCGAGCTTTGAGAAAACACATAAAAGTTAACATTTCTCAACATAAAATGAATATGATATAAAATTATCGAATTCTGAAAGTCTTTGAGAAACTTTATCAGTAGGCCGACACATATTTCGTTACACACTAGCACGCGCACATACACGCTTTCTCTCACGCACATACATCAACACCAACATACTCAACAAAGAGCGCAACTACACCGCAACCTATCCCCTTGATTTCATTGGGATTAAGTTTAAATTTTAAACGACATCAATTTGTATACGGAAGTATGTGAATCAAGTTTTATATGGTAGAGAGTGTCTCAAGTTTTATACGACATACAGTTTTACACCATAGTAAGAAAAATATTCGTGTGTAGGGGTGCGCACATAAATTTCCGTGAAAGAGCGGTTAAAAAAAATTTTTTTTTACGTAATTATATATTATTTTTCTGTCATCAGGGTGGTGTTTGTGCTGAAATATATATATATATATATATATATATATATATATATATATATATATATATATATATATATATATATATATATATATATATATATATATATATATATATATATATATATATAAGCTTATGTAGCTATAACCACTATATACGTAAGTATACAACTGTTGCTTAATGCCATGAAGCAAACAATGTGGTCAGTCTAGTGACGTGTGCCACTAGACTAGCAGGGGGGATAACTGCTGAGCAGACGTTGAACCAACAGTCAAATGTCTGCAGTAATGGCTTGACATGTTGACACGTGCACTGGTAAACACGGCCATCTCAACACGTGTCACACGGCGACACCAAGGTATCGATTACGTGCCAAAACACGGATTCGTTCAAATTAAAAATAGATTACTTGTTTATTTTTTGTGGGGGCGAAAGAGAGACTTTAAAAGTTTATGTATTTGTAATGTAAAAAAAAAAAACATGCAAAAAAATAAATCTTTTAAATCCACTAAAGTAAAAATGACTGATTTTTTAATTTAAAAACAGAAAGTCAATTTTAAAAACTTCTCGTAAAAATTTAATATTATTAAAAATATATATATATAACATATGGCGTTGTATGTTCTATTTTCTTCGTTGTCGATAATGTGGGTGTCAAAATCTACTTTGTAAAAATATCAAGGTTAAATATGGCTAGGGTTGCCAGATACCTTTTCCGAAAATACTGGACACCTTTCCATCCTTCCCTTCTCAGGTATGCCGCAAAGCAGAAGAAGGGGGGTAACAGAGTATTATTCATATACTTGTCCAGAATTTATATTTATTTTATCCTGGACAGTCTGCTCAAATACTGGACTGTCCAGTTCAAAACTGGACACCTGGCAACCCTAAATATGGCAACAGTCGTACTAGTATTTTGACTATTTTATCAAGATGACCATTCTCATGCCGAAAAAAAAAGTCACTGGGAAAAAGTTACACGAAAAAAAGTCACAGAAAACAAGTCACAGATGTTTAATTGCATATCAATTATTTATTGACAATGCAATAGTATCGTCCATCTATCGACTTAGGTCAGTATCTCCACATGGTCACTCTCCATAGGTTCAGTCTGCCTTCATAGGGTCAGTCTGGGGTCAGTCTCTCC